AAATGCAATAGATAATCAATATAAGTATAATTAAAGTGTATTTGTGCCTGTCCAATTGATTTTTTTTTAATTATGATGAAAGTATAGTTTAATGTGATTTCTTTATTCTCACCTTGGCGCGGTTTCTTTTTACTAAGTTTTTTATTGACGTCTCTCTTGAAATCCTATACTTTATGCCCTGGGTAAACCCCAACCACAAGATGCATTTTCCATTAAAGAAGCAAGCATCATGTCAATTATATATAAAAAGGCAGCTTGTCAAATTCGGAGAGAAAAATTGATAAACAAAGTGAGGATGTTGAGTAACCTATCACGTCCGATTAACGTAGTACTTACCAAATCGAAGTTCTTGCCAAAAGTAATTCAAACGTTGGAGAAAACGCAACAAAAAACAAAAGGGGCGTCGAATAGTTAATTTTGTTATAAAGTATGCTCTTTTTTTTTGCAACCTGCAAGGCTTACCTTGGGAAAGATTGACCTCCAAGAGTTTGCTAGAATTCTTTGAACTGTAATGCTCATTTGACGACTTGAATCGCGTGTACCGATCACTTCAACACTCCTTCGGTTTTTCATTTTTCGTGCGCGAATTCTTTTGAAAAAATTTAACATGAATGTAACATGTAAGTAATAGGATGGTAATCATTGGGTTAACCCCTCAACATCGCTCTAGTTAGATGCACCCATGAAGACCCTTGGCACCAATCAAAGTTGCATGGAGTTTTGCAAACCCTAATTGCTACTTTCATAATTAGATTTGACAATTGCGATTCTTGCTTCCTAATCATCCTTCCCTCTTCCCACGCCATGGATAAGACGCGCCTTCTTGTCGAAGACGAAAGGTAATTCTCATCCCTAATTTTTAGCTTATCTTATAGGCAATTCCTAGGTCAAAGTTGATCACGACCCCAAGCATTTTTTCCCCAAGAGGAAGAAGATTAACTCTCATGGCCTTTTGCCGCTACAAAGGATCAAATGATGCTCTAATCTATACAAAAGCCAACGTTATTAATTACACGGCTGACTAATTTGTATTAAAGAAATCTTGGTTCCCATTAATTACTTAAGTAACCGGCCGCAATACGAGGGGGAGAAAATAGTAAAATTTGTCAAAAAAAAATTATTTGAAGAATCTAAAATGTGGTCAGGCCAAGAACGGAATATATTAATAAAGTAAACTAATGAATCATTAATAAAGTACAATTTCAGTTAGACTGCCCCGTGTTATATAGTTTCGCTATAAAGATTGCTTTCTTCTATTCGAAGGCGCTATTAATCCACAAAATACGATCTTACGCACTCGAGATGGTGACATCATAAACAACGTAAAATAGTATTTATTAACCTTGTAGTCATCTTTAATTATTTTTTTTTCTTTGCAGCATCGTTATGTATAACACGAATCTGTCTAGATATAAAAGAACATCTGTGTCGACCTCGAAAAAAAATGTCACAAAAAAAAATTAAGACAAACCCTAATCCAATGAGAAAGATGCATCAATCTAGGATTCTTCGGAGCACGTGGTTGCTGGAAAGAAGTTCCCTATTAATGCCTAATTTATAGGCTTTTATGGGAGTGCTATTATAATTAAAGACCGGACCCTAAGTCATATCTTACTTTAAGATTCATAGATAGAAGCAACGACCATTATATAAAAAGGTCTTTCTATGCAATCTCCCACTGGGATAAATTATCAATCCATTGGTCGACTCTCAAAAGGCAGGTTTAAATAAACTTATATGAGTTATTCATTTAATCTTTAATGTGAAAAAAAAATGATCACGATAGTTACATATAATATCATTCGGCCAATTCAAATATCATTATATATATATATATATATATATATATATATATATATATATATAGACACACACACACACATACACACACAAAGCTCAGCCACGAGCCACGGAGGCTCGTTACCTACTAAAAGCAAGATTAATTTAACCCATTGGACAATTTGATTTGGTCAATGTGGGCTAGCACTGATACGAAAATAAACATTACATCACACCTTATTTTATACGTTGCCCATCAAATGAAAAACTAAGATTTGATTAAACAAAGGGCAAGTTGATCAAGCTAAGTAGCAGATGGCCGTCCAGGGTGGAGGAGAAATACAAGGGCGACGGTGGCGTGGATCCCACCCGCCTCACCACCTTCTTCCCACCTGCCAACTCAGACTTTCTTCTTCTTTTTTTCTTTTTTTTTCATAATTTTTTTTGGTCGTCGGAGAAAACAGATTGGCCTACGTGAATCACGATGAAGATGATCCGACGAGCAAGATCACGCTAATTATATCATTAAGGATCCGTTTATTTCACAAAAAATGAATGATTTGGAAATCATTTTTCTTAAAAACAATCGCTTGAATAATCACTTTCATTAACTGAAGCTACACAAGAAATCATTTTTTTAAATTATTTTTTAAATTATTTATTTCTCACGAAATAAATCTATACAACACTAGCAGCACGTAACTTATGTGCGTACAATGATCGAAAAGAAAAAGGGAAAACAAATCGACATGAATAAAGAAAGAAAGAGAATTCGAAGATTAAAAATAATTCTTGGCAAGTCTCACCAAAACCCAGAACCGGTCAACCTCGCTAAAGCACATCTTAAAGTCCACACAAAACCTTTGAAGGGGGCATCAATCATGCAACCCCATCCACACATATGTTCCCCCCTCCCTTTATCCAAGGGTTTATTTACTCCCGAGGCCAATATTATATGATTCGATTCTATATATATAGTCTCGAAAGAATATATAAAACGAAAAAAGGTCTCATGTCATGAGCTCCCCAAGCTTTGCTGAGGGCACGCGCACTCTTCAGGTTGGAGAAAAGGAAAGAAGAAGAAGAATTGAAAGTCCATTCCAAAACTTCTCGTTTGTCTTTCGAAAACGAGCGGAGGAGAAGATTGAAATTCTTGGTCTACACCTAGAGGTGCCGATCCTCTTCCTAGATAGGGAACAGAAAATATTGCACGACTGTGAAGATGTGTGTGTGGAATGTGGCATGAGGGAGTGGCGATGGGATCGGTTTTCGTTTGTGTGGGGTAAAGTGACATCTTCAATTTATTCGATAGAGGACACTCGAGGAGACAAGTAATTGAAGGTCTAGATTCAATTACAATATTGGGGAAAAAAACCCTCAATTATCGAAGGACCTAATATACTTTTTCAGAGAATTCTCATCCAATGCAATCGAATTTGGAGAAAACTCTCTCTCTCTCTCTCTCTCTCTCTCTCTCTCTCTCATCTATGATGGCCGATCTCATCACTTTTGCGACTCCAACTGATGTCACTTGTCCTAAGGGTTTATATTATATTTATATACATGTGATCTCCCTCCATCGGAATGGGCTTCCAAAAATGATATCAAGGCTTGATTTTGTCCCGCTTGGACCACCCAAAACCAGACCGAACCGGCCTAGAACTAGCAATTCCTGTGAGGACTGGTTTGGTTCCCGGTTCCAAGTGCGGAATTGCTCACCCAAACCGGACCGGTACAGACACACACACACACACACACACACACACACACACATATATATATATATATATATATTTTCAATTTCAGCCCATGCCCTTTACTCATAGTCGCCAGTCCTTTAAAAAGAAAGACCCTATTCAGGCTTCACACGGCTGTTGCACACTCTACCTCCTCACGTAGGCTCTCTACTCTAACCCTCTCGCCTTATTTCGCTCTTGGTCCATTGATCACCGCAAAGGCCTTCTTCTTCTTCTTCTTCTTCTTGTCTTCGATCTCAATTCCTGGAGTCAATTTGCACCATCAAGATGGCATCAACCGTGATGTCTCTCAGTCCCGACTCTCCTGCTTCTGCACAATCAATCACAAGTTCTTTGCTTTGACCTTCCGAAACCATCGATCGAAGGTACCGGCCGTGGAATTGTATCAATTGAGTTTTGGTTGGCATTGCCGCATTGCGTTGTCGCTTGTTTACTCGAGAGATGCGTCAAAAGTTAATAAGCAAATACGGGTCATGATGTTCTTAACATTCTAATGTACGGCTGTGATTATAGTGAGTAGGGTTTTTTTTGTCTCTTAGCAAATAGAGAGTAGATCCGGGATACTCACCCGGGAACCGGACTGGACCGGCGATCCGGTTTTTGGGTGGGTCCACAGAACTAGTGGGCAGTTCTTGGTTATTATTTGTAAAACCGGTCTTTAGTGAGCGATTCCTGGTTTTACCCTGGAAACAATTATCCTTAATATGAAGAAATGAATTTAGAAGATTTCTTACTCTAATTTACAGTCAATCATTTTTAAACTTTAAGCTAGTAAAATTTTCAATACCACACAATTAAAAAGAATTAGCATATAACTAATTTTAATTTGCGTATGGTAACTCACAACGAGCTTGTCATATAAATTTTTAGCTGCAAAAGTATTCTCAACTTTAGTAATAAACATGAAAATTTGACCTGTCCCGGAACTAGAAAACGCAGACACAACACAATAAAGCACATATGAACGTGCGGCAGTCAAATTTGGCATTTGGAAGGAGGCATAGTTTGACCAATCTGTGAGTGCAAATCGAAAATATGTTTGTCTACACATCAACTTTTTCATCTAACTTCCAATTAAAACACATTTTATTCAAGGCTAATAGTATATCTTTAGTTCCACGATGGTTTGACTCGGTAACAAATGATTTTTACATGTAAACGCTACTCTTTCTTTCCATCCACCTTTAAAGTCTTCATCTTTAGTCATGATTTTATTCACCCCGAAATAAAATGTCAAGATTTATTTTCTTCTTTTTTAATCTCTCACGCGCTACCAACGAGAGTGTGTTCGTCATCTAGTGCATGCTCTTCTTCTCTTAAAATAATATTACGAAAGCTAACGCCACTTGTAATTTTTTTATTGTGTATATCTCAACTTTTGGGCAGTGTATGAGAAATGACTCTTTCTTGAAGAACCTCTCTCTCTCTCTCTCTCTCTCTCTCTCTCTCTCTCTCTCTCTCTCTCTCTCTCTCTCTCTCTCTCTCCATCGTCTCTCTCACCTCTTCTACCCTTTTCCTTCATCTGCACTCTATCCTCCTCCTCCATCTTCTTCTTCTTCTTCATCTTAACTCTCCTTCCTGTCCTCTTCTTTCTTTTGACATAGCTGTTTCATATCTGTTCTGGCTTTTATATACTCAATCTGTGTTGCAGTACTCAAATCAGTCTCTCTTTCTCTCCTCAGTCACTTTCCTTTTCTCTTTACTTTATGTAATTATATCCCACTTCCCTCACAATAAAATACCCAGAAGTGATTTTTTAAGGGAAAATTTTCTTATATTAAAAGTTTTTAATAGTCTTTCTTGCTCCTTGTTTTCTGTTGTTTTTCCCTGTTGATGTGGGCATGGCCGGTTTGGATTTAGGCACTGCTTCTCGATTCAACATCCACCAGCAGCTTCAGAGACCCGATTTACACCTCCATAGCCAACAATCTGAATCAGACGATCACGAGGCGATCAGCAACAACCACAACCATCAATTCTCCGGCGGCGACCATCATGACGAGGTGGGGCACCAAACCCTAGAGCTTGGTGGGGTCAGCACCGGCCATGGCGTCGGCGACATCGTGGCCCGGCGGCCCCGTGGCCGCCCCCCTGGATCCAAGAACAAGCCGAAGCCGCCCGTGATCATAACCCGGGAGAGTGCCAACAGCCTCAGGGCCCACATTCTCGAGGTTGGGAACGGGTGCGACGTCTTTGACTGCATCGCTACCTACGCGCGGCGGAGGCAGCGAGGAATCTGCGTGCTGAGCGGGACTGGCACGGTCACCAACGTGAGCCTGCGGCAGCCAGCGGCAGCCGGATCCGTTGTGACGCTCCATGGGCGGTTCGAGATTCTGTCACTGTCTGGCTCCTTCTTGCCCCCACCAGCTCCACCCGGGGCCACAAGCTTGACAATCTTTCTGGCGGGGGGGCAAGGCCAAGTCGTGGGGGGGAGCGTCGTCGGCGAGCTCATCGCTGCCGGGCCAGTCATCGTGATCGCAGCATCCTTTACCAATGTTGCCTACGAGAGATTACCGCTAGAAGAGGAGGAGCAGATCCAGATGCAGGCGGCAGCAGCGGCCGCAAGTGGTGGACACAACCCGTTCCCGGATCCATCTTCAGGCCTTCCGTTCTTCAATTTGCCACTCGGTAACATGGCCAACAATAATAGCAACACTGTTCAGCTCCCAGTTGACGGGTGGAGTGGAAATTCAGGTCCTCGTCCTCCATTTTGAGAAAAATAGAAGAAAGAAAGATGCGGTGGATTGAAGCCGCAGTGTGATCATCGATTGGGAAAGAGCCACTGTAATATCCAAGGTCAGAAAAAAAGTTTATAGATTTGTTAGTGCCATAATCATGGTTTGACGTTCTGATTCTGTTGATCTTTCTAGCTTCTCCTGTTTGTAACTTCTTGAATTTGGTTCCTTTTGGGTTCTGAAAATAGTCTTTCTTCTCGATTACTATGTCGAAGTGCAAACTCCTTCCCGAGAAATGGTTTGAGAATTAATTCAACTCTACTAATGATGTGTTTTGGTAGTTTTATTGACTGTATTTGGAAACTTTTTAGTTGCATAAAAATGTCAACCTTTGTTTCTATACTAAACAATAAACGTCTAGCTAGGTCAATCTCCTGCTCATGTATCAAATGCCCTTAATTATTGTCCGAATCTAGTTAACTCATTGAATTTTCATTTTCGGGGCATGTCACTATTCTGGCTGTGCATTGATTTCAGCAACACAATAAATACAACACAGAAAAACATAATCTAGAGGGAGGAGGCTCGCTCAAAGGATTAAAGAACTGCTAGCATCTGGTTAAACTGTCATTTTAACTGTCTCGATGATTTTCGATGAGATGTGAAATAAAAACTATTAGCCCCACACAAGATTTGTGAATAAGTGACTGTATGATAATGAGCAAGAAACGTCCGTCTTTCTGCTAAACAGAATGTGTTGAACTCATAATTTATTAGATACTTTTTATGAATGTCAGCCAAGTATCATAAGTAAATTGCTCTCTGTTATTCAATCATTTGATAACCAGAGTCATATTTTGATAAATGGCGATGATAGAACTGGGTATGTGATTTTTCGAGATTGAGCAATAATAATCTTGTTCTCCATCTGAAACTGCCAACTTGGTCAGCTTATTAATCATTTGGCAGTGCTAGAAGATATCTAAAAGGTAATTATATATTTCATTTTACCTCTAACTTAGAAAAGTGCAAGAGTTAACATTACTGAATTCTCTAGGTAATATTAACTGAGTTTCGTGGTATTATTCTTGGGATTATCTGTACATTCATGTGATCTCTTGGAAAAGAGACAGCTCGGGTGCTTAATTACCTTGCCTTTCATCTTTTTCTCGTGGCTTCAAAACCAGGCTCGACATGGCTTAGATAGCATAGGAACATGATATGATTTTCCTTGGGTGATCTTCGGATTGGATAGTTGTACAAATCTCGGTTTCAATCATTGCTGAAGGATGTTTTCTGAAACCCGGATATTTTTTGATGATTTGTTTTGAATAAGAATTTCATTCCTTTGGAATTCACCTACAAAAACATACGACCCCCACCTTTTCTTTGTTAAAAAACAGCTTATTGTCTCCTTCATTGATCTTCTTTAATGGAAAATCCATAAACAACGTTGTATGCATATTGAGTTATTTGGACAAATGTCTCGTGGGTATAGGCGCACAAAGCACAGCACGATTCGCCATTCGTCTTCCTTAATTTTTGGCTTTTTTTATTAGGTCCATTACAGGTGTAAAAGAAACAACTTATACATTCGCTGTCGGATTATTTATACATGAAAGAACTCGGCTACAAAACTAACTCCAAGCGCGCATCTCACCCATCCAACTGTAAATTATAAGTTTTTCGGTACACTAACGGTTGATCTAACAATAATCGCTGCCTTTTATGTGAAAATAAGCAATATTATTTAGTCTCTCTAGGTTATTGGTTTGATCTCTTTTGCCTTCTTTGGTGGTGATTGTAGCAGAAATTCAGGACAAAATGAATGACCCAGAGTTAGTTAATTATGTCTCAACTCACTCTACTAAACCATTTATTTCGTGCAGTGTGATTGGTTTTATCCATCCTTTACTGACTTTTCTCCTTCAAACAAAATAAAAAAACGCGGCTTCGCCGGCAAATTCATGTGTATTTTGTAATTGGTAAGCTTTTAAACTCTACGCAAACTCCTCCAGGTTCAGTAGTTCAAAGAAAAGGGCATGTACCCCATTCTTTAACAAAAGAAATCAATGAAAGAGATCAGTCTTAACTGCTTTCTTTACCTTTAGATAATCACATTAGTTTAGTTAGTGCAGCAAATTGTCCAAAAGGCAGCTAATTCCCACCATATCCATCATATCCTATTCACGATCCACCTTCTCTATCCTTTTGTGAATGAGGTCATTAGGTTCATTAATTTTTTTAGGGTTTCTACATACATTTTCCACAGGAAGTGCACTTAAATATTGTTAGCACTTGTGTAGTGTACTCAAAAGTCTTTATTCTCCACTTCTTGGATTGCTGCTGAGTTGCTTAATATATGGTCGATTGTACATCAAATGTTCGCTTCAAATTACAGATTAATGAAAGGATAATTAGTGCTTATCTCATAAGGAATGAGTTTGATTCCTTAATGATCTGCAGAAGATGCTCCCCCACAAATAATTCTCCCTCAAGTGATTTTCAACCTAGACACCTTTTTTTGTCGAAAAAAAATTGTATTCATTGCTCAAAAAGATACATGAGAACTTCCATAGCAAAGCATATCGAAATAGAGCAAAGCTCGGAATACTACAAAACAAAGTCAAATCCAAAAACAAGGAGGATCAACAGAACTTCAGCAGGGTTAAGCATACACTCATTCCATAAGAACGAATCCGTCAAGCAAAATAGTCGGCGGCCGATTACTGGATCTCATATTATCGTCGGTGATGAACACATGCCGGAAGTTCCTTCTCTAATGACTACGTCATTGCTAGTTGGAGGTGCTCGCCTAGGTTTGACTTCCTCTACACCATTGCCGTATTGAGATAACCAAAACAGGTTAAGCAAATACAGATCTAACATTTGGAAGAGTAAATCTTCGTAGTTCAACGAGACGCTACAGCTCCTGCAATTACCATTGATACTGGAGGCAAAGGACCTGTAGACAAACAAAGCATAGGGGTATCGAATCACAGAAAACATTATTAAACTCCCAGATTGAAATCGGGAGAGGATAGCTCATAGATCTAAAATTAGATCGGGAGAGCTCAAACTCTCAAATCAAGAACTAGACCGGGAGAAGAGAGCTCTCGGATTTAGATCGGGAGAGAAAAAAAATAAGAAAAGAACAAGAAAACTCAAACAAAATCAACAAGAGAGGGAGAGAAGGGTAAGACTAGCTCAAACCCTCCCCCATGACTAAAGATTGAAAAAGATGATGGAGAGAGAAGAGAGAAGGATAGAAAAGACTTTTCGGCTACTAAGCTATGAACCCTAGACACCTTTAACTTTACATTTTTGGACACAATCCATTTACATGATCAATATGAAGGGTTGCAAGAGTTATTAATCGCCATGAATGAATTAAGCCGGTCATATGTGTCCCTAAATAGACTTCGTGTAGACACAAACGTTTCATGTGTTTAAGCGTTAATGTTGATTAGGCTTGGTGTAACTGCAAGACTATATTCTTAGAGGGTGAATCGATTAGCATCATCGCCAATCAGCTGCTAAACAAAAGATTTAGATTTGCTTCGGTAATTACCATTTCTTATTGATACTAGACCTTCATGAAATTCTTCAAAAGCTGAAGCTAGGTCAAAGAAGAGAACCTGTACATCAGTACTTTAACTAGACCTTTCTGGTTATATTATACTTTCGATGTTAATTTTAATTTCGGCTAGATCAAGGATAACGGGTTGTAACATGGGAGGAAGCAAACAAAATGTTCTTGGAACCCTAGAGAGGTTGATAGCTGCCCCGGCCTAGATGAAATAGAGCATGCTGCACAATATAAAAGTCTGATTTACATATGAGATGACCGGCTAGTCTCACGAGAATAAACATGTTTGGCCTTTTGCTATGGAAGATAATCAACGAGTGATAACTCTCGAGTTTTACTAAGAGCTTCTTTAATTAGAATAGTATTTGTATATATGCAATTTGCGGTAATCAAATCAATAGCTTGAATCTTCGAGGATTTGTTTATGGTAATGTGGACAGTGCGGCAGTGATTGTGGTCAAGGCAACTACAATGATAACGGCAACATATATGGGGTATGGGGTTAATTAATTATTATTAACTTTCTTCTTTAAGCAGATCTTTTCTCCCCCTAATCTTAGCAAATCCTTATTAGTTTAATGAAGCTAACAGCTTTACCATAAACCGGACATTCATAGCCAACATTACCTGTAAGAAAAATATTTAAAAGTAATCTAGTTGTTGCCTAAATGAAATTTTTTTGTCCGGTTAAACTGGTTTACATGATAACAATAATCACATTATGATCTCTTTAATCTTGTGTGGTCTGACAGGGAATTATATAGAAAACCTAAGTATCATTAAAGTAACTTGGTGAAGTAAATATTGACAATGCTATCATCGTAATAGTTTTTGAAGAATAAAAAGTATATTTTACACCACTATGAATTCAAGTTAATAAGGAAAAGGACATTAAAAGTGTCATAACTTTCGTACGATACTCATTTTTGTGCCAAAACTTTTCCCAAAGGATCACTTGAGTGTCAAATAAAAAAAAAACGATCACTTAAGTGTTTCCGTCAACAAATTCAAGCCAAAAGTCCCACATGACTATTTTATTTAATTTTTTAGTATGGCGTGGCTTATTAAAAAAAAATTAAAATTCAACATGGACAAAAGACAAGACCAATTGGCACTTTGACTAATTTGAGTTCATTTGAGGTGAACTACAGAAGTTGAGCAAGGATTGACGCCTCTCTCTTTCTAATCGACATGGCCGACACCATCGATTCCTCTTCCCAGGACAATGAAGCTCTCCCACCTTCCGTTGATTCGCTTTCTCCAGCCTCTTGCAGGCTACACGTCTTTCTTCTTCCATCGAACAATTTCATGGCATTTTGGGTTCTCCTTCTCCTGACGAATGTGGGTGTGATTAAGAATGATCGATTTCAAGATGAATAGGTTGCAGACCTGGAACCTACCCTATTAGAAACTGTTGGGAGCGAGCAGCAGAAGCCCGATACATTCACCTGGGGAAATTGCCAAGAGAGAGCTCAAGTACGAACCGGTCAACATATCCAGTTGGACCTACATTCACTCAAAAGTTTAAGTCAATGAGTTATGGGCCAACTAGAATATATTAACTGCTCAACATCACATCAATTATCCGATGTAGGACTTCTCTAACACAACTCACACGTGTATCTTAACAATCTCCCCCTCACGTATGAGCTCAGTGTTAGATTTGCTCAACATCACATCAATTATCCGATGTGGGACTTCTCTAACACAACTCACACGTGTATCTCAACAATCTCCCCCTTATGTATGGGCTCAGTGTTAGATTTGTTCCCCCTTAATTTAGGTATTATTCTACATCAATTTATCTAAAGCTGAATCTCCAAGTCATTGCAATGCACCCGCAATTATGCACAACAACCATCATCAACTGCTAACTTGGGATTGCATCGCCCATGGTCTCTATCGCGTCACCAGACCAACTGTCCATAGTCATTTCTCGCCAAACCAACTGTGATGGCAATTTCCACCCGAAACAAGCGTTGATAATGAGATTTCTTTCTTGAAATATTCACCAAACACCAAACAAGCGTTGATAATGAGATTTCTTTCTTGAAATATTCACCAAATACTAGAACAGATTGGAGGCCCACCAATCAACCATTGGCTCTGATATCATTTGTTGGTAGCGCGCAGCAGAAATCCAATACCTTCACCTAGGGAGATCGCCAAGAGGGAGCTCAAGTACGAGCATGTCAACATATCCAGTTGGACCCACATTCACTCAAAAGCTTAAATCAATGAGTTATGGGCTAACTAAGATATATTAACTGCTCAACACCACATCAATTATTCGATGTGGGACTTCTCTAACACAACTCACACGTGTATCTCAACATAAACGGTTCCCAGTTTTTGGAACTTGGAATCTATTATGTTTACCATGGAACCTACCTTGTTTTTTCAGTCTGATTCCAAGGCCCACTCGAGAACCTTTTTTTTTTATTCCTTTTTGTTTTTCTTTTATGTAAGTCCAAACTACCATGCCAATAATATCTAAAAAAAATTAATGGGCAATTAATACGAAAAATTATATATTAACAAAATATTAAAAATTTTGTAAAAGGAAATGATTCCTCAACTCATAAGAGGAAATCTCTAACCGAAATCGTAGGTGATATTTTTGAATTTTGTATTGATCAACCATTTTTAAAATTTAATTAACCATTTAAATTTACATAAATGAGTATCTAATTTTTGTAATTTTTCATTCTTGCTAATGAGCCCTACTTATTTTTGTTTATTTTTATTAGTTCTATTAATATATTCATTAAATTTAAGAAATTTTATTTTTAATGTAATTACGGATATTTTTGCTTGATTTTAATATTTTGGTTAATTTATTTATTTCCGTTTTCCTTCTTTTTTCATATTTACAGAAATCAAAGGTACAAAATAGAATTTCTTAAAAAAATGGAATGAAAACAACACCATTGCCGTATAGGTAGATCTCATTGTGAAAGACCTATTACTAGATAATTCATGGGTAGAGCACTTTTGCCCCCTTAACTATCATGTGCATTGTACATGCTCCAGAAAATATGACGGATGATTAACTATTATAACATAATGAAAGTTTAAGTAGATAATGTATAACATTTGAATTCGACCCAAAAAATGTATAACATTTGAAATTTTATGGGCAAACATATATTACCCCCAAAGTAGAGGGAGTTTTGTATAATTTTCCCTAATTATCATCAACTCTTTGAACGTTGTGGTTTGTGGGAAAAACGAAGAAAAAGTAAGACACCATTTGGCACATCTCCACAAGCACCTACCAAAATTTGTTTCTCTGTTAACACCCGAACATGAGTTTTGATTTGTCCAAATGTAGAGAAAACTTTGTTCATATCCATAAAATTCGGATTGATTTGACCTTTGAGTGGATCACCAAAAATTTGTGAACAAGTGGTTGATCAGACTGAATATGTACCCCCTTCATTAACCGCAACCGTCAATTCTCCAGCCTCGACCCCGACCACAGGCTGCCCCACCAAACCCTAGAGATCGGCACGATCAATCCCAGCCGATGGCACAGGCCTACAGCTCCGAAAACAAGCCGAAGCCGCTGGTGATCGTGACCTGGAGAGCGCCAACAGCCTCAATACCCCAACTCTCAAGGTCGGGAATGGGAGCGCATCTTTGACTGCTTCGCAAATACGCGCGGGGCGCGTGCTTAGCATGACCGGTACTATCACTGACGTGAGCCTGCTGCAGCCAGCAGCAGCTAGATCTATGGTCGGTTCTTGAGATTCCGCCGCTGCCCGTTGCATTCTTGCCGCTTCCGGCTCCACGGCGGGCAAGGCCAAGTCGTGGGAGGGAGCTTGGTTGGTGAGCTACCCGCAGCTGGGCCAGCCATCGTGATCTCAAGGTCTTCAACCAATGTTGCTTACAAAAGATGCGCAACACGTTTCCGAATGTGTCTCCGGGGCTTCCGTGCAATTGTAACGTGGCCAGCACTAACGATGTCCAGCTTTCCAGTTGATGGATGGAACTCGTCCTCCATTTTTGAATATCTTGTGGGTGATTGAAGCCGAATCGCAATCCTTTTTTATAGACGGATTTTGGAATCTCAAAGGTTAGAAAGAAGTTCATAGATTTGTTAGCACCACCTGATCTCGGTTTGACTTTCTGATCAATCTGTTGATCTCTTTTAGCTTCTCCTTTGTTTGTTTGCTTCTTGGACTCGGTTCCTTTCATGGGGCTGTGATGTGGAAGTGCCAACTCCTTAAAGAGAAAATGGTTTGAGAACGAAACATGCAACTCCATTTCTTGATCCTGATTTGGTGTTTTCTTGATCACATTAGACAACCTAGCCTGTCATTCCATCACATAAAACTTACCCTTTTGGGTTCCAAGCACAAAAAATTCATAGATTATTTACATATTTTGGTGACAAATCTTCAGCCCCTTTTATTCTTTCTTTTGTGAGACCCCATTCTTTCGGTTCTCGGCCCAGCCTATGTTTCTTCAAAACCTCAATCCAGGTGGGTTTTCATTATCTTGGGCCGGAAATAAAGCCCATCGCATGACAAAACAGAGGCCCAGGACATAAAACCCGGAAAAAAAAATTAAGGAATAAATGCATTAAAAATCTTAAAACTTGTCACCAAAGTACAATTGAATCATAAAACTTTCAAAAACTACAATCAAGTTTTAAAACTTGTTAAATTGATCCAATCAAATCCTTCCATTGATTATATTTTTTAAAATTAATTAAAAGATGGAAAAGGAAAATGAATGGATGGAAGAACATGAAGTAAAATTCAAGCATAAACAGTTAAAAGAGAAAGGAGACCAGAAATCCTGTAGCTCCCAAAGAACACGATGCTATTGTATTCGATGTTTAGGTATGGAGCGCGCAGAACGCATTTATCAAAAGAAAATCTACAACCTTCAAACCTATATGTATATTTCTCCCCTCTTCTTCTTCTTCTTCTTTTTTAATTTTTTTTTATGGATGTGTCTCTCTAAAAATCTTGAGCATAGAAGTCAAGGATGTCCTTGAGATTCAGCTGGAACAAACAAGTGGAATCATTGTGCATCAACCACAACATGTGCTCGAACAAGATGGAGTCCACATCCACCAGAACCACCCTCTTCTCCTTCCTCGTCCCCCTCTTCCTCGCCGAATTGATCAAGACCTGAAAAGGGTTCTCTTCCAGCACGAAAGGGTCCACCAAGAACTCCCTCCTCTCCTTCCCCACCACCACCGTCACCGCTGCCGGCCGCTCCGCCGGCTCGCCGTCGCCGAGCGCCTCCTCCGAGAGCGGTCGGTAGCCCAACCTCGAACCCGCGGACCGCCTCCTCAGCATCGAGACCGGCAAGACCAAGCAATCCATGGGGAGAGAGCAGCTCCAGGATATTAGGAGATTATGCTTAGAGTCACAAGATGTTTGGGAGAGAGAGAGAGAAAGAGAAGTTGAGAGAGAGAGATGAAATGGGCAGCAAAACGGCTAGTGAGAGAGAGCATATATGTAAAGGCGAGGAAGAAGAAGAGGGGGAGAAGAGCGTTGCTGGGTTTCCATTAATGATTTGGGTCGCTTTCACGAGAGTGCGCGCAGGCCATAAAGAGCCGTTGGGAGTGTGGAATTTAGCACGAATTGAATTGCCGACTTTAGCTTAGGACATGAAGGCGCTTTCAATATTCAATTACTATTAAAGTATAAGTGACATCGAATGCTCAACCTAAATATAGAACTTGTGATCGGCCATGTTCACGATGCTATTGATGATCCCAAACTCCACGCGATTATAAAAGAGGATTTTGTTGAACTCCCTCTTCATTGTCATGTTCTCAAAACCCGTCGTGTTAGCGGCTTTCGTCAATTTTTCACCCCAACACATGCACGCACGCACGCACGCAATGCTTTTTTCATGGGGTGCAATACTAACATAAAGAGGGATGATTACCAAAAACAAGTCATAAATTTATTGTAACGACGTTAATTTAGTGCTAAAATTTTCAATTTGATCAATTTAGTGCTCTACATTTTCATAATTTGTTAAAGTAGTTCTTCTAGCCAATTTTGACAGATAATTGCTGATGTGGACGCTAGCCGTTCTACACGGCATCGCCGGAGCTAACGTAGATAATTTTTGCAAATTTTTTTTTTTTCAATTTTTTCTTTTCATTTTTTCTTTCTTTAAAATTTTGAAACAAATGCAAAAAATTGTTCACGTTAGTACCGGTTATGCCACATAAGATGGCCAGCATCCATGTCAGCGGTTGCATGCCAAAATTGGCCGAAACGACTACATTGACAAATCGTCAAAAAAGCAAATTAAAAAGTTTAAGACCGAATTGGCATACATACAATAGTTTTAGAAATTTTTTTTTTTTTGTAATTTTCTCAATGTGAAGATTACATGAAAGCTCTCTCGTGGTCCACCATCCGCTGCATCCTATCATCCCAGGCTTTTGACGATTAATAAACGTGGGTTGGCACGTACATATAACACAGCTCAACATCATATGATGGACAACGAACCACCAAAAAACGATATTAGGTAATCAAAACAATGGCTGCGCTTGACCTAACCACACGTCTTCTCTTCGTCCTCTCCTCAACCCTCAAGACGCGGTTTGGCGCAAGTTGTAATGGTTAGGTGCCTCGTCGGCGTTGCATTGACAAATTCACATTCACCATGCAAATCAACTGAACCCCCAATTCGCATGCGCACTCTTCAAAGCTCTCTTGAGGCTTTAGCGACACGATCCGATCTGAGGAGGGCAAGGAATGGTCGTTGGGGCCTAAGGGCCCGGACAAGAAGCGGCTACTCATAGGTGTGTGTGTGTGTGTGTGTGAAAACTAGAATTAAAATAGGGAGGCACTTTTGTTAGTGGTCTGCCCTAAGAATCAATCAAGGTTGATACTCTAATATTAGTTGTGGATTAGGTTGTATCGGAAAACCGATCTTCACTATACTTAGGTAGTCATAATGTCTTGCTAGAGACCGCTTATGACTTGTGGGCCAAAAGGGTTTTGAGCACACTGCTAACGTTTAGTGAACTTACAGGGTCGCACACAATCGCGAACGGACTTCATATTTTCTGTGCGCTTTGATCTACTTAAGAAGTAGATATTTATTCTCCTATTTATCTATGCGGTCGTGCGCGTTATGAGATAACGTTACATGTACGATTGGAAGTGGATAGTTTGGGCGGGCCCAAATAGCCCGGCCCATTAGGGTTTCCTATAAGGTTATATATATATAGTGAGAGAGTCTTACGTATCTATGCCTCCGTGCCTCCAAGGAATGGGAAAACCCTAGAGAGAGTGTCTCCAAGAGAAACCCTAAGATAGAGAATCGTTCTCGATTCGGCATTCGAGAAAAAGGAACTTCAAGATCTTTCGCTAGTCGTTGGAGAATTCCGTTCTTGTGTGTGGATACCGATAGAGGCGCAACACTTGGGGCGCTAATCCCGACACAATCGGTTGCCGATTTATCTTTGATATGCAAAAGGTACGCTTCGAAATTCCCTTTCGATTTCAATATACACATGGATCCTGTCTAGGGTTCTATATTCCACTGCGTTGTTTTTCGTTGATGAACCCTACAACTTTTTGACGTAATGGCAATTGTTTAGCTTTGGATATCCAAAGTCAAGCATGCTCAGATAAGAGCACTCCTAGAATGGATAACCTGTTAGGAACCAATGAACAAATCGTGAGACTCGATATGGAACAAGTTAAAAAAGACAATACCCCAATGAGTTAATCTAGGCGTCACAATATGGTATTAGAGCAGGATCCCCTCCAGTAGGTATGTGATTTGGGGACGAACCACGCTAAAGCTAGTGGGCCTATAACGACTGTGTGTGTGTGTGTGTGAAAATTGGAGTAACCTGTACGCTAAAGGACAAAATCGTGGGACTGGATAGGGAATGGGTCAAAGCGGACAATACCTCAGTGAGTTAATCCAGGGCGTCACATTTAAGGTTTCAAAACCTTGTCAAATCACCTCATGATCTTTCCCTTTGTTTAATTAGCTTGAAGAGCACTTGGCGAGCCCTTATTATCGGACACATGTGGCGATCATGCTAATTAGCTCAACGTTAATGACTCTAGTCGGTGCCCTGGTTAGTGGGCACGAAAGAGAAAAAGCAAAGACGCCATTGGGCACATCTTCAGGAAACACCCACCCAGCTTTGTCTGTGAAAACACGCCGAGTCAGATAGGGTCCCTTGCGTAGAGGAAATCTTGTTCGTGTTCACAAAGTGGAGATTGATCATTTGATCTTTAATCAGACTGAAAATTACCGCTAGCAAACCCATTTTTGGAACAAGACTGAACGTGACTACTTGTGCAAGGCAGACTTCTCCTAACTCAATCTTGACTATCTGCACATGAACCTTAATTTCCGCTCATCGTTTTACGTTCTGCGATTGATCTGTTTACGTTTTTTGGTCTCTTTTTTCTTCTGTTTTTTTGGTTCTCGAGTTTGGTTGCGCGATTTGCGTGCATGTGGACTGGACTTTATGGACAAGAAAAGGATTATACTAGAGTTATTCGCATCTAACTGTTGCTTATTAACTTGAAATGATGTTGGGTTGGTAGCAATTCAACATCATATCAAGAAAGGCCCAATACGTTGGAACTGTCAAGGGTTGGGCCTAGAAACATTCTCATGAAGCCGCTTGCGTGTCCCGGTCACCATCATCCACTACGACAAACCTGTTAACGACAATGCGAACGAAATTGGCGGCAGACGAAAGGACAGAGAACGAGCCGAGTCAAGCATGCCTTGAGCTTTCGACGGAAGAAATGACGATGCATCTCCTCGGCCATGATGCACCTGGCCCTCTGCAGCTTCTTCTTGAGCCTGTCAGCAAGCTTCACATCTAGCAGCTCGTTGCTCGCCTAGGCACCAATGGAGGCCCCAAAGGCGGCGAATGGATGAGTCGAGCACGAGTGTGCACTACGGTAACGACTGCTTCTCGCTCGATGTGCGCGCGACGTGCGTGGCAACAACGTCCTGTAGCTCCTTCACCTGCTCCACTGCCCGCCGCACCTTGCTCCTCCATCCGCCTCTCAGCCTCCTCCGCCCCCTTCGGCGGCGGCATCCCGTGTCTCCTCGACGAGAGAGAGAGACGGAGAGATTCAAAGGATGAACAAGTTCAACAACAAAAACAGAAGACAAGCGTGCAACTTCGTTCTTGGGAATGAGAGTCGTGCGATGTCGTTTTTTCGAAGGCCAGCCATGTCGACTCGTTGTTCAAGATATCCATGTGGACTGATTTTTAATAATAAAAAATGCCAACTCATATTAAAGTTTTTATTATAAAAGTCATGTAATATTTTTTTACCAGAATTTCTCGCCGGATACATTTAAGTGATTGTTTTTTCTCCAATTTGGCACTTACATGAACCAGGGAAAACTTTTTACACTAAAGTGAGCGCCGTACGAAACTTTAGCACTTTCAGTCTCCTTATACCCATTTTAGTCTTGAAGAAACCAGTGGCGATTTTTAGCCGTATGAGTAAATTTGAAATTAGAATGAAAGTTATGAAAAAATTCACAGCAGAATTGGGTACGGGCCTAAATTTGAGGATTTTTCCAGGGGAATTAGCCCATGAAAAGTGAGGAAACAGAAAGCACCTCACTTTAGGTATTATTTATGATCAAAACTACATTAAGCTAATTAGTGGCGGATGATAAATTTTTTCTTCTTTTTTTTTTGTTTGGAAAATCAATTCTTTTCCGTGGGGGGTCTTATGTCAACCGGATCAGTGGACATATAAAGAAAGCCCGATTGTAATTATCCACATCAAACGCTTTTAAAGACGACGAACGAAGATGAAACATCATGAGGAGCAAGAGATGATCGATAGAGCAATGTTTGTATTGAATTCAGCCGATCATCTATACAAATCTTCCGATTTCTCGAGCCGTATGAGAAGAAAAGCTTCGTGTGCATTTCTAGGGAGGTTTTAATCTATCTACGTCTATCCCGACAAGCCGTTTATCGAGCCGTAACAATTGACGTTCGACTCCAAAGAGAATTGCGTTTTTTTAAAATCAGATTGTATTCGTATCTCTTCAAAAAACTGAATTAATGGTCGGCAATCATGGCAGACGAAGTGTGTGTAGAGTACCTTATCCAAGGCATCACCTCCACGTATAAGTAAACATCTTTCCATCACAAATCATATTGTTACTAAACACAAGGGAAAATAACACAAATGATCTCAACTTTTATCCTATGTGCAACCCAATGTGCAATATCGTCTCTAAACTTTTAATTTGTTCAATATGATCCATGAAAATATTTAATTAAGTCCCTGAACTAGATAATTAGGGACTAAGATTAAATCCAGGAATATAATTATTCATTTCTAATCGTACGAAATAGATGGGAAAGTCGACATCATTTTGGTCTTCCAAGACCCCCAAAAGTTGCTCACCTGGTAACATATGCTTTTAAGTTTTCTGCATCCAGCCATATAGTTCAAACATCAAATTAATCAATGTCGTTGACATTAACCATGCTTTGTCAAGTGGGTTTAAGGCCGTGATCCTCGCTCAAACACGTTACCATCTAAGAAAGAGAGGCTCTGGCGTAATCACTATCCGATGAGACTCGGTTCCAAATCCACAAATTGAGCCGATAAAAAGTGCTTTTTGCTCTTTTCTGCTGTTGGGAATGCGGATCCATTAATTCAGACAGGTTTTATCATGTTAACTTCGTCTTTTCATTTTGAAAATGAGCACCTAATCTTGTCCTGGTTGGTAGTTGAATATCTGCTGAATTTCAAAAGGATAATACTGGGTGAGGATAAGGTTGTATCCCGTGTGCATGAAGACATGTTTAATGCCATGTTAAAGTAAATAGATTGGAAAATGAAGTTTTTCTCCTTTTTTCCTCTCCTTATCCAAATGCATTGACAGCTGAAGAGAAGAGTCTCTGTCATTACAAGTACTAGTACTCATACGGCCAAACCTGTCGGTAGCCGAAAAACTGCTTATTCATTGAAAGGTCACGCGACGGGGAAAAAAGATTTAAAGTCTATACAAGTTAAACTAGTAGGGATTTTCTCTGCTTGCGTTGATGGTGACGATGTGTGGTCGCAGCGGCAGTAGAATAATAGAAGTGTTCTAACCATGAGTTGTGAGGCCTGTGACTGGTAGGTTTATTGCTAATTCTAGCTGTTGAACTTCTGTTCCGGTGTGCTTGTCGAAGCCTGCAACAACCAAGAAAAAACCCGAGTTTACCTTTGTGCAACAGAGGATATCCAGTGCTTGACTCGTAGATATTTCTCGCCTCATATACATCTAAAAACTAGGAATTGACAAGGTACAGCAAAGTCCAATGGGAAATGCAGAAATGGGGGCTGATAATTACTGGGTATCTTGAAGGATAGACACCAAAGAAATGAGGAGAAGAAAATGAGAGACTCACACCAACTGATGTGACAAAATTGCAGACAGCGCATTTGACCGACCGTGCTCCGTATTGATACATCAGGAGCATCCTGCAGTTCCCGCAGTTGACGTGTGCCACCTGGTTTGCTGTTGCAATACCCATTTGATGTAAGATCAGACCCTCAATGAGCGTTACGGATCAAATGAGCATTTTGAACATTCCGTTTCAACAGATTGGACAATCAAAGTGCAACAACAAGGGGAACTTAACATGCGACGACATTTAAAATTCATAGATGATCCAATACCCTCCAAGGCAAGGTTGACGGTGTGACAACAGGAGCACTGTACGCTTGTCGCTCCTCGGATGTACATGAGTAAGGTGTGGCAGCCTCCGCATACCAACTGGGCCATTTCGGTGCCTATCATGACTCGCACATGAACAGACTTTGTTATGCCAGACTTCCAATTGCTTCGCATAGTTGAGAGGATTAATTAATTTGACCAAAGTATATAATTTGTGAACTTTAGAGCAGCTAGCCGAGAAAGGTACCTGGAGGAGGAACTGCAGTGACCGCATTGCAAACTGCACAGCAAATGGAGGTCGCTCCTGCCGGATAAAGCAAGAGATTCCTACACCCAGAACAGACAAGCTGGCTTTGTGTACCTGACCACCAACAAAGTGCATTTTAGATTTTAGAAATTCGGATCGGCATTAATATGTCATTGAAAGAGTAAGTGCCTCCAGAAACAAACAGTGCCTGTAACGATATATGGTTAAGCAAAAAGGTAGACTTTTCGGATGATCAGAAAGAGACTAGCGAGTGATCAGTCCTGAATTTTTGAAAGTGAAGCTGGAGGTTTCTTGCAGCAGTTTACAGATTTTCTATTGAAAAACAAAATGAAATTTCGACAATCTTCCTCAGCTAATTGCTTATCCTCAACCTCTGTCTTGTTCTCCCAAACTCTGCAAATCTAGTTATCCTGCATTTAGCAATAGATTCATTGTCCTTCCAATGCCAAGACAAAATCATCTGCTTAGTTTTGGACCATTATCATAGAATCTTCAATAATTCATGCGACAAGCGAAGTGAACAGGACAAGAACATACACAGACTGCTTCAGTGCCACTCTAATTGGCCTTTTAGCAATTTTAACTCTTCTATATTAAGAGGCCATCGTCTAAACTCCATTTCTTAAAAACCATTGAAGGGCATACTTAGAGTCTACCCGAGATCGAAAAAGGAGCTAAGAATCAGAAGGTACCATTCACAGGCGGAGGAGTATATGGTGTCGTTGGAGGAGTTGGATACGGAGCGAGAGGAACCGGCATTGTATCAACCCTGCAGAGTAGGGATTGCCTTCTTCGAAGCTCTCAAAATTCTGCAATCTCAAACTCAGAGTATGCTTCTCTCTCTCCCATCACACCTGTATCTGGCAGACAATATATATATAGCAAGTCACGATGCATTAGTAGAGACACGGTTTTCACCAAGGAAAAATGGAAAGAAACTTGTAGAAAGCAAAGGAAACAGAGCGACAGAAACTCAAGAAGATATCAGATCACTTGACAGAGAACAGATTTTTTTACTACCAACTGAAATAGTAAGCTTCGATTACTGCCCAAACTTGTGGGCCATTTTCTAGAGGGATGGATTCGATTGCATTTAAGTGTGTCGCGCACCTCAGATTAATAGATGCTTCAAAAAGCCAAAGCCAAGGAAAATTCAGTGACCATCATGAAGTGGGGGCAGGGACATACCTCTCCAGGTTGCTGGTGAAGTGGAGAGAGAGAGAGAGGAGGAGGGAGAGGGAAGGGGTGGGGTCAATGAATGGAAGATGAGAGTGAGAAAATTGGTGTTAAAAAAGAGCCAATTTTGACTCTCTTGTATGGCCTCGGGTTGTCCAAACATCCTCAAACACCCGACTAATCTTATTAGCTAACATTCTTTGATCCCGCCCCGACCGTGTTATTATCAAGGCACGAGGACCCCGAGAAAGGCCTTAAGAACCTGTGGCCGCCACGCTTCGTAAGGCGCCGCTATTCTACGTGGGTCTTTTAAAACTTAACTGCCTTCCCTTATCAGGTTCTTTTCTTTTCTTTTCCAATGTGCAACCAAGCTTTTTGAACTCCTAGCTCCTCTGCTCTGGTAGAAGTGGTAAATTAACTCACCCATCTCCCTCTGTTGGTGGAATATCAAGATCAACCCCTTTCCAAGAACCTCTGGGCCCCCGCAAACAACCCCCACCCCTCCCTCTCGCTGTTATGGCTCCCTTTGGCTTCCTACAGTTGATGCATGTGAGCGATGCCATTGGCCACACGCTCCTCTCCCCTCGGACGTCGAAGGGTCCCGACCCAGCCCACGTCGCGCGACGGACCGATCTCGCCCGTCCGTAGTATCCATCTCCGTGCTGTCTGCAACTGGATTGAGATGGCCAGTAGCTTTTTAGTTGGCGGTGGTCCTGCGTTATTCTCCTTATCTATTGTCAAATTTCGCGTTTTGCCTTAAAGATGATTGCGAACCGAGATATTCTCCGGGTGTCACGCGTCGCCGAAAGAACCGAGGCGAAAATCGGAAAGTTTAGTATGAGGATTCTTCTTGGGACAATGATTGCTTCGCCGTAAGTTTCATGCGTTAACAAGGGGTCGCAGCGACAAGACCCGCAAAATATGTACATGGTAAGAGAACATGTTCAGAATATTAGAAGATGGAAAGTTTTAAGCTTTGCTAGCTTCCAGTTCAATTGATTCCTCGACTCTTTGTGCTTTGGCAGCTACCTTAAAAGAAAAATGCCAGGCTCAAACGCAGTACATGGTTCCCTCAGTAAAGACTAGTACATCCATGTTTTTCACGATTGACATTTCCTTGCCCTGAGGTGACTGCTCCAGAGAGTCCTTTCCACAGTGGCAATGGGTGACAATGGGTGAAATTTAAGAGTGAATGGCTTTCCAATGCTCGTCCCGCTCTAACGACATACTTGGACTCACCCGACACGATCTTTTGACGGAATAGTCGGAGCCAAATTGCACACTTTCATTCGACCTTAGTTGCCTTCTGCAAATGCAACACTTGATTATAAAGGTTTACGGTAATAAGGCGGACACTGGTCGAGATTAGCAGCGACAATTCGCTCTTCCGCATATCCAAAGGATAAGGTGAATCCATAGACCATTAGATTAAACAGTTGTGGCAGAGGGCAGTCCATTGCTATGTATCACTCTCAAGGATCCTGAAAGGATCTTCACTGTCTTCGGTCATGCTTTTTGCATTACCAATTCGGTTGCCATATTCGACACCGAATAAAATATTCGTACGCGCGTGGAGAACAGTACCAGCATAATTTAAACTGTTCCTCGCGAAATTCTCAGATGCCGTGCAATTAAAAAAACAGCAATATAAATGTGTGTTCAAATATTCGCGCACGCAGGCAGGCATGAGATGAGCAATATTTGTATGAATGTATCTGTGAAGAGTGCGTTTGAACATAAGGCTAGAATGCAGGGAGAAATTTAAATATGAGGAAAAAAACATAAATGAAATGAATGAAGAGACAGAAAGAAAAAGGAAAAAAAGAGGCTAGAAAATAAGCAGAGAGGGACAAGAGGGATCTAATAATGAAAAAAGTCCAAGGATGGGCAGTGCGGCCTTTATGAGTTAAAGAAACACTACAGAAACCTCCATTAACAGGTCCATAGATAAGGATGCAAAGGGACCACAGGTCCTTTACTTTTCTTGGCTGTTTTTCCGCGTTCTAACTTTGATCCCAACCGGATATTCCACCTATTGTTCTAGAAATGTCCAAGCATTCCTCCCCCCATATTGAGTTATAGGGAGACGCGTGCCATGACTGTGATTACCAGATTCAAGCACCCTTTAACCAATCCAAATGCATTCCCATAACATCCGTGCCGAAAAATGTCTCGTAATGGTAACTGAGGAGTGCGTTTCCATGAAAAAACACTAGGAAAAGAGCATTCTGGGTCAGGCATCCGAGATGCCGGCTATACTTACCTTGAGTCCGCATTTCGGCATTTTTTGCACCACTGATACAAAATTGCCTTTCCAGACAAAACAAACTGTTTCTGTGGCTCTTAGCAATGACTACCCGGTTGTTAACAGGCATTAATCAGTGGTATAGACAAGAGGATACGAAAGTCAAGTGGATAAGTTTAGGTTTAGATGGGAAGCCTAACCTTACCAGTCGGGCGGCACTTATGATTCGAGCAGCATCAGCATTTGTAACGTGTGACTTTCCAACCCATCTAATCTGGTTATCCAAACGCACCTCCTCTTGGATACACGTTACACACCACTTCTCTTGCTGACACTGGAATGATATCAGCAGGTGTTTTGGAGGAAGATCACCATCATGCACTTAAAAGGGTCTATTAATGCAACCTTATCAATCAACCAACTTGGCTTGTTACGCAAAATATAAGACAAGATTATGGTTTTGGAGTGTACCTTAAACCAGATGCCGGTTTGAGAAACAACCAAAATCTGCACATCATTTTAAAAGATGACAAGGACCTGCATCTCCTAGTCAAACATTAGCTTTTATCTCCGTAGACTCAATGCAAAGAAAACCCATATATCCTCAGCACCAACTCGAGGTGATTCAACATTAGGCATATTCCCAAATTGAAAATAACATCTCAGTAGCAGCATAAACCAGTATCCGTTTGCTTGAACAATAATGAAGGAACGCCTCTTTCAACAGACAAATTAAAACGATTTCGGAAATCACTTCCTCTTGTCCAGATATGCAGTGCCATTCCATCAGATGCAGACATATCATATTGTGGGAATCCCTAGATACCTTGCAAATCCAAAAGTAGCAACTCAATTTCCAGCCACAATTTGCTAGGTTCATAATAACAAAGTAACGTGGAGAAGAAACTCATGGTCAGAGCCAACTATCACGCCCACTTTTTAAGCATTTCCGAGCAGTCGCAAAGAGTGCATCTCTAGATGGTTTTCACCACCAAATGAAATTCAAAATAAAAAAATTTACCGATCAATTCTTTTCGCCTTTAATTAACATGGTGTTCGGGTCGAAAGGAACTTAAGGCCAGCATTTCAAAATCCGAAATATTTGCTCCTTAAGAACTCTAATGACATTAGAAAATGCTTAAGTTGTGTGCAGAGAGAAGTATTGCAACGGCTGAGAACTCAAGCTGCGACCCGCAATTGTTAACACTAGTTCAAATATTGGGAGAGTGGAAACTTTTCCATCCATACTGACAACATGTGCAGGGGAAGATAGTGCATAGTGCCTCAATTTTTTCCGCTCAGTTATCACCATGTTGAAATTGAATTATGTCAGTACACGCGGTTTCTGGCTCCATCATAAACCACGGATATTAGCAGTCTTTCTCGCTAGAGAGAATGTTACCACTCGGATACTTGCAAAAACATTCTGCTTCCTCCATGAATCTCCGATTCCATTTGCATTCAGATACCATTCTTATGCTATCACGTTCAATCAAAGAATTCGGCGCCAACAGCTTAGGATTGATATTTTTCAACGCCCCGACCTCCTTAAGCACCAACATTGTCCCTGGGAGAGCCTCCTCAATGTAGTCAGAAGGCCAATGCATATTTGTCTCCGATGTTACTCTTTCCTTCATTCTTCACCTCCAGCTAGGACATTGTCTCTACATTTTCAATCTCCATATCAACACGTTTCAAGCATTCGAAAATTCCATGTGAGGTACAGGCTTCATCATCTGCATTGGCTGAGTCATTCCTGCCTTTTCGTACAGTTTCCGAATTCATGCATTTAATAGACTTCTATCATGCTCTTTACCTGTCAAAAGATCAGTCTAAGCCATTTCTAACTTCTCTTGTTTTGTTCCCATTCACTCGTCTAAAATGATGCCTTCAGATCTAACATGAATTAGAATGCCGCGATGGTTTGTGAAGTTCTCACTGCACAAAATCGGAACTTACCATAATTTCAATTGATATCACAAGAAAACCACGGAAACAAATTCTGACCAAGGCATGGTTTATCTCAGACAGCAGGACAAAAAACCACTCCAAATAAAGGTAGCTGCCATTATTTGTGAAACTCTATGTCTCTCATCTGCAAAATGATATCTACATGAATTGTTCCAACTCCACTGGCTTACTCAAGTCGCCATTACATAGCCATGCAGCTCGGTAGTCAAAGCTCAAGCACTGTTTCCATGAATAACAAATCCTAGCGGTTGCTCAAGAAAAACAAGAAAATAAGACGATAACGTGTCTCATTGTCAAGGAATCATTGCTTCACTCATTGCAAAAAATGCTACAAAGCTGCATATAACAAAAGATGGATCACTCAAATTACTTCTTTAGGCAGATTCTTGTCATGTTCAGTGACACCCAAGAGGCTATGCCTCCAACTCGGCGGCCTATGGCATAGTTCTTCGTGGCTCTGCATCATGATATTCATCAAAAGATGGCCGCACTGCATTCTCCAATTGCAAGAAAAGTTCGACCCGTAATTCTCACACGCAAACCCAGATCGAAACTGACTGCAGTTCCCACCAAAAACTTCAAACCCGAAAATCGCTTTGAAAAGAAAGAGGGAAAACTGAAGCTTTAGAAGACGATCCAATTCAAGTCACGGAATAACCCAACCTACGTTAGCATAGATGAATAGTACTTTGTCCAAGATTTCTATGGATCGTTTGGAAGAGCTATTTGATCTAAATTAATGAAAATGACACCGACATCGATCTTCAACAGCTAGGTGATCCTACTGACAGACATCAACCAGCAGCTCATTGCACCTGGGCCAACCAAAAAAGACCCTGCAACTAAGTTTGTACGATGAAACAGCAATCGTACGAGGAGCAAAATTCAGAGCTTCAGAGCTTCAGAGCTTCTAAACGTCGCGGAGAGGTTGTGCTTGGGCTGGGCTTTTGCTTGTAATCCATCCACTGCGGTCTTGATTTTTTCATTCTTTTTGTTTTCGGATTAAAAAACGTGACACAAATAATCTCTGAACTTTCAATTTGTTCAACGTTATCCATGCACTTTTGGGGTATATGTTCAACCTAATCATTGAACGATATAAAATGTTCAATATTGTCCATAATCCATGGGCTAAGCTGAACATACATCAAAAGTCCAAAGACCACATTGAACAAATTGAAAGTTCAGTAACTACATTACAAATTATTCTAAAGTTCAGAGACCACATTAAATAAATTAAAAGTTCATGGATCATATCGCATATTGGCCACAATTCGAAGACCATTTGTGTCATTATCCCTTTCGGATTTGCCAAATGATATGTGAATTGTCTTAATTTCATCACCCACTTTCATTGAATATCTCGATTAGGTAAATAAATTTAAAAAAATTTATTCATAAATGCATTGCTTATTATTATTCAGGCACGGAAATCGTAAATGTCGATCTCTTGGGTACATCGAGTCGTCAATGACCATGTTAACACCTACTATCTTGCGATAATATTACCGTTTGATTCTCATTCCAACGAAATTATCTTTCATCATATCGGTCGGATTCATATTTCTGGACGATTTAAGTCCCCATCTGTACTTCTTATTCGAAGATATAGGTGGACACAAGACATACAATACTAGTAGACACAAGACATACAATACTTCCAAGGGTTAATACCACAAAAAAATCTCAACCGGTACACCTGCGATAAATTTACCCCAAACTAAATTATTTGATCACCAAAAGCAACTCAAATTGGTACACCTGTGATAAATTTACCCTACATTTTTTTTGGTCAAATTACCCTCCAATAGTTTCCGTTAAATTTTATTGTCAAATTACTAAGTTGGATGACACGTGGCAATTGACGGATGTATTAGTTTAGGATTTTATCATTCTTTTATCACAGGTGCACCAGTTTGTGATCTTTTGTGGTATTAATCCAATTTAACGGAAACTAACGGAGGGTAAATTTGTCATAGATGTGCGAGTTTGGGGTTTTTAGTTGTCAAAAAATTAGTTTTGAATAAATTTTTCACAGGTTTACCAATTTGAGATTTTTTATGGTCAAAAAATTAGTTTAGAGTAAATTTATTATAAGTGTATTAAATTGGAGTTTTTCGTGGTATTAATCCTACTTCCAATTATCATCCACACTTTTCGTTCACAAATACTAATATTCATATTAATACTATCGGCATTGTCCATCTCCATTACAAGAATGCTATAAAACGGGTTTTTCGTTCTTTGCGATTCAAGGTCAAACGATAAATTTTTCTTGTGATAAATTTTTCACATGTAATAGATTTTTCTTCTTGCGCACGCATCGCGTCTTCATAAATACTAATACCATCATAAAGATAACAAGCATTTTACATGTCCATTCAAAAAAAACTACTAAACAAGGATGTTCTAAACGGTTTTCCCTTCTTCGTGGCTCCACCCTAAATAGTTTATCTTTCCTAGTCATTAAAATTAGTAAATTAATCTTCGAGACGTCGTTCTCTTCTTTAAATTAGTGTTTGATTACTAAGGTGCTCGCATCTAGTGGAGACTAATTACGAAGAATTAGGAACACGTCCTAACCAATGTTCCGAGATGCGCACGAAGCGTGTGCTTGTCCCGAATATCCCAACGTAGGTCCACTCCATATCCAAAGCTAGAAACCATCAACGAATTTGAGCCCATTGGTTTGGGGAATTCAATAGCTGGATTTTAGGAGATTATCAGCAAGAAAAATCTAGTCAGCCCGTCTTTAAATAATCCCGCAAATGTCGCTGCCCAAAACCATATATTATAATGGAAATGCCGAGTCTTCTTCTCATGAAGATTATGCTAAGAGTTTTCTTGCTTTGCTCTCATCTGGGTTCGGTTCGGTTCAGCAGATAGCACTTCCCCAGTTGAAGCTGGAGAGTAGCCCTTGTTGAGGGGAAAGCTGGTGATCCCATGAATATACAATTACATGCAAGACAAGCGGAGTTGGAACATAATCCAACATTAGGTGTTGGAAGAATCGCGATGCCGAGATATTATATTAATATCTCGGCGACTACGACTCTCCTAGGGAGTAAAGGAGTAAAGAGCGGCAAAGAATCACTTGCATATCGTATACCTTGTAACGGAGACATCGTCTACCGAGCTAATGCTTATCGGTTGGATTAGGATAAGGATTTATGTGCTAATGGACGGTGGACACTGTTGTTTTGCAGCTTAGGAAAAGAGCTGCGTGGGTGATTTTTTATGCATCTGTCGACTCCGAGCTACATCTAGTTGAAGTGATTTGTGGGCTGATTGATACATACCGTTTGCATCTGTCAAAGGCATATAAAGATCAAAGGAATCAACATCAAGCCGTTAAAATTGACTATGTTCGAGAAGAAAATTCTTCCCTTTACACGAGCCCAAATGCGTAAGAACAGCACACGCATTGTTCATGTTCATGAGCATAAGTTACACATTGAACTGTGATATGTACAGAATTTCGATATCAGAAACTGATATCGACCAAAAATTTACACACAACAGAATGCTTGAATGAATAGACAGAGAGACAAGGATCATATATGTGTTCGTTCCGACATACACACGGGACAGGTTGTGAAACAGTTGAGCTCAGGCTAGGTCCTTCTCTGTGGAAGTCTGACTAGGCGAAGCACCCGAGCAGAACCAGAACCGGAACCAGAACCACTTTCTCTTCTTCTTCTTTGTCGGTTCGGACTTGGAATCTCTCTTAGCCACGTGATCAGCCATGTATTGCACGACCGCCTGATGAACAGGATTGAGAAAGACGAGAATTAACCAAATGCCCATCTAATAAAGAACCTAAAGAGTTGCACTATGTAGTAATGAAGCAGTACCTGAGCACCGAGTCTGGCTATTTCTCTTGGAGGCAATTCAAGAGGAGTCTCGGCGGCTCTTAGAACTCTCAGCCTTGACAAGAACCTGAAAGAATCCGGCAGTTCTCTTATCTGATTGTTGCTTATGTCAAGTTCTTCAAGCATCTCCAGATTTCCGATCGATCTCGGTAGGGATCTCAGATCGGCAAAGTTGTTCCCGACATTTAACTTCTCAAGGCTCACGGCAAAAGACAAGGTCTCAGGCACGGACTCGAGTTCATTGAAGCTGACATCCAGTTCTCTTAAGTTGGAAAGATTGCTCGTAGTTGTAGGCAACCCTTTGATTCGATTGTAATGCAAAGTGAGAACCTCCAAGGATTCGATCTTCCCGATTGCCTCTGGCAGGGCCTTGAGCTGGTTGAAGTCTAGCCTTAGCTCGATGAGAGACGAACAAGAGCCGATTGTGTAAGGAAGCTCCTCAAGCTCATTGGTTTCCACATTTAGTTTCTGTAAAGAAACCAGATTACCTAAGGAATCGGGCAATCGGGTCAGCTCATTCGAGCTCAGATTGAGATTGACAAGACTAGACAAATTTCCAAAGGAAGCGGGCAAGGATCGCAATCTGTTGGCTTGGAGATCAAGATCTTGGATATTGATTAGCTCGCCAAATGATTCAGGAAGATTGATGAGCTGGTTGGAGTGAATGGATAGCTTTGTCAAGGCCCTCAGGTCGCCGATGGAGGACGGAAGAGCCATGATTCGGTTTTCTGATATGTCCAACTCGGTGACTTCAGATAATTTCCCGAGTGACATGGGAAGCCACTCGATTTGATCCATCAACTTCCCCTTGAGATCGAGGGCTTTGGCTCCCTTTTTTGCAGAGTTTTCAATGAGGGCAGCAACCTTCATTAGGCTCAATTTCTCAGAATCTCCCTCAGCTGTAAGATGCAAGTTTAGATGTTTCAGTCTTCAAACATCGATGCTAAACAACATATGAACGGAAAAATATGATCTTTCACAAATGACAAATTACAATCGAGATTCAATAATTATTCACTGCTGCAAGATCCTAGGTATTGATGAAAGTGTGAAAATTGGGACTCAAGTTAGAATTTCTGCTTTTCCTGCTTTTTCCCCTGAAGTTCAGTCGCTTTTGCCAGAAATCACATCAAGAACACTCAAAACCAGCATGAACTGAAAAGAAAAGGCAAAACCCAGATGAGTAAAGCTAAGGGAGACGGACTGACTCGAACCTTTAGAGATCGTTGCTTTTGTGGAAGCGCTCTTCACCAACTGCCTCAAACTCTCCTTCTCTGTCGCATCATCAACCTCGCTGCACACAAAATTCTGCTCCACAGCCTCGCTCTCTCTCACAATTCTCTCAACTGGATCCTCAAACCTCACGTTTCTACGGTCACCGTCATCCCCAGAGACCAGCTCAGACGCTCTCTGGATAAGCTCGTCAAACTTCTGAAACATCCTGTCCGCGTCAATCAGGTACAGAGCCTCCTTCTTCTGCTCATGGCCCTGGAACAAGAGCATGGCCCTTTTCACCTCCTTCAAGACGGAGCAGACCTCCGCGGGGACGTCCTTGGGAGGCTCTTGCCTCGAGATCTCCTCCAGCTTCGCCTTCTCTTCGGAGTCCACGGCCGCGAGCACGGACGAGGCCGCTTCAACTTCCTCGACGGTGGGTCTAGGAGGGAGCGATCTGTAGATTCTGGTGATCTCATCGATGGAGGCCACGAGAGCAGGCGGTGGTGGAGGGTCTTGCTTCGTCAAGACAGCCATTGGAGAAGCAAGGGACCTGGTTTTGATGGGAGCTTTTCCAGGTTATGGCATTTGAGAGACTCAGGAAATGTGCCTTCTTATAGAAGTGATTTGGCAGAGACTCTTTTGTTGCCAACCTCTCCCTCCTTTTTTTCTATTTCATTTGTTTCATTTATCCCTAATTTTATATAAATTTGGAAAAGGAGAAAAGAAGAAAGCAAAATCAAGGGTGTTTAGTCAAGGGAGACGATTATGCCGATGCACATGATTACCAACACGTTGATAAGGTTAGGGATAATGATACGAATAATTTTTTTTAACTTTGGTTCAATGTGCAATGTCGTCTATGAACTTTTAATTTGTTCAATATGATCCATGAACTTTTGGTATATATTCAATGTATTCCCTGAACTAAGTGAAAATATTCAAGGTAGTCCCTGAAAACGAATTAATGGAATGACTACATTTAACTTTTTCAAATTGTTCAGGGACTAAATTGAGCATGTATCAAAATTTAAGGATGACATTGAACAAATTAAAAGTTGAGAGACTGCATTGCACATTGGGTCAAAGTTCATTAACAACATTGAACAAATTAAAAAAAACAGCTTATTACTGTAGTTCCATTGGCATACATCATCGTGTGCAAGTCAAGAAATGTGAAGGAAAATGCTTGCTTTGCATCCTATAATTTCTTTTCCAAAAGCCAAAAAATGAAGAACATCAAGGTTAAATGAAACTCCATGTAACATTTGCTTAATTAAAAAGACTGGCATGTTTGTTGAATGAATATACCTACACATTACGAATAGGGTGAGCAATCGGACCAACTTTTAGAATTATAAATGTAGCAGAAGACTGAAGATCCTGATTATTTATGGATAAACAAAATTATATATAATCAAAATTGAGGGTGAAAACATGAAAAAATCTATACTAATCTCCAGCCATTGATGAAATCAAAAACCTGGTACACAGAGCTTTGACAATAGTCAATAGGTACCAATTCAACTCGGAAATTGAACCGTCTCATCTAACAGGTTCCAAGTCGGTTTCCGGTAACAGCTGGCCGGATTGTCGATTAGAAACTATTTGGGAACCCGCCAAACAGGCCGGTTCCATGATTGAATTAGTTTAGAATCTGTCTCATACACCTTTTTTTATCAAAATTAAAAATCTATAGACTCATAGGAATAAGATAATATACCAATTATGTGATTTTTACAAACCAAACCCGATTCTCGGGTGGAATCGGAAACCGACTAGTCCAAGTTCAAGCTAGTTTCGAATATAATCGGTTCAATCCCCTTTCCAACTTTTCGAAACCAGGACTAATAGGATAAGATTTAAGTTTTTCACTGTGGAACCGATCACCCATTCATCAATCAAAAGATATAGATTTGGAATGATTTAGCTTTGTGGATTCTTTAAAGGATCATATACTATTATTATTTGTTAGAGAAAAACGCAAGTGATTTTGGTGAGAAGAGGATTGGTCTTCAAAATTGCATAGGGTTGTCTTCAGTTTGTTCATGCATTCTCAAATTTTTATTTTTTATTTTTTGAAATGGTCAATAATACGAAAAGTCACTTATTCCGCTAAAATCAAGACTCTAGAAGGAAGGATAAGATAAGATTCATAAAATATTTCACAGGCAGATGTTATATTTGTGACAATAACACATTTTTTCCTTTACCCTTTTGGAGAAAAAGGAAAATTCCAAGAAAACGTTATTTTCCGCATGCAAACAATTGAGATAAAATCACTTCACATCACGTCATGGCGATATCGAAAATTAGGACGAATATTCAGTAGTCAATCAAAACAGTGGAAAGGGACACAGAGATTGTTAGTATCATAATAAGGAAAAGAAAGTTCAAATTTTTAACTTGTAAGCTTGGAGCTCAGAATTATGACGTCACTGATGAGAGTAGCATAACTGCCGGTTCTCAGCAGTGACGTCAGAAGAAAGGATGATAGAAAGAAGGATGAATTTTTGGCACTCTTCCAATGACGACCAAAAGGGGTCAATGTTTGATTAAATAATGAATTGATTAATCCTATACATATGCTTATTGGTCTCTTGTCCCATGAGGGAATTGTTCTAGGAAGTGTCCTTAGTCATTTTCGACCTTGGTAGAGGAGTCATAAAAGCTTGATTTTTTTTTTTTTCATAATTTGGTATTTGCCAAGAGATTTCTGTTGAATACTTACCCGGAATCAACAAGAGAGAGATCACCCGAAAACAAAGATACCCGAGCAATGAGATATCGTCTCCCGAAGTTTTGCCCTCTTACCAATTCACGGATCAAGTGAGACCCTAGCTGAAGTTAGTTGAGAGCACCCGAACAAAAATTGTTCACGGTTGATGTTATGTTGAATTGAGCCTGCACCAAAAGTATAGTACAATTATAGATTTGTTCTATAACACGAATAAGAACGATGTGGAAAATAGATTTGATAAACTTATTGTATATTTTGATGTGTATGGAAGAAGAATACATGAGCCTATTCATTGGTTTTATTAGATGACTATCTAAGATAACATACCAATTAAGATATACACAATCAAAGGGAGATATACACGCATTCTTGAGAAATACGGAAAATCAGCCGAAATATCATAATTATCTCTAGCTCTAACATACAAAATATTTTACAAAAAATTTCAACTATTTATAACAAAAAAGATTGAGACGAGATCAAGGGTTAATTGCAAAGTTATTACTATTATTACTATATACCCGCCTCGGGGAAGTGATGCCGGAGGGTGGAAGCCGAGGGCTCTTGAGCAAATGCAAAGGCCGGCTTCCCCTTGTTTGATGGCGGGGTGAGTGGTGCCACCATCGTCACCACCAAGTAAGGGGCAATCGATCCTCGTGTGATGATTGCAAGCATCGTTCGGCTCTCACTCGATGACAGCGCGTGACGACACTAACAATATTATTGAAATGAGAGTCTCTGCACTCATTCAGATATACATAAAAAGAAGAAGAAGAAGATAAATTTGGCCTCACTCATGCTCACTACGAAGATTGCTTTCCCTCATCTGACGGTGGGGTAGACGGTGCCACCATCGTCGCCGCCAACTGGGAGGCGACCGGCCCTCGTGCACCAGTTGCAACTGTCATTTAGCTCTCATTTAGCGGCAACAAGTAGTGATGCAAGCAATATCATTGAAACGAGGGCTGTTTACCTCGTTCAAGAGACTTGATTGTACTTTAAAAAAAAAAACAAAAAACAGTTTTTGGACTCTTCAATTTTGACAATTTTACTAGGGTTGGGGATTGAAAGCATACTTAACCACGCATTAATTAAGACAATGTTAAAAAAATCACCTACTTAATCTATCAAACTGTAACAATGACAATAATCTAAGTTATTAATGTATATGCCATTCTTTTTATCCTCGTGATTTATTGACAAAATGAGAAACTACTGATTTTTGGTAAGCCAGAAAGATCTGCTTATATTTTTATGACGAATAAATGCACAGCATATATATATATTTTTATTTATTTCATTGTATATGGTAACATAATCGAGCCCCCTTTGATTATATCCATTTTTTTCATGCCACTTCTTCTCTTAAGCAAATTTTATTGTCAACCATCTTCCTTTATAGTTTTGGGGGAAAATTCCATATAAAAGCGTGAAATACCTCACGTTCTCAAATAAAGGTCTGAGGTGAATATTATCTCAAATAAAGGTTATGAGTGACATTATTTTCTCAAATAAGCGCTTGAAGTGGCCATATCAATCATTAAGAAGAACTTGACCTTGCAAGCTGAATGACATTTTCATCCTTTAATTTTTTGAATTTTTTTTCCTTTTCTTCTTTTTTTTTTCTTATTATGCTTTTTTCCTTTTTTTATTTTTCTTTTTTCTCTTTTTTCCTCTCCCCTCCGCAAGCCATCGCCAAGCCTCGTCGATAGTTGATGAAGTTCGCTAGACTTAGGTGAGGGTCGCCCTGGGCTGAGCCGACAAGGATCGCCCTCACCTAGGCTAGCGAGAGCAACCCTCACCCTCGCTTGGCCTCACCGGTGCAACCCTCGCCTGGGCTGGTGAGGATCGCCCTCGCTAGATAGGGGGAGGGTCGCCCTCACCCGTCCAATTGAGGGTGGTCCTCACCAGAGGCCGACGGAGAGAATAGGAAATAAAAAAGAAAAGAAAAGAAAAATAAAAATTTTAAAAGAATATATAATTTTTTGACTAAAATACCCCTTATCAGAATAGTCACATGTTGGTCGGCCAGCCAAAAGCCCTTGTTTGAGATAATTCGGCCACTTCAGACCCTTATTGAAGACGATTTGGCCATTTCATACCCTTATTTGGAATTTTCCCTAATTTTGGTATGCTATAGGAAAAATTTTACTAGGCTCATTCCTAAAGTTAATAAATGATTTAATTTTCACCTACCGTCCTCAAATTTTAGCCCAATGTGTAATGTGATATTTAAACTCTTAATTTATCCAATGTGACCCCTAAAATTTACTCAAATGTGCAACGTGGTTACTGAACTTTTAATTTGTTCAATGCGGTCCATGAATTTTTGGTACATATTTAAGTTAGCCCCCAAACCAATATGAAAATGTTCACAAATCGGGCCAAAGTTTAGGGACGATTGTGTCATTTTCCCTTTCGAAAAAAGGATATTTGAAAAAAACGAAGTACAATTTTTTTCCCTAATTTATTTTCTCATGAAAATAAGAAGGTCGAAATTCTTTTGTCGAGGAAAAAGAAAATCGAAATAAAAGATTTCGTTTCCCTTTTCTACTTTCTAATCTCCTTCTCCTCCTCCTCCTCCTCCTCCTCCAGCCTACATAAAAAGCTCATCGTCGCCTTCATCGCAGAGAAGGAAGGAAGCACGCCCGCACGCCGCCGCAGCTCCGCCACACATGACCGGCACTGCGAGGGAGAAGCACATCCGAGCGAATCGGCGATCGCATTCCCGATCGTCGAAGCCGGACATGGACCACTCCGGCCGCCCCCACCCCCCGCCGCCGTTGCCGCCGCCGCCGACGACGATGACGATCGTCCCCGATCCCGCCCCCGAATCGGGCCCCGGCGCCTCCGATCCGCCGCGATCCCCCGCCCCGAGCCCGGCCCCGCCGCCCCCGGAGCGAAGCCCCATCCCCGGCCCCGATTGCTGCGGCCCCGTCCCCGACGACAGCAGCGCCTGGGGCTACTGCACCGAGGAGCAGCTGGAGGAGCTGCTGCGGAAGCACGTGCAGTTCTACTACAACGAGGCCCTCGCCAAGCTCTGCGCGCTCGGCTACGGCGAGGACGTGGCCCTCGGCGCGGTGCTCCGGAACGGGCATTGCTACGGCGGCATGGACATGCTGACCAACATCCTGCACAACACGCTGGCTTATCTGAACAGCGGCGGCTCCGAGAACGGGGGCGCTGCTGGTGGTGGCGGGGACGGTGCTGGCTCGGGCGAATCCGAGCTGGGTTTCTCGGATTTGAAGCAGCTGGAGGAGTACTCGCTCGCGGGGATGGTGTGCTTGCTGCAGCAGGTGAGGTCGAATTTGAGCAGGGGAGATGCTATGTGGTGTCTCCTCATGAGCGACCTCCACGTGGGTCGCGCCAGTACCATCGAAATCCCGGTGGTTCAATCGCCGAGTGAGGGATTGGGTCCGGTTGGTGATAAGAGCAATGCTGAGAGCGGCGCTAATGACACCGCTGCTTGCGTTCCGGCTCCCGTGTTGGGTAGGTTTCTTGGTGGTTTAGGATTTAGTAATGGCGGAAACGATTACGTGGAGGCTGTGAATGGCTTGGGAGATATAGGAGGAATGACAATGCAAAAGGATATCGAGTGTCCGAAAAGGTTTAACCTTTCGCCATCGATGAAATCTTTGCTGAAGAGGAACGTTGCAATGTTTGCAGCAGGTTTCAGGGCAAATGCGAAGAATTTGAGGGAACAAACTCCTTTCTCGCAAAATGGATCGCCTAGTGGAGTTGCCTCGGTTGCGTCACGGGAGAAAGCTGCGGTAGAGAAGAATGCGGAGTCGAGGAACACGAAGAACCAAGATGATCTCCATGCCATGATGCACAAATTCCTTGACATGGATATTGGCGCAAACGTTGATGAGAATCCAGAGGTTGCCGAAGAAGAGCGGAAGGACGAGATAATTTTGTCTATGCTTCGTGATATCAAGGATCTCGAGAAGCAAGTGAAGGAGAGGAAGGAGTGGGCACAGCAGAAGGCAATGCAAGCAGCTAGAAAGCTTAGTAGTGACATGACAGAGCTCAAATTGCTGAGGATGGAAATGGATGAGACTCAAAGATTGAAGAAAGGGAAACAGACTCTAGAAGAAACTACTATGAAGAGACTATCAGATATGGAGAATGCTTTAAGGAACGCAAGTGGTCAAGTGGACCGAGCTAATGCGGCTGTGAGGCGGCTCGAGACTGAAAATGCTGAAATCAGAGCTGAAATGGAGGCTTCCAAGTTGAGTGCATCGGAGTCAGTGTCATCCTGTCTTGAGGTGGCTAAGAGAGAAAAGAGGTCCTTGAAGAAGCTTTTGGCTTGGGAGAAGCAGAAGACGAAGATGCAGGAGGACATCACCGAGGAGAAACGGAAAATCTCGGACCTGCAACAGCAGTTGGTTCAAATTAATCAGGCTTCAGAAGAAGCAGAGGTGAGTTAAATGCTCGAGTTTACTTCCGACATTCCTGCAAGTGCAGGTCCTGGATGGTAAAGACCGGTAATCTACTTTGGCCCGTGTTTCATTGCCCAGTTTGCTATGCATTCCATATGTTTGCCAAGGTTGTTAGGTCACTATAAGTTTTCCCTATTCGGGACTCAACATTTCCAGATGTGGCCTGAGATGTTTAAATTGGTCCTGTATATTAAACTCCTAGTTACAAGTAAAAGCTAATTATCTATGATATCGCGGTTTGAAATGTTCATTACCAATTAGGGACAGCTTCAATGCATATGGTTTAATTAACGTTAAAAATGTTTCGGCAACAAACCAGTTTTGATCGTTGCTCATATGTGTGTGCACGTGCATGGCAATCATTGCATTGCATTCCCTATAAATTCGTATAGCTAATCATTCATAATCAGGATGCATTCATCTTCTTTTGGCAAGTGGCATAATACTTCATGGATGCATCTTGGATACTGTAGTGCTCTGGTTCTGTTTAGCATTATAGTCAGCTTGTTCTGGTTAGTGTTTGAAAAAAATATATCTACTTCCAAGTGAGCAATCTGAATACATACCCTAGCTAAAAAGTTACTTAACTCGCAGGGCGATACTGTTTTGCCTTAAAGGCTTTTTTATGATACATAGAGCTTCACAAACGGAAAAATGTCAATAGTAGTACAGATTAGCATGAGCCATGAGGAAGAGAGTATAAAAGTCCGGCAGATAAGTCGTATGCCGTGGAAGGAGGGAGGGGGGGGGGGGGTGTTGGGGTTGTCGGGGAGGAAGGTAAAATGGGTTTCCAAACAGACAATCTTGAAGAGACATTCTTGTTCTGGAAATTATAGACGACCTTGTTTGATGCAATTAGGTTTACTTCAGTATGAATTTCTTGTTTGGCATCTGAAATTCCTGAAGAGGCAATTGCTTATTGTGTTTCATTTATTTGGCAACTCAATTTTTTCTGATTATTGGAAATTTATTATGTTTTGCAATTGATGATTGATTGTTACTTCTTTTGTTGCTGATGCTGGTTTTTTATGCCCTTTTACATTTAGTAGATGCTTAATTTGCTTTTATTCGTTATATTTATTACTAAATACCACGCTTTTTTATTGCATCTAGAGACTTTAATTTATTATTTTGTGGCTCTTCTCATTTGGCTGTCTTCATTTGTTTGCTCCTGTAGTTATAACTTGATTTTGTCGGTGAATATCTATTACTTATCTTGACAAGAATCTTTTGAAAACTATCGAAAGGTTATGCTTGCATTGCCCTTATCTATGTATGGGCAAGACCTTAGACTTGTCCGCTCAAAGATCTGAATCAATTATGAGGGTGACATAACATTGCTGTTAAAACTGGACTGGAACAGTTTGTTCGACCAGCTGGACTGGAAGGTGGTTGTTAGTCTGGCACCCTTGAACCCCTTGAACTGGATTAACCAAAGACTGCGTCATGCCAGTTTGACCCTGGCAAATTGGAGTGGGTTGACTATTGTTGTAGAGTGGTGATATATGTACTGGTTTGGAGCAAAGGTGTGTTAATAGTTTTAGGATCGGAAGCTGGGAAAGTGGAGTCCAGCCCATTTTGTGTCCATTGGAGCTCTATTGAAATGCTGAGGTGATTAAGGGGCATGCCCGCCAAATTGAAGCCTGGATAATGAGAGGCTGGCTGGTGTCCGTGCTGGACTAATTATATGTGCTATGTCAGATAAAGATATAGGTCTAAGAAGCCACCGCAAGTTGACTCACTAGCAGTTGAAGCAATTGAGCAGTGGAACTCCATCCGGCCACTTCACGCATCCTTTCATGAGACTGGTTCTGAAACATTCTCGTAAACATTTTCCATGTCATGAATAACATCATGGCTGATATAAACCTTCAGAATGTTCGATACATCTGCCATTGCTGCACATTCATCATGAGAGTGCTGTCTTAAATTTGATTATCTTCATTGACATCCAGGCATATTGATGGTGAGTTGCGGTTGATTGTACGTCTAGTTTTGCAGAATGTGCTTTTGGTATATTTGGTTTTATCAAAACGAGCATTCACTCTCAGAGGTGTTATAGAAAATCTCTGAGCTAATTATACGTGGATTTTTTACGCATTTACGTTAGCTATCTTGTTGCTAGCTTAATGTGTTATACTTCTTGATTATATTGGCAGAGAATATTACACTTCAAAAAGCCCTTTCTATCAAGTTAGTTCTCGTACGCAGGAGGGTCGATATTCACATAACTTTGCTTTTCATAAAGTGACTAGAATTATTTTTTCACTTTGTTTTTGTTTTTATTTTGCTTTTTGCAAGTGCAGATTATTTACCCATAAGGTCCTTTAACTGTTGATTTGTTGCTTGCAATTCCAGTCAGTATTATTTATCTTGAATTTCTGTACAATCTCTGACTGCAAAAGCTAAGAACTCCAATGTTGTTGCAGGTTAAGTGGAAGCAGGCAAAGAAAGAGAAAGAGCTTGCCCAGGCACAAGTGGAGGAGGAGCAGCGATTGAAAGAAGCAGCTGAGGCAAGCAGCAAAAGGAGGCTTGAATCTTTGCGCTTGAAGATAGAGATAGACTTCCAACGTCAAAAGGATGATATTAAAAGACTTGAACAGGAGCTTTCGCGCCTGAAAATGTCTGCATCCGCCCAATCCGCAGATGCACATCATGGATCGCATGCTTCCCCTGCGGCGAAGTCTGAGGGGGGGAAACCAGAAGGAGAAGCAATCGCCAGGCTGCTTCATCAATTGGAACTGGAAGACTCGCCTGAGGTCAATAGAGATAGACAATGCATACTGTGCATGAAGGACGAGGTCTCAGTTGTTTTCTTGCCATGTGCCCACCAAGTTATCTGTGCCAATTGCAGTGATAGTTACTGGGGGAAGGGCAAAACCACTTGCCCTTGCTGCCGTGTCCCGATTGAGCAGAAAATCCATGTCTTTGGGGCAAGTTCATAGTTCAAAAAGAGAAGTCAGCTTGAATTGCTCTATTTATTATTGGACAGCCGGTTTCTTCTTACTATTTTTATTGAATTCTGGTTTAGGTGATGCTGCAAGTGCATCCCATTAGAAGGATGTAGATAAATAAAAAGGACATTTGTCTGAGCTTCCGACTCGGACTCGATAACAAATGCTTGCGACTTTGAAAGGCATGGCATTCTGGCTGCTATGAGAGATGCCAGCTAGGCAGTACATCCTATCTGCATGATATCATACGCAATGTTCGTCTGCTATTTTATGTGTCACTTTCAATAACAAATACATGCCAGATGGGTTTTGTGTAAGATGGAAGTATTGAACTGTTACTGACTTAAGCTTGACATGAGCATTGTTTTAATGTCATTTCCAATAGAAGTTTGTGCAGGTCATCCTGCCTTGCCTGTGTACCGGAAATTCCCGAAAGGGATTTCTTTCGTCAGTATTCCCTTTTGACTTTTAGTTTTTGTTGAAAAAGCTCCAGGTGAAGGAGCTTCTTGTTTTATACTTTAGGAGATTTTGGATTACACAGTGGTTAATGCAATCCAATTTTGCAAAAGAGGTCCCCCCCGGAACTGTTATTCTATTTTGAATGCTTGAAGCCAACTTTCCTTATAAATAATTGTCGTGTCTTAAGCACAATGCTATATGTGCTGTGCATGTTTTTTTGGCACGTATGCGTACCTTATCCCTTCTAGTCCTGAGCAAAGCGAGGACAAATTGTATAGTTGAACTAACCTCTACTTCCAACCATTCTCATTCTGATGTGCCTATGCATGTTGTTTTATTCTTCTAGAAAAGAATTTGATTGATCAGGGACACAATTCTTAAGGAAATCACTGGGCACTTAAAAGTGTAAAAGATCTTTCCATCTGGGAGATAATGACAAAAGTTAAGAAACTATCATATCAAGTGAGTAGTCCAGAACCGCAGGATACAAAATGTCGTGCGCGCCAAAGTGGGTTTCCGTACGCTTTGTTTGATTCTTAGATTGATGGAGCAGATCAATCTGAAATCAAAGTCGAGCTCCCTGCAGCTTTTGAATCAAGAGGAAGCAGTCCGAAGACCGTGGTGATGGCTCCAGAAATTAATGGCAAATCCATAAATTTCTACTAAATCGTCTGTACTACTAGAATCATTGGCCATTTACCATTTTCATGTTACTGACGTACATAAAATTAGTTCGCGATTAGTTTGAAATTAGTTATGCGTGAGCTCATGGGAATTTAAAGAACCATTCTTTCTAGCAGCAGCCAATAGGAAAGCGGCAGGTGTCTTCGGATATGTAGAGAGAAAGGTCAAAAAGGAGATAAGGCAGGTGTGGCTTGAGTGATTCCAGGGAGCATGCTAGTGAACCAGCTCGGTGGGTAATGTAGTAGCAGACAATCATCGTCAGCAGATGGCTTGCTGTTTCACCAATTCTTCTTTTCTAGCGTGGAATAATGGAAGCACGAGGTGCTTCTTTGATTGGAATATAGGAAGAAACAACAAAGAGAATAAGCCTCAGCCCAAGTACCATGATGATGTTGATCTTCCTTTTTCATCATCACTTGTAAAGAAAACATTCTTGAAAGGTACTCTCTCTCTCTCTCTCTCGATCGACAGTATTTGACAAGAAACGATAAGTGGCTGATCTTCTCAGATGAAATTTAGCAGGGAGGGAGCTCAAGTGCTGTTACAAGGCCACAGTGGATGGGTTCAGTGCCACGGATTTCCACAACTGCTGTGACTTCAAGGGACCATGTGTCATCATTGGCTACACAAACAAGGCCTTCAAGTTTGGTGCATTCAACCCTGAAGGCTACAGGAGCACGGATGATTACTACGATACGTTCGACGCGTTCCTCTTCTACTGGACAGAAGACAAGAAGATTGATCCTGTTATTTTGCCCAAAGTTGGGGGTAGCGGTGCAGCTCTCTTTGATTATGCTCGGGGTGGTCCCCAGTTCGGGGCCGACGGGCTCCTCATCGGGCCACCACTGGCACCAGTTATGGGTGGATTCGCGGGCCCAGATACTAACTCGGGCGTGGGTGACCTGAGACAAGCTAAGTCCAGGTTGGGACTTTCATACGCAAAAAGGGAAGACGGAAAAGAGTCTATTTTCGGCGATGAGTCCCGGGCTACTGTAGCGGAAGTGCAAGTGTTTTGCAGTCCTCAAATTGCAAGCTTGTACTAAATTGAACGGACAGATAGACAACAGCAAAAGATTCTACCAAACAAAAGGCCGTGATGCCAAGACCAGGTATTCTTTCTTTATGTGACACAAATACATGTAGAGACGTAATCAATTTGAGAGACCTAACTAGGAGAATCTGGAATTATTATTTGTCCATTACTTGATGCTCCACTTTGCTTCTCTTCTTAAAGTAACTTATTGTATCATCTTTACATGAATGTTAAATAAGGCATGAGGCGGTGGGGAATACTCCGAAAGCTTCGGCCGAAGGATGGATCATAGTTTAAATGTGTTTTTCTGAGTATCTGGTAATATTCGGTGACTCCATTGTCTGCCCTTCCCACCGGCCACAAGGACATGCAAGTTGGAGTATAAAGTTATTCTTACTTTGTGATCTTTAGCATCAGAAAAGGAGAGGGTGCCTAGCTGCTTGTAAAAAAGACCCTACTTGAATTTCTCATTTACTTGGGTGTCTGAGCAAGAAGCACGGCTCAAAATAGAAGATATATTGATAGCAACTTTCTCATGTGCTATTCAATATAGGCAGGCTTGAAGCCTCAAGCATGCCTTGCCACACAGAGTTGAAAAAAATTTCCAGATTGACATGTTTTATGGCAAATAGTCCCAATTACAGGACAAACTACTCTGCTTCTATAACTAAACCGGGATAGTGCAAGCCCTTCATGGAACGCATGCTTCAGAAATCTCGTGTTCTTACTCTTGCTCAGCGGTTAACATTACACGGTGTTCGTCTCGTTGCAGTTTGGCATTCTAATGGAGCTGATTCATGTTATGGAAGGTTTTGTCAATTCCACCTGATTAACCTATTCAAAGCAAAAAAGTTTTTATTCATACCATGCGTCTGCAAGTAGCTTTAGTCTGCATAAAGACAAAAACGGAAAAAAGAAAAGGCTTTAGTCTATTGTATCTAGAGTTCCCAACTGAGAACTTGCCTTGGTACTGTTGGGGTCATGAAGTATCTCGTTTTGAGATTTTACAAGCATTCTGACTGGTAAGAGTATGGTCTGTATTAGGGAACTGAAGTTCAGATGTGAACAAATCAAGTGTCAACGGGATTTTGATTATTCAAGCAAAATCTAAATATGACTAATTGGAGATAAATCATAAGAAGCTAGGGGAAATGAGAATTGCACAAGTATGCTTCCCCTGCTGCACCAGTAAAGCGCTAAAGGCTGTGCAACCATAAACCTAATGAATGCCATAACATATTATGGCTTGCCAGACGTTAAAGACTTCCTTGTTCACTTCCTAAGCAATCCACAGCTCTCACACAAATGTCATAGTATTCCAGTACCAAAGAAACAGCATACAGAAAAGTTTCCCCCACTTGAAGCACCTTCGCCTCAATGCACAGTACGAGCTTCAATATCACAACGGTGAGAAGCTTTCATGGGATAAGCTTACACGAGAGCGAAATAATCAAGATGGGAAGTCCTACTTGTAGCTAAACCATCTCCCGGTGTAACTGATAAAAGTCATTATCACCAGGGGGTGTATTACATTACTTAACTCTTAAGATAAAAAAGGACAACTAAACCATTTGGTATACCAAACCGACTCCAAGCTGCCTACGGACCATAAAACCTTCCGTCACATATGCAAAGAACGCCCCGTCCTTTGTCGCGCTCCAAGAACCAACATTAAAAGGCGTCTTCTTGGATACCACACTTCAGATACTACTAGAAAGTAATAATAACGTAACTAGTTGCTGCAAAGCAAATGACTACATCACGATCGTCATGTTGTCTTCCTGCATCCACAGATTCCCAAAGTCTCCTGAGCCGCCATCGCCACTTGCTTGCCTGCAAATTGGAGATTGTTCCCAAGTTCCATATCCTGCAATAAAAAATAATAATAATCATCAATCGATTTTTTCTATCCAAGATGTTCTGATATCTGGGTGGATGTATGGTTATGACCTTCATATGAGATCTCTTCATATTGGCAAAACCTGGCATAGTTCTCGTGCCCCGAGTAAGGCGACATGCAGCTAATTTGGCCGAGTTCCTCTGCAAGTTCGACTTCCCCAATAAAATCCGAGTATGCCAAATAGGACGCGGTCTCTTTGTTATTGGTCAAATGCCAGGAAGCCACAGAACTAGGAACCTCATGCTGAGGGAAGTACTGAAACTCCAATCCTTGTCCTTGAGGGTATTGCTGGAAGACAATTAAATGTAATGTATAAAACAACTGTCATTTTTGTGAAACCGTCGAAGTTATCATTTGTGAAGAAAGTTCTATTGAAGGATTGTATGTCATTTTTAATCTAGTTTAATTCTTTTGATGAATTAAACTCAGATCAGGCCATACCCAGATGCTAGCAAGATTGTTCTCCATTAAAGCTGGCTCGGAATCTGCTATTTCTATGATTTCAGGTGGTATAGGGCTTGAATTACGACTTTCATCATAAAGTCCACTGTTTTGAGGTGAGACGTCATTCGAGGTGCTTGGAAGCTCACTTGATGTGTCAATTGAGGTGATGTCCACTGGGCTCAAGTACCTTCCCACCCTCTTGCCTTTCAGCTCTCCATTGGAATCGCTTGTCTTTGAACTTTGCTCGTTCTTCTTAATTACCCGGCACAACACAAAAGCTCCCTGGTATAAAAATAACAACCCACAAAACTTGAATTCTTCTTCACAAACATGAAAATGACCAACTTTTCTGCACAAAATTTCTGGATGATCGCAAAATAAGTGCAAGTCCCTAAAGTTATCAATATAAGTCTACTCAACTACAGCATGAATTCATTTGGCAAACCTGAAGACCAAGTGATCCTTGGGGAAGCTCATCGGAGAGCCGATACTCATGCATGACCCAATCTGTTCTATCCCCTAAGGGGGCCCGTCCGCGATAGAAGACTAATGTCTTTCGATATCCAGTCACCGAAGATTGGCAGACAACCTTACGGTCTTTTCCAGTGGCTTTCCAGTAGCCAGCTTTTGTTGCTCTATTTGATCGTGAGCCGTTCGGGTACTTTCTGTCCCGTGGACAAAAGAAGAACCATTCCATGTCTCGGTTCGGGAGGAATGATTTCTCTGCAAACAGCAGATTACAAATTCAGTCTCTTCAATCTACCGGAGAGTGATCAAGCAAGGAAAGATGCAGATGCAGTGACTTTTTGAAGACAAAGGTGACTCTTTGTTATTTTCAGTCTCTCTCTCTCTCTATTTACTTTGTCTATGAGAACAGAATAAAGCCAATTGAACCGGCTTTTGAAAGCCAAATCACAAGAGATAAGAGCACTTGACTGACTTGGTTATGCAGAAAATATACATTTTATAGGAACCCTTCTAATCTAGTCCAGCATTATCTCTGTCATATTAATAAAGACTTCCATTGAGATTACTAAACAAATCTCATCTCTATTTCAGTGAATACTATGACATTCGTGGGTCCATCAGATGTGAAGCATATTCTAGCAACTTATAAGCATCCTCAGTTCATCTTAGCAGACATAATCTCAAATTGCACAGATTTCATGTAATTTGATTACTGCTAAAAATTGAGTAGGTTGCTTTAGCACATCAAAGTTCAATTCTGTAATCACGAATGACCTGGAAATTACATGACTATTCATTTTAAAGTCAGCCACTATCTTCTGTAGTACCTGGAAGCTCCCATGGATCAAACTTGTATAAATCAATTACAGGAATCACTTCAAGCTCGAACCCACGTCCCTCGGTTTTTCTTTTCAGGTAATACCCCACCAATTCCTCATCGGTAGGATGGAATCGGAAACCCGGCGGCAGAGATGCCCCTCCCATTTTTTTCTCTCCACAATCTACCAAAACTTAATACTCAAAAAGAAATAAAGAGAAAGGATACGAAGTGCAATAGAAAACAAAGAATGTCAAGAGACAATGCTCAGTTCTTCCTAAGTACCTAAACTGTACCTATTAAAGATCTGGAAAATCCAAAAATAAAAGTTTTTATCAACTATTGACTTGTTGTTGAGCACCGAGTAGCACTTCCACAGTACGCACCCGTTGTACAGCAGGATCATTGTCTCGAAATAAAAAGTCGAGATTTTTTCTTATGGCAGAAGATATTTTCCCACCAACCCCCCTTTCCCCTTAAAATTTTGGTCCTAAAGAAAAGATGAGAATGAGCAAAGAAAACTCTCAAGCAACACCAAAATTGCAGTGAATTTTACAAACACCCAATAAAAGGACTCTTTTTCCCTTAAAACCAGTCGAGACCCCAAAAAAAACCGAACCTTTTGTAATGCCCAGAAGCAAAAGATACAAACTTTATGCTGAAGAAGCAAAATTATGAGATCGATATGGGTTCTTTCGGTGCTTCTGGATAGAGAAGAGCAGTGTATGGCGAAGGAGATGTTGCAGAGAGCAGTGAAGGTGAAGAGTGTAGAGTAGGATCACAGAAGGAAGAGATGGCCTATATATATAGAGGGCAGGAGAAGCCAAGCGGTCCAAAATGCACACCGAAAGGTTGAAGATTGCTTAGTTGGAGCACCATCACAAATTCCACAATTGTGGCCCCACCTACAAACCAGTTCACACTTCACCACCTCACCAAAAACAGTCGTTCCCGCCATTTCATTTCTGACCGTTGCTTGAATAGTGGTGATTGTTTGACAGGTTCTATCTCCTCAAAGAGGCAATTTTCATACTACAGTTACCTTGCTTTTGTGATAACGAATGAATCACGTTTTTAGTAGCAGATCATCTTGATGTTTAAAAAAGTCAGAAAATTTGCTCATTTGTCATCGACCTGTCACGTAGCATTTGCTTGAAAAGTTCTCCTAATTCGAATCGATAAGATAAGGCTTTACGATTCAGAGAAGTGTCTCCATAATCTCTGACTAAGCACGTTTAAAGTTCCCATACCACCTAAACACAGGATAACATATAAGAAAAGAAAATTTGGCGAGAAAATGCAAGTGGGATAGCTCAGGATGAAGACGGTGGATGGATTTCTAATCCGAAGTATAGGAAACTAGAATTAAATTATGGTTCTCTGGGTCTCTGTCATCGCAGTTGCACTCTAAACTTCCACATCATCCTGAGTAGGACAAACACTTTTTCCCCATTTTTATTTGTCTGATAATGTTATCAAACCGGTGGTGTCACCGTCATTTAGGGACCCAAATGCCCAAAAGAAGGTCCAAAAACTAAAAAGTGCTAACTCGGAGTTTTAGACCCTTTGAAATGACCCCATGAAGAAAAAAAACTTAGTGGTGGGAGCTTTAAGACTTATGTGTTCACACTAGCGGTTCAAGTTGATTGCTGGGAGGTGTTGGTCCTACTAATTCTTAGATGTAGAGATTAGGAGCTTTTATGGAATTGGGTGCTAGGACTCGCCACTTCTACATTAGGTAGCTAGAAAAGTACGGTCCGGTCTTGCATGTCCAACGAACATGAATAGATACTTGCTTGAAACCGGGGTCAAGGACCAGAAGAAATCGTAGCCGTTGAATTTTGGGACTCCCATAGATCCGTCATGGACCTGACTTAACAGAGTATTTGCCAATGTAGATGAACTTTCATTCTTGAATGAACTGTTAAAACTGGGAAAGAGATACATACGTGTATGTATAGAGACTTTGTGGCTTGTGGGTCTCCTTTTCATACTTCAAAAAGGGAAAAAACAGGCACCTGAAAAGAATTGCCTTGTTAGGATTTCTAGGATTCTAATTGGGAAAGACCTCCATTAGTCCCTCTGGCGTTCGGTGTTGCTCTTTAGGACAGTAGGCAATCCCCTTTTTTATCTTTCCTCGCAATGAAAAAAGAAAAAAAGCAAATTTCAGATCTCAGGCCATTGAGAAAGCTAGCTTTTAAATCCCTCCTGAATCGAATTTCATTATTCTTGTTCTCACTACTGCTTTTACGTTGCTATTGGGATTCAAATCCTCCTAAATTTTTGGTGGGAGATGAAAGAGGAAGTACCCAAGAAAAAGAAGAACATTCCTTTTACAGTTGCCAAGGAAAATGCAGCTACACAACAGGACTTCCTGCTCTTCACATTTGAATATATAGGAAAAGGATCCTTATTAGGGAAAAAGGGAAAAGCAAAAGGGTCATTAGGGTTCATCTTTTAGGCCTCTATTTAACTCTTTAACAAAACGGGCTTCTTTAACAAGGCAAACATTATGACCAAAAAAAAAAACACAGGGGCAAGCACACATAATAGATGATATTTTGAATTTCTTGCATTGGAAAGTGACAAAAATGTTGACTCAAAACATCTTTTTTGCCCCTAAGGCGCATTGATCTAGCCTGCTATATTCAAAAACCAGGGAAAACTGCAGGTTTTGCTGACTTAGTTTTCCTGAAGTATAAATTGTACGTGGTCTATTTTGAGTGAAGATTTTGTGGGGAATTGGAGGATGGTAAGACCACCTTATCTTTGACTCTGTCTGCTGCTTTCGGCTCCTTTTGTCTCTTGGTGCAACATGTTGCCAAGCAAATTAATTCCACTCCCATCAAGAAGGCGTTTACACACACTTGCTCTGGCTGATGAAAAACATGGTCGACAAATTATTTCAACCTCTTCAGAGAATTAAGTACAAATTCATTATTATTCTGGAAGAAACCTTGGGAAAGTTACAGAGGATGATGCTGACTGGAGATTACACTGCAATGGTTCAAAATGTTTTTGCATTGATGGTGTTAAAATAGCATACCCTTTTTCGGTTTCTTCAAATAATCTCAACATTATTGCAAATCAAATAGAAAAACCTGCAAGTCAACGTTTTTTTAAATTAAATTTCCAAGCAATTGCTGAACTGAAACCTTTAAAAAGAATGGGCTAATACTACTAAAAACTCCAAATTGATACACTCGTGCCACATTTACCCCAAACTAATTTGTGTCATGAAAATCCCCAAACTGGTATATATTGCCGCATTTACCCCAAACTAATTTTTATGTCATGAAAATCCCTAATATGGTACATATATGCCATATTTACCTCAAATTGTGGTAAATTTGGGATTTTTTTGGAGTAAATGTGGCACGAGTGTACCGGTTTGGGGTAAATATGGCACGGATTTACTAGTCTGGAAATTGTTATAACACAAAAATTAGTTTAGAGTAAATATGACGCAGGTTTACCAGTTTATAGCTTTTGGTGGTATTAACCCTAAAAAGAATGAAAAAGAATTTAAGGGTGCATTTAATTTTTGTCTTCTTGGAAGTTTTCTAATACTTTCTTTCTTAGAGTATTTTTCAAGAATCAATATTTTTTTGTCAAAAGTAAATATTTCATTTATATATTAAAATTTCAAGATGATACATAAGAGGTTCAAAACAAAGCAAATTCTAAACAACAAAATAGAACAATAAAGTACAAACTGAATATCTGTTTTTGTATCAAAGCAGAACGAATAACAGCCGATCACCGATCACCGAATCTTGCATCATCATAAGTGATGAGCACACACCATGATCTCCTTCTTCAATAGTTACAGCTTGCCTAGTGGGCGGTACACGCTTAGATTCAGTGTCCTCAATACCATCATTATACGAAGATACCAAAAACAGGTTGAACAGACTCTCAAATCTAGATTGTGAGAGATTGAACAAGCACATAAACACCTTTAAGGAACTCCTAGATCCAAATTTAGATCGGGAGAAAAGAGCTCCTAAATCTAGATCTAAATCGGGAGATGAAAGCTTCCAAAACTCGGGAATATTGTATAACTATTTCCAATGTAGTATGAAAGATACACCTAGCTAGCAGAGAAAAGCATACTCTCAAATTAGATTGGGAGAGAAAATCTCAATTCGAGTTGAGAAAATGGAGCCTACTGAGAATTATTTCCCAGTCGAGGGAGCTTGGTTTGGAAGAGAAAAAAGGAACCAAAGAGAAGTGGGTGAGAGGAGAAAGTGGCTAGGATTTTTGAGGGAGGTATTAATTTTTCTCTATTTCATTGTTGCACAATTCTAAAGTATATAAGCATGAAAAAGTCTTGCACATAGAAGAGGTGCGTTCCGATTGAAAACATTGAACATGAAGTGTTCTTAATTAAGCTGCAGTTGTCTTCTACTTTCAATCAAATTCCTAGTTTTTTATAGTTCCCTAGAAACTGGAAAAACAAAACTAAAATTAAATGCTTTGTCGTTCAAGCACTTTTCTGTTTACACAGAAAGTGAAAATTGAAATTCGATCCCTTTTCTAAAAAAAAAACTAAGCATGCCTAGAGATATTATTGACAACTGTCTTCACAACACTAAAGTCCATCTACTTCAGAAAGCCACTGCTCATGTCATGGTCAATCTACAATAATTTCCTCCTAGCGCCCACCAGGAATTGACCAATGTTTGGCAATGTCACCCTGGTGTGATTTGATGTGTTGCTTTTCAACATCAGTGGGTGACGATTATCTATTGATTGAGTGAAGTGAAGGGCTAGAGAGAGAGAGAGAGAGGATTTTAGCTGATCATCTTACAGTTCAGTCCACCATCATGATGACAGAGAGGCAATTATTAGGTCATTAGGACCAATTTGACAGACCAGATGTGTCCTCCAAACCACAGTGGTCACCGCATTTGCTGCAAAAAAAAAAAAAGGCACTGAAAGAGACAAAATTTCTGCACACTTTGATAGTACTTCTTCTTCCTCAAAGATTTCCCAAACCCATTATTGTGACGTGCTCATGCTTCTTTTTAGTTTTTTAATGGAGTCATGAAACACAAAAAGTGCGAAAGTGCACCGGACATGCCCCCGACAATGCCACGGTGGCACCGCCACCATCTGGAGTGGATCCGCCGTGTAGGGAGTGTTACTGTCCGGCGGCTGCTGCTTGTCTGGACTTGACTCTCCGCATGAGCGTGGACTTTGCGTTTTTTATGGGAAAAATGACACAAACAGTCCCTAAATTTTGGCTCAATGTGCAATTTGGTCCATGAACTTTTAATCTGTTCAATGTCATTCATGAACTTTAACCCACTGTGTAATGTGATCCCTGAAATTTAGGCTAATGTTCAATGTAATCCCTGAACTTTTAATTTGTTCAATGTCATCTTGAACTTTCAGTACATGTTCAATTCAGTCCCTGAACTATATGAAAATATTCAATACAGTCCTTTCCATTAATTCAAGTTCATGAACTATGTTGAACATTTTCATATAGTTCAAGAACTAAATTGAACATGTATCGAAAGTTTAGAGATGACATTGAACAAATTAAAAGTTCATTGACCACATTGAACATTAGTCTAAAGTTCAGGGACTACATTGAACAAATTAAAAGTTCATAGATCAAATTGCATATTGAGTCAAAGTTCAGGGACTATTTGTGTCATTATCCCTTTTTGCTGAGATAATCAGTGGACTAAAACAAGATTTGGTTGGACTATGTGAAGATTAGCACCCAACATTGTGTCCACTGGACCAGACATCCATTCCCACGCTTAGCATAGATTATTGTATTTGTCAACTTAGAACAGTGAAAGGAAAATTATGTCGTCCATAGAAAAATTGCCAACAGACATTTAATGCGTAGACTACTATTAGTAAGGATAATTACAAGCACCTAAGTAAAGTTATGATTCAAATAGGTAATTTACTTCTAGTAAGAGAAAAAAAATTACTATTGACTTAGGTTAATTAGTACTTTGTGTAGACTATTATGAACCACAAGAATCACGCAATTTATGATGACAAAATGTAAATTATTACTTTGTGTAGACTATTATGAACCACAAGAATCACGGAATTTATGATGACAAAACGTAAATTATTGCTTTGTGTAGACTATTATGAACCACAAGAATCACGGAATTTATGATGACAAAAGGTAAATAACGTCCTCTGAAGAAAAGTTACAAAATTGTAAATAATAGATAAATTACTATTGGCGAGGATAATTATGAACGCGAAAGGAAAGTTACAACCAATTAGGAGTTTGGTTATAATAGGAGAAGGAAATTTATAACTAACTTAGGTAGATTGCTATATTTTGGAATATTGCGGACCATAGGATTTACGTAACTTACAACGACAAAAGCAAAATTACATCCCCTAAAGAAACTAAATTACTCTTAGTGAAGAAATTACGGCATTATGGGATTGAGATTGTGAGGAGATATGATTTGGGGCCGCAATCTGCGATTCTTACGAGGCATGGTCTAAGTCAGAATAAACAAATTTAATCTTTTGTCTGCAATGCAAGCTGTGATTGTCCAAGGGTATTAAATTAAGTCTCAGCGCGTGTTTGTTTCACCGAAAATGAACGACTTTAAAATTATTTTCCTAAAAAATGATTTCTTTTATTTTCCAAAAAGAACATCTCAACACGTGCATGGCATCTCTTTTTGCCATCCAATTACTGGTGAAATCGCAAAGAAGATCCTATGCAATATTTCTGCAGTGAAAAGCACAAGTTGCTGTCAACAGCATATTTATAAAAGGACTATGAACATTGTTGAATGAGGGCTAACGCTGTCGGTATTTGATAACAGGGCCGGTGCTTGCTCGGATATGAACTTCGTGAGTCGATTCTTTTAACGTATGTGTTCACGGGTTTAAGGAGAAATTCAATCTTTTGTCTACAATATGTACACAAGCAAAGCTTTGTAACCAGTCCTGTAATCAAATACCGGCGCTCGCCCTCGCCAGCCATTGCCGGTGCCGGCACAGGCCACGGTAGAAAAAGAAAGAATAAAAAAAGATAAAAATTCAAAAAAATTATTAAAAAATTCTATTTAAAAAAATGTCCACATCAGCACCAGTCATGCTATGTAGATTTAGGAATTTTTTGGTCCAATTGAAAAATTTAAGACTAATTTGATCTAATTGAAAGGTTTAGAACTAGTATCAATGCAATAGATTTAGGGGTTTTTCGGTACTTTTCCCAACTTGCAATGAGGGCATTCACGCTGCTATTGCTTATAATATGTCTCTAGCTAGTCCAATTGTTCAACCTTTGAACTGTTGATGGTGTGTGTCTTGATTTACACTATGTCATTGTCTTCGGTCTGGATGTCATCCACATCGACATGGTTCTGATACATTTCAAATACGCTGTTAGCGATGGGGAGTTTCTTTGCCACTGTGATTTCTAAATAAGCTCGTTTGCTCGAGATTTGGAAGCGTAGAGAGAGGTTAAGGCATTGGGATCATGGGCGATGGATCCAGGATCAAATCCCTTAAAGCATCCATCCCTGTCGTGCTCGGCTAGCAGGGTTTGCTGCCGAAATGAAATTGCTTCTTGAGGCTTCAGCCGTGTTGTTTTGTGCTATCAGATGCGACGCAGGGCTAAAAAGCGCGGATCATAAGATTTACAGGGTGAAATCTAATTTGTTAAATTTTTATTTATGCCCAATTCGACATCTATACACATATTGGATTCAATCTTTATGTGGGACAAAAGAGCTAGCTTAATAAAGAAAAGAGAGTCCCACATCGGCTGCTAGCAAAGCTTTGCTTGTGTACATAGCGTTTGCCATTGGAGGGAATGGTCGTGTTCGTAGAAAGGAGAGATGGTTGGCATCTCCCCTGACAGGGACGGGAACGGCCTTCGGGCCTTACCTGTTACCACACATCCGGTTAAGGCTACCCACCTCATGGTGGATCTATAACCCAATTTTTTTTAAAGACCTTTCAATCCTCAAGCCCAAAAATTAAAGAAGTTTCGCCATTCAAATTGCTACCCAATTTTTTTTTCCTCCATTTTTATTTTTTAGACCTTTGAATCCTCAAGCCCAGAAATTAAAGAAGTTTCGCCATTCAAATAGCTTGTAATACGAGAGAACTCACAATTGTTTCTTTTCTTTCAATATGAAGAAAAGGGGAGAGAAATTGTGAATAAGCGAAAGCCAAGCGAGATGAGGTGAACAGGACAGAAATCCCTGTTCTTTGCGATCCGCAATCGGTGCAAAAACACCATTTGAAAAGAATTACAGATTTCTCTCTCGAATATGTCAAAAGGGATTCTCTCATCTCTTTTCTGTAAGCAACTCTATACCCCCCGCCCCAACCCAAAGCTTTCTCTTTTTGGCTACAGCAGCTCTTTTTGGCCTCTAAATATGGAGAAACAAAGAAGAAATAAGAAGGCGCGAATGGGAAGAGACTTCTTCACCATCATTGCCCTACAAAATATTTCTACCCAAAGAACCTAAAATCAGAACGAAATGAAAAGAGCAAACAAGAGAAGAAAAGAAGAAGAAACATTTTGCCCCCAGTAGGCATTTCGCAATTCGCAGCCAGACCCTCCTAGGTTCTAGTTATACCCATCTCGGGACCATATTTCTACATAACCTACTCGATCCTCAGTGTTGGTTTTTTTACTCATAATCGGCTGGGGTCACGCCTTTGTTAACGCAGCTTACGCTTTGAGGCCGCCGATCCTAACAGTACCCGTTTGTAAAAAGGGTGGGCAAACTCAATTCTCCAGTCGCTCGCAGATGAACTGACTGCAACATGCGTTTGTACGAGCATTGCTGATTTGAAGATCTTTCCTTATATCGAGGTCAAAAATATTTTCCAGAAGATTTCCATATTCTTCCCTCAAGCGATATCACCATAACCGTGACATCATCATGGTACTTTCTTCGATCGCCTTGAGGAATGTCTAGCAATTCATGGAAGTCCATGCCTACAAAGAATACAGAAGATGCAGTTGGGTTATAAATCAGAGCAGTTAATCCAGATAACCCTGCAACGATCCATGTCTCGAAGTCCTTCATACCCAAGGGAAGTGTGAAAATGGTTTTTGCATCCACTTTTAGCAAACTTTTCTAAACAAAAACAAAGGGACTACTTGGCCTTCTAAGTAAACCCATTAACATACTACGGATTCTAATAACTGCACTGACAACAAACCAGAGGGAATCTTGAGACGAACAATTGAGAGCCAAGATGCAAGAATACTTCGTATCATAATAAAATGAATACTACGGTAAGAACTTAGTATAATCACAATGTCAGCGGCCTACTTTTGCCTCTACCCCTTAGAGGCCCTTTACCACATTCTAAGAAACAATTTTCTTCTTAAATGCAAAATGCCATAAGAGTCATACCAGCTTTCTTGGCTGCACGAGATAGAAGTTCCTCAATCAAGTGTTGAGCTGGATCTCCATCTGGAAACTTCTCCATAAAACTTTCTACATAAGCAACAACTTCCTGATTGCTCAGGTACTGATATAAACCATCAGATGACAGGATTAAAAATTGATCCCTTGGGTGAAGCTTATGGTGGCGAAGAGAAGGCGAGCAGGAGAGATAAGGTGCTGTTCCAATATATACATTACGAAACACTTCCAATACGGCGTTGTTCCATCTAGGCTGTACAAAACATACACATCGGGTTACAATCGCGTTCCTTTTACCAACTCAACTGCATAAAAGTTGGGGTATGCGGTGCTTTTACCAATTCAGCAACATAAAGGTCGGATCGCGTAAATCTAAGCCCACAACATATTAGCAAACCTATTCTGAAGAAGATGCTTCTATAACATGCAGCAATCTTGCAACATGAAGACACTTCCTTTCTTAGAATTAACATAAGCATAGGAATATTCACTCTTTTTCTTTATTTTTATGCCTAATGGTAATACAAATATGATCAGATTGATAAAGCATGAGACAGTTGTTGGAATTTGGGACGTTCATGATATAAATTAGCAATACTTCAAATATCCCATTCATAATTAAACTTTGATTTCAACAATGTAATGTTTTCAGTTTTTCAAGAAGAAGCTCATATAATTTTGGTACAAGGCAAAGTTCACAAAACGGATTTCACAATAGAGTGTGTGAAAGTAACCTGTTTCAGGAATCCTGCTCCAAATGCTCTTGTGACCTTAAGACGACCTTTCAATCTATCATTGACAATACACTGGTTGTCATCAGGGTGTTCATTTTTTATTCTAATTATTTCCTGCATATAAGAAAAGACATTGGTAAAATTCTGATGCTGATGCAATGACTTATAGAGGTTATGTCATACAACTCCTAGAAAATACATACTAGGCATAAATTATTAAAAAATAAAAAGATACAATAAAGCATGGGCTTGTCATACATGGTATTGTTAGATGCAAAATCCAAGGTTCTAGGGAGTTGCGCCATAAAAGAGAGTGCAACCAAAAGAAAATGTGCATTACAAAGCGGAAAAGGTTGCAATAAATTGGAGTCTGAGGTCAACATTTGCATTACATAAACCTAACTAAAATGATCAAAGCAAGAAACAAAACCAACTAGCTAAAGCCCAACAGATCCAATCCTAGAAAACAAGTCTAAAGCTCCATAAAAGGGCCAGACTTCTGATAACGAGTGATGTTATCTTATATAACGGCAAAACAATAAGTTGAAACAAAACCTTCACATTCTTGATTTCTAAGTAAGACCATGCATTGATAAACCGCTGACAACAAATGAGCGAGATCTCAATAGACAGTATTGAAGAGACGCAGAAACGAAGATTCTCGACTACATCACAAGGCATGTGTTGCTACGACTCTTTCACAATTTCAACATACCCACCACAATAAGGAGAAGGTATTTAATGTGATGTCCCACCACGTGGCAGCTATGTGTTGTAACAAGCCAATAAAAGTTAAGTATTTTCAACATTTAAGCACCAAGTATGATGAGATACACAACATGATTGTTCAGTCACACCATCAGCTGTGTGAGCGACAACACATAAAATACTTTCCCCACAAAAAGATACAACTCATTGTACTTTAGCAGGGACACTTCACCTCAAAGAGCATGCCATGCTGACATTTTATGGTAAATCTACTATTGCAAGTAATCATGATACTAAAAGTTAGAAATGAAGTGGATTTTGCTAACAAGTGCCTCAACAATCAATTAAGGAAACTTCACAGTTTTCACATGCATTGATTGTTCTCATGTTGTATTGATTGTTCTCATGTTATGCACAATTGGTGTATTGATAACTTATATCATTCCATACGAAGTATACATAACAAGTGCCCCCGGGCACTCACTAACAGGACGTTAGCGATATATCCTAGAAAACAACACCCTTATACACATGCTTCATTCAAAGAAATAAAAATAAAAGTTTTATAGGTTTTAGCGAACATAGTCATATTCCAGTTATTCGTTTGCTAAGCCCGACTGTCTGAATCCTAATAACATAGACTATCAGAAGCAAAGAACAAACTTCAGTATATTCCATCTTCTAGATCCAAATGGACAAGAAACAAAGTTCTACTGAAGCAACTTAGTCTTATCCAGCAAAAAAGGGGTTTTGTGAGTTCAAGTCCCTGAATTCAAATCCAAGAGAGACATTTAAAGTTAAATCAAATGACATTATACATACAAAAGCCTGAGCTGCACTGTTGCCCGTTTCCTGACATCTTGAATGACATTTTGAAGCTTAAAGCACAATTGAAAAACTCCCTCTCCACTACTATCGACACACAGGATTTAATATACACCATTTCCCAGATAGGACAGTTCAATGGGACTTTAGCCTGAATTTTGCCTCTGGCATCTGATATTGATATGATAAGGTATTTGAAATTTAAAACAAACAGTAGGTAAAAGCCAGAAGCAGAAGATGGTCATCTACAGATTTTGGCCAGTACTTTGGTCTTATGAATGCAAATACTAGCAATGTGCACGATATTGTAACCATGACTGATGGGATTATGTTTGCTAAAAAAGTAACGCAATTTAATGAGGAAACAATAGCTAGCGAATCAATTCAATGTCATCCTAGAGTTACGTTCTTAACTTATAAGGCGCATATCCCAGAGTCCGCTTAGGCTAGAGCTTCTTGTCATCCTTACCAATAATCTGCAATTATGTCAATTGCATGACTTCTTGAGTCTACCCAATTTACTCTCACAATCAACCAACTTACATATTTTGAACAGATATAGCACTATCAAGCCACAGACGACCGAGATGGATCAAAGAGAGGTGGACTATGGATAAACATCAAGTATCAGAACTTATGCATGACATCCACTAGAATAAATGCAACGACTAAATTATCCTTGGAATTGAAAAACTTACTTCTTCGATGCTGGTACTGTGATCAGTGGAGAGCTGCAACGCCGTCAATCTCACAGACTGAGCAGGGCCTTCTTTTTCCACCTTCTTATTCCTTTCACTATCCAAGGATTCCTCAACTATCCCCTCCATCGAGGGCTCTTTACCACTCTGCACTCCTGAGCCAATACTAGAGCCAACCTCTTCGGCCTCACTCTGCGCAACAATGGCCCGACTATCGCCCACATTCATCACATACACATCCTCGTCCCTCATCAACACCACCAACAAACACGAGCCCATTAATGCAAGCTCGGGATTTGTGTCAAGCACCTTATCAGTCATGTCCAAATAAGCGAGCTCCGTCACTTCAAGGGCCCTTGACATAGCTCTCAATACCAACTCATGCTCCACCGGACCCTCTTTACGCCTTCTACCACTTTTATTTGGCCTCTCCTCCACTCTGTTTTCCACCTCAACCTTTTCCTTCAAGCCAAACCGCCAAGGGAACAATTTTCTCACCTGTCCGTCCTTCGACAACCCATGTCTCAATTTCGACAAAAGCAACCACCTCCTATTCACGGCAGACCCTGCATTGCTCACGCTGATCGCATCATCCACAGAGAAAGCGAACCTCTGTGACCCCGAGAGATCCAACCCATCTTCAGTATCATCCTCAGCAAGAAACTCCCAAAGCCTCCTCCTCCTTATCTCAATTCCCTCAGATTGGAATGTCACTCTTTTCGCTGAACCCCTATCCGAACTATCCTGGTTTGAGTCAGTTTTAATCTCATCGATAGGCTTTTCTATTGATGGGTTGATCTCCTCTAATGTTGCTACATTTTCATTTACCACGTTCATTAAATTACCACCTTCCTCACCTTCTTCAATAGCCTCCCAAAACAAGCCCTGAAGCTCAAGATAAACCGCTCGATATAGATTATCCATCAAGAACTCGGGTGCATCGGGGCCATTGAACCCGTCGTATATCCCTACGAACAGCCAACCCTGCTCTTCCGAAACAACCACGTGCACCCGATCCTCGCCTGCCTTCCCCAACGCCCATTGCACATTCTCTCCCTCACTCCTCGCCACAATCGCAGCCTCGGCCTCGTCCTTCTCTGCGGCCTCCTTCTTCCCCACGAAATTCAGCACCGGCACGACCCAAGGCCCCTGCTTCTCTGCAAAATTCCCGTACAACGCCTTCTTAATCGACGAAATCCCCTTCCTCCTCCTCTTCTTCCTCACGTAAACCCCACCTAGCGGAGCTGAAAATGGGACCCGCCCGCTCCCGTCGGCTCCGGAACCAGCCTCCAGCGGCCCAGAGAGCGCCCCACGCTCGATCGGCCCAGACAGGAACAAGCCTCCGCCCCGTTCCATCAGGCCAGAGGCGGGCTGCTCCCCTCCACCGCGAGGCGCGGGCTGGAGCGGCAGCGCGCAGAACGACGACGTGCTCTCGAAGATATTCAGCGGACCTCCCTTCAAGCTTCCGACGCCGCCGCCGCCGCCGCCGTGCGCGCCCTCGGCGGCGGCGGCATCGTCGAAGACACCGTCCACCTGGACGACGGTCCTCGGCGCCGGCGCGTTCGCGCTGACGGAGGCGCCGGAGATGGCCCGGAAGCCGGTCTCCGGCCCGGCCCGGGCCCTGGCGGGCCCCGCGTCGTCGAACCGGAGGGAGTGGGTGGGGGAGACGAACCGGTCGCTCGGGGTCGGGGACAGGAAGCGGGCGGAGGATCGGACGTAGCAGAAGGAGTGGCCTAGGGTTTCGTCCAGGGGCTCGGCGGCGGCGGCGGCGAAGATCAGGTCCGCCTGGTGGCCGCCCTGGTCAGCCTGGTGCTGCCTCCGGTCCGTCCGGTGGTGGACCGGCCTGAAGCAAGAGGACCCGCTTCCCATCACATTTGAAAACCTCGCCTCGCTCCTCCTCCTCCTCCAACTCCTCCTCTCTTCCTTCCTTCCTCCCTCCCTCCCTTCTTCCCTTTTCCCTTCCCCACCCGCCGAGAAAATTTCAATCGGCTCGGGAGGAAAACTTAAAAAATTTTCCGGCAAAGTTGAAGAAAACGAGAGAAAGAAGAGAGAGAGAGAGAGAGAGAAGGAGAGTGAAGTGGGAGAAAGTAAAACAGAGTGCGAGGAGGAGAGAGAAAGAGGCTGTTCGGTATTTATACTAATTTTTACTCGACGGAGACTTTCGTGTCCTTACCTTATTTTTGTGCACCCTGTTTACCATTTCAATTAGAGGCGATAGGATAAAGAAATAAATGGACTTTTTTTTTCAAAAAAAAAGTGGGAAAAACGGTCTTTTTCTCTCTTTTTGTATACTTATGTATTTTGGGTCCCTTTGAAAATGATCGTGTTCGGGTTATTTTATTTCTTCCGATGGGTTCGCTACTGACGATATTATAAAACAAAATCCCGCCAAAATCAAACCCGATGCTTCGAGACTTTCGAGGGGAAATTCATATTTTAGGAACCGGTCGTTTTTCTTAATGGAAAGCTTCGGCAGATGGGTCAGTGTGTATAGCTTGCTTTTTTATCCCAAATGCGAAGAGAAAAAAAGGAAAATTAAAAAAAGGCTCCCCTGCTCGGATTTCTTTACAAATCTTGGTTCTGGTAATTTTATCCATTTACTTTGACAAAAAAAAAATTATCCATTTTCCTATGAAATATAATTGTGAATTATAGGGAGTTGTTGTTGTTGGTGGGGGCGGGGGGCGGTCATAGGTTGACCGTTACACCTGGGGGGGCGCTTCCCCGGGCGGAGCCCGTCCACGTCAGACGCCACGCGGTCGCCACCAGCGGTGGCCCACGGCGAGGCGGCGAGGAGGGGAGGGGGGGGGTGGGGCTGGCCACTTTTCCTTTTCCGGGAAACGCGAAAGGACGAAAACGGGCCTGGACTTCGGGGGGGGGTTGAAATGACGCATGAGTCCCGGGGAGGTGGTTTGGAGCGAGCGGCGGGGGCGGAGGGCAGGGGAGGGGCGCTTTTGTCCTTTCGCGCGCTCGGGTGCTTTGACCCCCTTTCTTTTTTTCTTCTTCTTTTTTTTTTTCCTTCCCCCGCCCCTTCTTCGGGCGCTGAGCTGGAGGCCCGAATTTGCCCGCGGCAACGTTTTTTGAAATTTTGACGCGGCTTGACTGTTTTGCCCTTTAGGTTGAATTCCCCGTTACTTTCTTCTCCCTGTTTTTTCCCTCTGCCTTATTCAACCCTTTCCTTTCCTTTTCCTTTTTTGTCAAAGCTCTATCGAGCTCAACGTCTCCATGCTTTCGAGAAAGATGCGTGCGGTGAATATTCCTTTCCCCTGCTGCGATTGGGTTGGCATCCTCTTTTGAAACTACCGTATCTTGCCGGATTTACCGCGACTCAAACCCGGCAAAGCCATAATTGATCGCGGCGAACAAGGACGAACCGGCTAAGTATGTTTTTTTCTTTTTTTTTTCTTGCCGAGCGTCCTCGGTGCAACGGTCGCTGGCTACGAGCCGTAGATGCACGACGCGTGTGCGGTTGCATGAGAGTCGGACGAAACGCATTTACTCTGGCTGACTCTGCAATTGGGTATTACTGTGTATTGCCAGATTTATCACGACTTAAACTCGGCAAAGTCATAATTGATCGAAGCGAAAAAGGACGGACCATATAAGTTTTTACTGGACGTCCTAGGTGCAACGGTCACTGGCTACGAGCCGTAGATGAACGACGCGTGTGTAGCCGCATGAGAGTCGGACAAAATGCATTTACTTCGACTGACTCTGCAACTGGGTTGGTATCCTTTTTTGAAATTACTTTGTATTGCCAGATTTATCGCAACTTAAACTCGGCAAAGTCATAATTGATCGCGGCAAAAAAGGACGAACCAGATGAGTTTTTACTGGACGTCCTCGGTGCAACGGTCGGTGGCTACGAGCCATAGAAGTACGACGCTTGTGTAGCCGCATGAGAGTCGGACAAAATGCATTTACTTCGGCTGACTATGCGTTACGGTTGTTTGTTTCAAAGGATCTTCTTCGGCTGACTCTACCTTATTTGAAATTACTATGCATTGCCACATTTACTGCGATTTAAATTCGGCAAAGTCATAATTGATCACGACAAAAAAGGATGAACCAGATAAGTTTTTCCCGGGCGACCTCAGTACAACGGTCGCTGGCTACGAGCCATGGAAGTACGACGCGTGCGTTGCTGCATGAGAGTCGGACAAAATGCATTTACTTCGGCTAACTCTACGTTACGATGGTCTGTTTCAAACGATCTACTTACGGAACGGTGCATCACATATCTCGTGACGATAAAAGTCTCATACGGTAACGATATTTTCTTTTTCAAACTCTTGTAATTTCAGCGACAAATAGGCTTGTTGCAATTACCGTAACGTCTCCATTTAGTCGTGTTATTTAACCAGATACATCGCAATCTAAATTCGGCGAAATCAATTTTAATTTGCAAAGAAAGACGACAAACGGGACAGCTTTGCGCGGGCATTCGCAATTCAACGGAACGTGACGCATGTCTATTTGCACGACAGAGTCCCACGTTACGGAGTTGTCATACCACTTTTACGTTTGAATTGTTCGTTTCGAACAATCTTCTTGATGAAGACCGTGCAGGGTATCTCGTGAATTGACCGTGTAAAGCCAATAAATCAGATCTTTTCTCTCTGATTTTTGGGTCCGATTTGTTATAGATAGATTCTCGTTAATGCCGCGACATTTTCTCCATGATAGTCCGATAAAATCGCAACCTAAAATCGACAAAACTCATCAGCAGGTGCCACGAGAAACCGCAAATTGAATCGCTCTGTTCGACAGTCCGCAATCCGACGATCACCGACTACGACTCTCCTAGTAAATTCACTGTCGAGAAAAGAAATAAGGAAGGAAAAAAAATGACTACTACAAATTTTACAAGCCACAAGAGCCCCCCCAAGCACAACTAAAATTCACGGGCTCGAGACCGTGGGCGCTATGGTCATTTCAAAATAATGAAACCGATTTTTCTTTTTTGGTCAGATAAAATAATAAAACTAATTTACTCGCCGTGAATCCCAAGACTTTTTTTGCCCTTTTTCTCTATCCCTCTCTTTTTTTTTTACAGTTTTTTCTCCTTTTCTTTTTTTTTTGTGCATGGTCTCGTTTGACCTTGAAAAGCCCAAAAAGCCCAGACGGAATCCACACATCTCCATCACTGCCCCTCACTGATCCCGGTCCGGGGGGGCCGGGATATCTTTCGCCTCGACGATGCGCCCCGCCCCGCCCCGCCCCGCCGCCGCTAGATCGGTGCCCCCCCGCCCAAAAATCCGACGGCCCAGATCGGCCCCATGGGCGGTAGCGTCCCTCGTGCACGACCGGTTTCTAGTCAAAGGGGGGCGCGAGTTCCCTCTCCGCGCTCGTCTCGTTTGTCGTGGCCCTTAGACTTTCCGCTCCCGCGTGATAGAACAATCCCGAAAATTATTAATAATCAATATAAAAAAAAAAACAACTAACAATCAAAAATTAATCCGTCGTCCCTCGCGCGTCGCGAATATATCGGGGCATGTCAATTTTCCCCCCGCATTAAAATAATTCCCAAGGGGCTAGGGAGGGGGGGGGGGCTCGATTTCTTTATTGAGATATTTTGTCAGCCGAGGGGAGGTATTCGATAAGTCCTACTGGGGATTTTTATAATTATAAAGTACGACGCGACGCGAAAAGTAAAAATTGGTAATGCTTATTAAATTCATTTATGGGACATATATATATAATTAATAAAAATATTTTATTCAATTAATTGTGTGGGAGTGTAGTAGTACTTAGGAAAAGAAAAAGGAAGGAGAGAGAGCGAGAGAGAGAGGAATTTATTTTGCATGTGAAGGCGGGAAGTTGGGGTTTCCCTGCAAGTCAAAGAGTTTGTTGGTGGCACCGATTCCTGTCGTTTAAAGCAAAACGACAAAGAGGCGGGGAGGCGTTCCGTCACGCGCCGGCCCACGCGCGTGCACGCCACTTCTTTCCGATATCAAAAACGAGTTTGGTTCTCCTTTTGTTTTTTTTTTTGGGGGACAAAGTGTATCGGTAAGGGAAATGATATGTTTAGTTCATCGAGCAAATAAGATATTCGATATTTGACAAGACCTTCCCGTGTGCTCGCCATTTCATGGTCGAGAGAAGAAATTGAGACGATTCGTAACTCGATCCTCGCGTATTTATCGAAGGTCCTAGTAGGGTTTGAGGATGAAAGGAAGGGCAGGAATGAATCGAATTGCACGCCAAATCAGGCGAGGGCGTCCTTGAATTTTGTAAATGAAACTAAAATTAACTTATAAGAAATGTAATTTGACACAAAAACTTCTCTTAGCATCGAGATTCAAATGTGAAACATGTTCTGGTGAGTGCACTGCTAGGATGGACGAACTCAATGGTTAAGTTCGGTAACAGGTTAAGGCATGCAATATCTCGACTGAGCGAATCCATAAGTTTCACAGATTGCGCACTTATGCACTCAAAATATCCCGAACCAACATAACGTTACAACCTTACACGCCACAAAATTTGAGAAAAAAACGACTCATTAAATTTTAGTAACTATGCTATAGTCCAACAAGTATTCATTAGGACAATAATATCATTTTCATTTAAAATGTTAGTCATTCCAATTATTTTTGCCATACGGATGCTTTTTTCTCATTTAAAACTTCTTTCATTTCATCCGCTTATAATGCAGTCAAGAAGTACTCATATCGACTTATCAAAACTCTAACTTAATTAACCTAATGCTCCCTAGTGAATAAAAATGAAGGAGATTTTCTCCAAAACCTCTACCATCTTTCGTTATCTATCATATATCCTAGTTTATTCGAACTTTGTGTTTCTGCAGAGCACAAAGCAATAGCAGAAAATTCGTTCAAAAAGATAATTTCACGGGTCACTTCTCACTCGTCATGCCTTTTCAACTCTTTAAAAAAATTTCGACAAAAAAAAAACTCTTTAAAAGTTCTGCTATACGCAAAAACAAAAGGAGAAAAAGAAAGAAAAGAAAAAAAAAAAAAAAGGCCGTTGGGTGGACCGTGGACGCACGCGCCGGCCTCCGTGTCCGCGGGGTCGCGTGGGGGATCAAAAGCGGGCTCGGGTGCGAGTCAAAAAGAAGTTCCCAAAAAATTGTGTTTTCTAGGGGAGGGCGGGAGGCGATCCGGTGCGGCCGACCCCAGCGTTGCCGCTTCTGTGGGCCCCACGATGGATCGGCCGGTCAACGACCTCGGTGGACAGGAAAGGATTTTCGCGTGGGGCCCGCTTTTCTGGGGCCCACAAACGCGAAGTCATCCTTGTCGGATTTCTTTTCTGTTTTTTTTTTCCGTGCATTTAAACGTCAAAAGTAGTAAAAAAGAAAAAAGAAAAAAAAAAAAAGAAAGCCCTTGCACTCGAACATACACTAGTCTGTTTCTTTTTCGTGGGAAAATATGATAATTTTTTATTGATTTTTTTTAATTCTAGATGGAATTACCAACAACTAAAATAGAGCCATTTTATTTTTATTTTTTTTGGTCAAAAGAGCCATTTTAATTTTGCATAAATAGAGATTTAAGGTTGGTAGTGCTTTCACCTTGAAGACACTTTTCCACATGATGGTGTTTTTTTTTTTAATATTGCTTATCCTCATAGATTTAATTTTATAACGTTTAATCTCATCATCATAGATGCTAACTTCAGGTGTTCGAGTATCCATGTTGAAACCACCGGCTGGTAATAATGCAACACGCCCACTCACATATTCCTTAAGCTTACGAAATATATCAGCGATCGAAAGTACTAGCGACATCTGCACACCTCATTATCATTTTTGCACGAAAAAAAAAACCAAAAGATCAAAGTCCTGTGAAAAATCGTTCTCACAGAAAATGCACAGAGAATCAAAAGCTCAACCGCGTTCCGCAACGATAACTCGTCCTCGTTGTTACTCTCGGCGAAGAGAATTCTTTTTCTCAAGAAAAAGACTTTTTTTTTTATCGAAAATTACACTTGAAAGATACTCAAAACTCTGAAATTTTTCACATCAAATTGTATAGAGACCATCATTGAATTTGTCGAAATAAAAAAAAAAGTACAATAAAAAAACGATGGTTGCTATTTTACGCAAGGGGAAGGACACATTCGAAAATAATTTGAAGTGGGTAAAACTTGAGGTGAGTGAGAGTTGGTGAACAATGAACATAGGATAAGGCGACGCATTGACCGCAGCGCGGTTGACTTTTTGCTTTGAGGTTACGTGCCGTTGAGGATTAGCAGTGCAACTACCACTAATAATAATTAATTAGTCACCAAATTTTCTTTTCCAAGTATGGAAATTTATCGGTATGATCTCCTTTTCCATTCGTAATAAGTGTCGTGCATTGACAAAGAAAGAAATTCTTTCTTAGGCTAATATCATGAAGAAACTCCGAAATGGTACACCTGTAACATATTTTTTCCAAATTAATTTCTTGGCCACAAAAAAATCCAAAACCGGTACATCCATGACAATTTTACCAAAACTAAATTTTCGGCCATCGAAAACCCCAAAAAGGTACATATGTGACAAATTTACCCTCCGTTAAATTGGATTAATACCACGAAAAATCACAAACTGGTACATTTGTGACAAACAGAGATAATACCCTAAATTGGTACGCCCGTCAACTGTCATGCGTTATCCAACTCAGGAATTTGACTGTAAAATTTAACGGAAACTAGCAGATGGTAAACTTATCACAGGTGTACTGGTTTAGAATTTTTTATAGTAAAAAAATTAGTTTTGGGTAAATTTGTTACGGATGTACCAGCTTGAGATTTTTCGTGATATTAACCCTTCTTTTTTTTTTTTTTCATCTTCACAGTGCGTAAATAATTTTTTGTAGATTTTCGAGTGTAGGAAACGATGGGGAAAAAAAAAGAAGAATCAGATAAAATACTATAGGATTCATTTTCCTGGAGGCGAAAATTAAGAATTATTGCGTAATTTTCTTTTTTCTTTTTTCCTACCCCTCTTAGGCCGGTGTGGTTTCGAGTGTACATTGATTAGTACCATGATTACTCGGAAAAATTGAAGGTACGTTTGGTTCTAACCTTGCGACCTAAGTCAAGTCGTTCGATATGAACATTAAAATAACACTCTCTTTGAGTCGTGACCAACTTTCAAATCCTCCTATGGAAATAAAGATATGTGCTTTTAGACTCGAAAGCACCTACTAAACTGAGGAAAGAGAATGAGATTAGTGGGGGGTGGAAAAGAAAATTTTGTTTAGCAGCATTTGGACTTTGTGTTTCATCATTTGTCAATAACAACTCAGCATGGCGAATCTTATATTTTGAAATCTTGTGGGGAAGCCCAAAAATAATAAATGAATAAATAGATAAATAAATTAGTTAAAAATAATAATAAAAAAAATGAATTGCTTGATCCCCACAAGATGTCAATGTCTTCCCGAGTTCAAAACGTTGTTTACTTGTTTTTCTGTCTTGTGCGAAAAGTCTCCCACCTAACGCACCTTCCGTTCACATTGCCCATGGTTTGTCTTTGTGCTTGACCCAGATGAGATTTTGTCAATTGACCCAATTTCATCACTCTTCAGATAAGAACAAGTCCTTCTATGGATATACATTTGATATGTTACCAACCCTTTAAAGTTAAGGGGCCGCGGACCATTCAAGTTGTGTCTCTATGTTCGCGTCGAGAAAATTTGTATCTCATCAACAACCGGTGCCGTTTTTCTTGCGGTAAGTCGTGTCGATTTGGAGACCGGTCTATTTGTGACGCGTCATAAACTAGGGTCGTAAGAGATCTCTTTTCTTGCATGGCGTCGCGTTTGAGACGACGGGCCCGGAAATTTACTGCCGCCTCCGGCTTGTAAGTTATGCAATAGCAGAGCAGATGTGCGATCCCGGGTTTTTTGGCCAGGTATGCCTATGAGAAGAGCGTGTTGCATGCTGGAGAGGGAACCTATCTGATCAAAGGGGAGGGGCTGAGTCAATAGTGACAACACAGGAAAAGGGGGGCACAGTTTCTATCCCGATTGCCCGGTTCTGATATTGACCACACACAAGATACATTTGCCCTCTGCCATATGCTACAATCCATCTGTGACCGGCCAAGAACACATGCCTTCACGACAATGCTCTTTTTAGAGCAACAAGCTGTACATCTTAATTCTACGCCTTTTGGCCCGACATCGATAACGTCGACAACAACCAAAATCTGGGTTCGCATGCATAAGTGGCAAGACATTTGCTAAATGCGGGAGTAGCTATAATCTCTTCCAACGATACTCAGAGAGTAACATACTCGCTATCCATGGGACATGATAATGGCTTCAATATACAGGTCCTCGGCACTATGGATATGAAATGGAGTGAATGGTATAGGCCAGTACTAAAGCGACAAACTAACCACACCAGGAACAGATACTATAATCAGATCGTCTTGAGCACTAAAGAAATGCTTTTAAGACGAAACGTCTTACAAGAGAAATTTTCTTAGTTGATCGGGGTGCATGCGGGCCCAATGCATCTTAGCCCTTGATTTTGGTGGGTCCCACGTGATCTAAGGGCCGGAATGCACTAGGCCGACATGCATCGGATGCACCCAAGAGCGTCTCCTACAAAATGGCAAGCGCCCGTAAAACAAAGGAAGAAGCCACGACCGAAAATCCAAATGAGGAGGATTGCTGCCAAAGGATGGTCCATCAGCAGCACATATAGTCAGCATTCTATAATGTCATGGGATGGGCTTTTGCTGTCGTTTTGAGATCTGTCCACAAGAAAATTTTAAGGTTTTGGATAAAGTATATACCAAGAGGTTCTCATTCCCTTGGTTACACCAAGGTCCTGTTGCACGCTCCAACCCTTCATGATTTACGGTAGTCACAGTTCCACAAAAAGTAGAAATATGGCTTTTTGGAAAGACAAAGTCTTAAAGTGCAAATGACATTGCTTTGGTCAATGGTTTGTCATGCTCGGTTTACTGTATCTGCGCAACAATTGAAACGGGACACACTTGGCTGTTATCTGACATCTTCACAAAACTGAGCTGCAACGGCGTGCAATCTTCAAGTCAAGATTTGAGCAGGATTACATATAGGAGCTCCGCATGACAGGCTCAGATTTGCCCCGTCCGTATGCCTCTATCAAGACGGTCCGCATTGAGAGTTCCAGGAAGCTCTCTGAAACCTTCATTGAAGATGGAGTATGCGCTGCATTCCACATTGGACAATATAACAGTGTTATTTAAGAGAGGCTTATCTTACTAGTACAATTCACAGAATAAAATCCAGAGGGGAGAGGACATGGTTGAAAATTCGTGCAGACTAATCGGACTATTAGGTATCATTAGAAGGGGATGATAGGCTGTGAATAGCCTCGACAATCTTCAGCAATAACATAATGTTATACTACCATGCATGCTGAGGAGACGTCTCCTGTATCAGAAGATACATAAAATGATAGATGAATGGCAGGGATAGACATTATCATCAAACTATTCTACCTTAAACAAAAGCGAGTCACATTTTATTCAATTTTTATCTCATAATGAATTGCAAGTTCTTGGAAACTGGCAAAGAGTTGCACGGAGCTTAAACTAAGCCAGGAGCGTTGTCAGCCAAGAGAATGACATATATTAGCAAAGCAATACAAAGGCAGCATGTACCTGAGGTCACCGGATTGCCGTTTCCCAAGATTCAAAAGAATTATCGCAAATCCAGTGGCAAGTATCTGGTACAACATTGTATCAAAAGCAATGAGTCGTGTCATAAATCTTAATCTAAGTAATATATAAATAAGGTAGAGACAGGCCAATCCAGATCATATATTCTCAAAATGCTCCAGCATGATTGTTCATTTCCCTTAATACAATCACAGCTGCATAGCCTTGTGGAATGAAATCAACAGAGGCAATTTGCTACCACTCAATTCAATTTCTTGATTTAACCAAGCCAAATGTGATAACCAGAAGTATGAAATTAAGAGAACGGGATATTTCACTTTAATACTTTCCTGTAGAATTTTCACAACTTCTTTATCACAAGTAAAGCATAGGAGAGTAAGAAACGGATGTCATTAGTCACAATCCAGGATCGACAAAAACCAGACAAAGTGAACTTACATATAAAGGTCCGAGGTCCCATCTATAAGCAACAGGTGCCAAGATAAACCACAAGATCATAAAGGCCCACGTCTTCAGACTCAAAGTAAAAATTGCCATCAAAAGAATGTCTGAAGTGGAAAAAGATAAAACAGTGAATTAGCAGACTGCCGCTTCAAAATTCATAATCGCTTGAGAATATGCTTACCAGGTAGCTTCAACTTGTCATGTAAAAGGTTGAACATTTTCCTCTTCCACCAACTAGATGATTGAGGAAGATGAAACTTCTAGAGAACAAAAAGAATAGTTAGCAAAAAAATTATAAATTCTGCACTATTATGCCAAATGAAGCTCAACTCAACGACGGTATCACTGTGAGCATAATTGACATACCAAATCATCTTCATCATCATCAGTATCTACTCCGTCATGAGAATGTTTAACCGGTGCCTTTGGTTTCACAGCAGCGATTAAAGAATCTGGAGACGAAATACAGAACAATTACTGTAGAACAGCTGAAAATAGAATGCTTACACATTCCATACTATGAAAACCCATGTCAGGAAGATTCAAGAAGATATTTTTTAAACTTTAGATATTAAGAATCACCGACATGTTCACATTTAGAAGTTTGTCTGATATATAGTAAATTATAAGAATGATAGCCTCAAAGGAAAGATCTATACCACCGTCTACGAGTTCCACACACATATCATCTCCATCCTTTGTGCCATCCAGTACTTTCCCTCGCAAAATAAGCCTCAAATCTCCAATTGGTAAATGACTCTTTTCAGCAATCAGTTTCCTTAGATCATGCACCTAAAAAAAATGGAAGCACGCATGAACATTTTTTAAGGTACGGCCTTGAAACCAAAGATTGCAGCCCAGGAATGAAGGTCAAAAAATTATTATCAGTGAAACAAACAACAGAACAAAACATCAATACTTTTCATGCAACACAAGCACCGTCAATTCAAGGATGTCCATAAAGCTAGAAGCAATGACACTACACAACTCGTGTAATAGGTGAATAATTCTAAATACCCAAAGCTTCGAGAGAGAGAGATCAAGAAATTTACAAGAGGCAACCACCTCTATAACATGGTTGACGGCACCTAAAAGTGCAAAAAATTGATAAATCCAAAATTTTCATTACCATAATCAACCTACTCAAAGAAAATTCTACGATACTGTCCATCCATTTTTCAACCATAACCTCCTTATCCTGACGGTTGCTCCCTGCTCTTACGGCAGTTCGCTGCACTCCATCAAATTCAGCTGAAAAGGAATGGAGTAACTTGAGGCATGCACCCCGAGTGATTTCTGAGATGGGTGATTCAACTTTAGAGCAATCGACACCGAGTTTACCCTCGATTAGCTTGTTAAGCATTGTTGGCACAGTTAAAAACTGTAGTAGATTTCCGAAGCTAACAATTAGCTCAGCTAGCCAAAGTACTGAACACCCCGATAATCAATCCGACCGCATTCGCGGGGGGATCGCACGATATGAGAAAAGAGAGGCATGCCATATCACAAATAGACCAATAAAAACACCAAAAGGAAAAACCTATCTATCTCACTGAAATTCTACTCTACAACCCACAAACAAGAAGGACTTTCCACAGTTTTCTACATAAACAGCATCACAAATAGGATTATCCTGGACAATTCACAAGCTAAATTCGACACCCAATAGGCAGAAACTCTAATTCCTAAGACAGGAAGCTCCGACAGATAAATCCATGCGAACACAAACAGATCATCAACTCACGAAAACACATGTTGAGCTCAAGTCAACTCAAAGAATCGAGACACAGAGAGGCAAAACTGCAAAACTCAAAATGGCGTACTTTAACAGGTGAAGGGACGGGGAGGCGAGATGGGCGAGCGGGGCCGATCGTTCGAAGGATTATCACGACCTCCTTCTGCTTCAGCTCGTCGATTTCCTCTCCCATGACTCCAAGACACGCGATTCTGCGACTCTCCGGCAGATCCCAGCTCGAACGAATCGTGCGATCGTTTCACCAGTTCGAGGAATGCGTTTCGACGTTTCGCCTGGCAAATCAATCCCAAAGGAAACGCCATGGACCAATTTTTGAGGACGGGGCGTATATCATGAGAAAATTGGTTTAAAGTTGACGCCTTTCTTGGTCTGAGCTGCTGATTTTGGATGGCCCAGAGCACCTGCAAAGTACCAATCTTGAAAATGGTGGTGGGCTTGGAGAGGAGAGTTGAGCTTGGCAAGGCGAAACCTTTTTGCTCACGACCCGCAAAGCCCAATTATGAATGGTGCACTGGTAGAGGTCTTATCCATCAAAAGTTCAGCTTTTTCGTTCTCAGTTGATGCTCACCTGCCGGCGTCCGGCGTCCGGCCGCTGTTCTTGAAATGTCGACACAGTGGTAACGTAGATGGGGCCTCTCGAACACAGGCCAAATGTCCTTCGGAGTTAGCAATTTACCGAAAATTGACCGGATTTCACTGGAGAATATTAATGGCGGTCCACTATATTAAGTGATTTCAAAAACAAAATTCAGTGACTTGGTTATAAATTCCCCTAAAATTTGAGCCATCGTGCTACATGATTTGAGATGATCCATAACTGGTTTTGGACTACTTCACAGATTTAAATTTGGATTCAAATGTCTAATATTAGAAAAAAGGAGGAGTTGAATCACTTTGATCAGAATGTGGTGGCTTCAGAGACAGCACGAGCGGTGACATAAGGGATGTACTGGATAAAATAAATGGTGAGGAAAAAGCATAAACCATGAAATTAAAAAAGGAAAGCCGTTGTACTTATCAAGATAAAAAAGGACTAGTGCAGAAACATGTCATCTTGTGTTCAGAGGTCTTAGGATGAGGCATTCCATGCCCACCATTCATCCAAGATAAAATGACACAGAACGAATATAAGGCCATCTCTTTCTCTGAAACTTGGGCACTGCACACAAAACAAAGGAAGCACCATTGGGAGGGAGCAGATAAGCCATGGCACTGAGGATGTGGGCTTCTTCCACCGCCAATGCACTCAGGCTCTCTTCCAAGGCCTCTCTCTCCCCAGCATTCTCTCTCCACAGATGCTTCTCCTCTGGTGACTTCTCTCTCTCTCTCTCTCTCTCTCTCAACTTCTGGTGTTTTTTTTTTTTTGGTAAGGTATCTCAACTTCTGGTGTTTGTGTTTGAAGTTCTTGAGAATGTTCTTTCTTGTCTGTGTTCATGTTGTGTCTCCTGTTTTGCCAATGTTTTGAGCGAAAAGGTTGCCTTTTGCAGTTTTGGATGGACTAAAGTATGCAACTTCACACGAGTGGGTGAAGCATGAAGGCCCAGTGGCCTCCGTTGGCATCACTGACCATGCTCAGGTCTGTCCTCTGTGTTTGGCTTGATCTAACACCACCCAATTTTTCCTTCAGAACTAAGATTGCCAAGTCAAGTCCTTTCTTGATGGTTGATGGATGAAGCAATAGATTTATGGTTGAGTCTGGTCATTGAGAATTTGAGCCGAGACTATCTGTTAGTCACCAATTGCGCTCTCATTGTATATCGGAGTTATACGTTGTCAGAAGATGAAGAATTGGAATATTTGCCGTTTTACTGGCGAATACCAGTTCTACTTTGTTTACCATTGCATTTATTTCAACATGACGAGATGCACACCTTAAACTTTCCGGGTGTGAAGACAGACAAAGGCAATCAGAGCTCAAAGCCTCAATTATATCATTCGTCTGCAGGACAGACTCTGTCGTCCTCAGCTACGAAAACGTTCATCCATGTGTTATTGCTATCCAGAAGGTGGTCTCATGATTATGCTTCGCAAAATCAAGGATAAAGTATCTTTAGTAATCTCGAGTGAAATACTTTCGTTACCTCCTTGTTGACCAACTTCTATTTAGATTCTAGTCCCTGCAATACAGATGCTTGAGTTTCAGCTATTTAGCTGTTACTGACCTGATTTTGCCAGATGCCCCTGCAGAATTTTGTGTATCAACATGGATATATTTACGATTCTCGTTGCCATCAATAAATGGAACATTTTGTTTCTACTTGTGTCCTTAAACGAGCATTCAGGTCGCCAAATTCTTCTGTCTCATCTGGCATTACATCAGCTCTTCTTTTCTTTATCTTAATACATAACTGGTGTTCTTATTAGATAGTAAAATCTGCAATTCTTAGGACCACCTTGGAGAAGTAGTGTTCGTGGACCTGCCCGAACCCGGCGGTTCAGTTTCCAAAGGAGGCAGCTTTGGAGCAGTGGAAAGTGTAAAAGCAACCAGTGACATTAACTCTCCTATCTCTGGTGAGATCGTTGAAGTGAACACAAAGCTCACTGAAACGCCTGGCTTGGTAAGTTCTTGCTTAACTTAAAGAAATTTTCTCTTTCATTTCCTGCTCAACGTATTTCTCTCTATAGTTGTCTTAGGCCTAGTCCTGTTTAAATTAATTTCCTGGAAGTGTGCTTCTTTTGTCAACTCACCATGCAACCTTTTCATGATAATAAAGATGATCATTTCGATATTTACATTGAGAGCTTCTTTAATGAAGGTCAACTCAAGCCCTTATGAAGATGGATGGATGATTAAAGTGAAGCCCAGCGATCCATCGGAACTAGGTTCCTTGATGGGTCCAAAAGAGTACACGAAATTCTGCGAGGAAGAAGCTGCCGCTCATTAGGATGTGAATGTGCATCAAACTGACGTCTCTGAAGCTGCATAATAACGATATTGTCAATTTCTTTGTTGAATTAATCAAGACAGAACTTCAAACTTCAGAAATGTCAAATTGGCTGCTTTATATGCCCTTTCTGAGTCTCTGCCTATTCCTTCTTCCCATGCTGTATTCTGCATCTTCTTGTAATTAAGTCACATTGCTATTTCACTTCCATCTCTCCTCATTTTCCTCTCGTACATCTGTGTTTACTCATGGAATCTTGACTTAGATCAACTAAGATGATGTCATTAGAATAAGTCCATTTTTGGGAAGTCAGATTGTTCACAGACAACTGGGACAAGTCACTTAAGAGAGTTAAAGTTTACTTCACATTAATACAACGGATATATGTGCAGTATCGATTCAACAAGTGCTACCTTGATTTAAAAGATTATGAAGACAAACCAAAAGAAAAGGCTGAAGGATTCCAAAATACAGCTGATTGCATGAACTTGTGATGTTGATATTGAATGACCAAAAGATAAAACATGCTTTAGCAGTTCTGGCTATTCAATCTTTGCAAGATTCGACCTGATGCATCTGAAGCAATTCACATCCCTAGAATGATCTATGTAACAGAAACTCTTAGCTGCACCTGTGATGACGCAGCATATGCACTGTCCATATGGATCATGAAGGAAGATGATGATTAGCTTCCAGTAAAACCACATTTAAGGAAAAACCTGAAAGCCATATTTTCATACATCCCTAGAATCTGAACCGAGTCTTTTGAACTTTGCCATGAAATTATCTGAAGGTTTCGGTGAAGGGAGGTAATTGATAGGGCACTTAGGATTAGTTTGCTCTACCCTGCAAAATGAAATCATTTATCTGATATTAAAATGATTGATTGCATAAGCACCTGCTAATCTCATTCCACCAGAACTTTAATCTGGTAAAACTTCTTTCCTTTTGTAAGAGTTATTATACGATATTTGTTTAATGAAAAATGACATTACTTCTCGTGACCTGATATTTGAAAACTTAGCAAGAAAGAACTCTAGTTAATAAGGAAAAAAACAAAAGAGAAAAAGTACTTACTCATAGTTAAGGAGAGAATAGTGTAGAAAGATGGACATCTCAAGCTTGGCCAAGTCGCTTCCTGGGCAAGACCTGCTTCCTGCTCCAAATGGAATGAAAGTGTTAGCCGGACCGTATGGCTCGGCCGAGCGCCCTAGGATCACCATAGCGAGATATTAACGGTACGGTAAAAGGATGGATAGAATTTGTGCACCTCATTTGGATTCCATTGGCCTGGATGCGGAAATGACGATGAACCGGTGCCGTAGGTCTTCCCCTGTCACCCCCGAAGTCCCGATGCTATGAGACCGCCTCAGCCAACTCACGGAAGCCTTAGGTGAGTTTGAAAGCGTTTGAGAGAGATTGGAAAGAGTTAGGTGCAGAGGAGGGACCTGCAGCTCTATTTATAGAGTTTCCAGCCAGGCCCTCTCATAACGGGCCGGGCCGAACTCGGCCCACACAAGCCGGGCCCATATCTGACCAATTAAGAAACCTTATATCCAAACTTATTAGACCAGACCCGTAAGCGGGTAATAACAATCTCAATTAATGTAACCCACATTAGGAAAACGTTACATTCTCCCACTTGGGCTATATTAATTGAAATCGTACCTTATGTGCACCTTTATTTGGTCTACGGATAATTCTTAATAGTCAATCCGATCCCATAAAGTTTCAAACACCGAATCATGGCGGTAACTGCATGTAATCACGCAGAGCCTTCCATGGTCACAAGTGTCTTAGACTTTACTGATATGGATTCGATATGGTTGCGTGGCAAACGGATGACACCTCATAAAGAGTGATACCTCATGTGTCATCCCCTTTGTCAGTCCTCATTCTTTTTCCTTAAGTGTCACAAAAACCTGATGTGTCACTAAAGAATATCTTTATGGTTCTAATGAACCTACATATGTCTTATCCTTATTGTTAACATTACTTTATGTGTAATACGACATATCCTTAAGGCCAATAACTGAATGCCCATAGCCTTTACTCAAAGTTTACACAGCACCTTAAGATTTTCACCTAATATGTGTATTTAACATGACAATAATGCATTCAGAAACATCTTATTGAATGCAAATGAGTTGATACACATCCAAAATGTTACAAAGAGTAACAGAACACAGATGTAAACTTTATTAGAGCATAAATTAAAAAACAGCTCCCACTAAACAACAGTATCCCATGATACTCCTAAGCCCATGCTAACAACATGTCGTTCAAAAATACAAGGGCGAAGGCCTTTAGTTAGTGGATCTGCTACCATATCATCTGTGGAAATGTGCTCTACTGTAATGTCACCATCCCTGACTTTTTCCTTTATGGTCAAGTACTTGACCTCCATATGCTTAGGCCCCTTGAGACCTCTGTTGTTGTTAACAAATAACACTGCAGAGTTATTGTCACAATACAACTGTATGAGCCGATCTACAAAATCAAATACGATCAACTCCCTAATGAGGTTCCGGAGCCAAATTGCCTGAGTAGCGGCCGAAAAGCATGCTACAAACTCCACTTGCATGGTAGAGGATGTCATTGATTTCTGTTTCTCATTTTTCCATGATACTGCACCTCCTGCTAACTTAAAGATGTAACCCGTTGTCGACTTCCTTTCATCCTGACAGCCAGTAAAGTCTGAATCCGAATACCCTACTAGCTGTAGGTCTTGAACATGTCTGTAGATCAGCATATAGTCTTTTATCCTCTTTAAGTACCTCAAAACCTTCTTGGCAGCAACCCAGTGATCGTGTCTTGGATTTGATTGATATCTGCCTAGAAGTTCTGTTGCAAAAGCAATGTCTGGCCTAGTGCAAACTTGAGCATACATGATACTTCCAAGTGCACTAGCATAAGGTACATCCTTCATTTGGGTTTTCTCAACATCCGTATGAGAACACTGTGACAGACTCAGTTTATCACCCTTTATGACAGGAGCAATTCCTGGCTTGCAGTCCTGCATACTCAATCTTTCCAGAATACGATTAACATATGTTCTCTGAGACAAACCCAATACTCGGCGAGAACGATCCCTATGAATCTCAATGCCTAGGACAAAAGACGCCTTATCAAGGTTCTTCATGTCAAAATCCTTCGACAACATTCGCTTTGTCTCATGTAGTAATCTAATATCACTACTCGCAAGCAAGATGTCATCTACATAGAGTATGAGACAAATAAATTTCCTCCCACTGACCTTGCTGTATATACATTGATCCAACTTGTTCTCAACAAAACCTAATGAAGTGACAACACTATGAAACTTCAAATATCATTGTCTAGAAGCTTGCTTAAGGCCATAAATAGATTTCTTCAATCTACACACAAGCTCACCTGAATCATCAGCTGCAAAACCTTCGGGTTGCACCATATAGACTTCCTCATCAAGGTCTCCATTTAAAAAGGCAGTCTTAACATCCATCTGGTGTAATTCCATATCAAAATGAGCTACCAATGCCATGATCACTCTGAAAGAATCCTTAGAAGATACTGGTGAAAAAGTCGCCTCATAGTCTACTCCTTCTCTTTGAGTGAAACCCTTAGCTACCAGTCTGGCTTTGAATTTCTCAATCTTTCATCTGGAGTCTTTTTTAGTCCTGTATACCCATTTGCAACCAATGGGCTTGTAACCTTTAGGTAATTCAACAAGCTCCCAAACACCATTATATCTCATAGACTGAATCTCGTCTTTCATTACATCCACCCACATATCTGATTGAGGACAAGAAATTGCATCTGAATGAGTTACTGGATCAATCACGCAGTCTATATCGTAGTCATGCTCACCCAGATAGATCATATAATCCGGTGGTATAGCCGATCGTCTCTGCCTGATAGATCTCCTGAGTGGAGCTACTACTTCCTCATCCTGCACCTGAGGGTTTTGAAGTACTTCATCAAGAGCTGTTTCAATAACAGGATCCTGGACCACAACAGGCTCAGTCTGTGGTGTAGGGGTCTCCATTATCGTTTGTACAGGTAGAGAAATCGACACTGTAGTACCTACCATATTATTATCCTCAATGGTTTGTGAGCAACTACCCTTATCGGCTACATCAAATTCCAGAAATTTCGCTGTCTGTGATTCGACAATTCTTGTGCCTCCATGGGAACTGTAAAACCGATACCCCTTCGAATGATCTGGGTAAGATACGAAGTAACATCGAGTGGTTCTGGATTCCAACTTGCTCAATGTTGGATTGTATAACCTTACTTCTACAGGACACCCCCAAACTTTAAGATGATTTAAGCTAGGTTTACGTCTAGTCCATAATTCAAAATGAGTCTTTTGAACAACCTTGGTAGGAACACGATTTAGAATGTAGAGAGCTGTTCTCAAGGCTTCACCCCATAGAAAATCAGGTAAGTTCGTCTTGCTAATCGTACTCCTCATCATGTCCATAAGGGTGCGATTCCGTCTTTCGACCACACCGTTTTGTTCAGGACTCCCGGGCATAGTAAATTGAGCCACTATTCCAGAATCTTTCAAGTATTTGGCAAATGGCCCTTTCAGCTGTCCAGCATCGCCATGCCTGCCATAATACTCACCACCTCGGTCAGACCTGACAACCTTCATGACTTTTCCCAGCTGTTTCTCGACTTCAGTCCGAAAAATCTTGAACTTGTCAAGAGACTCAGACTTCTCCTTAATCAAGAACAGATAACCATATCGGGAATAGTCGTCTGTAAATGTGATGAAATAGAAATTTCTACACAATGTTGCCGTATAGGGTCCACTGATGTCAGTGTGAATGACTTCCAACAGGTCAGAACTACGGACTGCGGTTTTCTTTTTTATCTTAGTCATCTTACCCCTACAACAGTCTATGCAAGTATCTAGGTCACTTTCAAGAGTAGGCAGGATGTTTGTCTTTATCAGCCTTTCCACTTTTTCTTTAGAAATGTGACCAAGTCGTTTATGCCACAATGCATAAGACTGTTCCTTAGGTAGAGGTTTTTTGGAAACAACCCTTTCATCTGTATAAGCGACGTATATATCATTGGGAGATAAACACAATCTGTACAATCCATTCGATATGTTGCAGCACCCAACCTTATTTGAATCAAAGAACATAGAAACCACATTGTTCTTTATTTCAAAAGAGTAGCCACAAACATTCAAACTTGATACGGAAACTAAGTTCCGTCTGAAGGAAGGCACATAAAAGGTATTTCTTAATATCATATTAAAACCAGAATCCAAAATTAATATGACATCTCCCACGAACTCGACGTCGACTCTCTTGTTGTTTCCTACAGTGAGCTTTAATTCATCCTAATTTGGCTTCCTTCTGTTTGTGAATCCCTGTATGGTATAGGCAACATGATTAGTTGCACCGCTATCTAGCCACCAAGAACTGGATGGAGTTTCTAATAGGTTGGATTCACAAACAAGTGCCAAAGAATTAATACCTGACTGCTCACGCTTGGACAACCAAGTTTTATATCTATTGCAGTCTTTCTTCATGTGACCCTTCCTCCTACAAAAGTAGCAGTGAACACCATTCTTCTTCAAGGGTGTTTTCTCAGGACCCAGATGGTCTAAATGACCGGTGGTTTCAGGAGTTCCTTTCTGAGTACGATTCTTGAACTTACTACTCTTCCTGCTACTGGAACTAGAGGCATAGAAAGCAAGATTCCCTTTATCTTTCTTCAGTTTCTCTTCATCTGCCACAACCCTAACTATCAGGTCATTGACCGACCACTTTTCATCTTGGGAATTATAGTTGGTCTTTATAATTCCAAACTCAGTAGGAAGGGTGTTCAGGGCTTGATGCACAATGTAAGCATCAGAAAGGATAATCTCATGAACCTTTAGTTTTGTCTGGAGGTCTACCATCCTAAGGACATAATCCCTAACCCCACTTGAACCATCATACCTCATATTATTGAGTAACTGCATGTATGTCCCAGCCTCAGCATTAGACGAGTCACGGTTCCTTGCTTGCAAGGTTTCCATCATTTCTTTAGCAGTGCAGTCAGCTGGCAAACTACTCTTCAAGTGGTCGTTAATGGATCGCTTCATCAGTAACAAGCAAATCCTATTGCTCTTTGCCCAGACGGCACTCAGTGTCTTTTCCATATCCGTACTATCAGCAGTGACATCTGCTGGCTTATCCTCAGTAAGAGCAATATGAATATCTGCCAGCTCCATACCAAACAGAAAATCCTCTTTCCATTTCTTAAAGTTTGAACCAGTAAGAATCTCAATACTTATGGAGTTGCCGTTCAGGGAGAACGTGACTGTTAAAAAACAAGCAATGTCTATAATCAGCATCATGTGAGTACTTTCCTGAGAGTTACACACATCATCATGTAATCACCTTTGGGCAGAATACATGACATGTAATTGTATACCCTCTACATGACAACGGTCATGAGAATGTATTCCAATCTTTTATGAATTCACCACCTTGGGGTATATGAACCACGAGGATCAGTCATTCCTCACGCATGCTGTACATGCATCCATCCATGAACCAATACATAATCACCTCCTCTGGGAGTATGACAACACATTAGAACAGGAGACATCCTAACAATACGAGACTGATATTTCTCAAACTCAATTAAGTGTACCACTTTGGCGGTCACTACCAAATTGAATCATTAAAACTCTCTCATACTAAGGCATAAACTTTATGTCTCACATATACTATATAGATGTAATTCTAGACTGGAAGACATGGGCAATGTCTCTAAAATTACATACCATGCTAATTACATTGCTCTATACATTGATATATGTCGAACCTTATACATACTATCAATGAAACATGATCTACACGTCCTTATGTCATCATATACATGTAAGCTTTAATCTGTATCTCTTAAACCATAGAGAAATACAGGAAAATACGAAAATATACCCTAAAAATACGCGTATATAGGGTTCTGTATGTATTTTCACATCCTTAAAAGTATGAAACATGTAAAATAAATATATCACAGTGTAGAAAATATTTATACGAGCACGCCGGTACCTGGCACGCTCCAATCGGAGGCCGGACGTGCCCTCACGCGCCTTTTGAAGGTGCGGCGTGTGAGCTTCACGTGCCGGCGCTTAAGCCGGCCAAAAAGGCCGGTCCGACCGGTCTGACTGCCGACTAGTCCAACCGGTCTGACCGCCGACCGGTCTGACCGCTTACCGGTCTGACCGGTTGACCTGTTTGGTCAACGGGTCGGGTCAATCCCCGGGTCGGGTCAACGGGTCAGACCCCTGGGTCGGGTCAACGGGTCGAGTCGGGTCAGTCGGATAGACCCGGCTTGCGGAAACCCTAGCCGGGCCTTAGGTGAGTTCGAGAGCGTTTGAGAGAGATTGGAGAGAGTTAGGTGCAGAGGAGGGACCTGCAGCTCTATTTATAGAGTTTCCAGCCAGGCCCTCTCATAACGGGCCAGGCCGAATTCGGCCCACACAAGCCGGGCCCATATCTGACAAATTAAGAAACCTTATATCCAAACTTATTATACCAAACCCGTAAGCGGGTAATAACAATCTCAATTAATATAACCCACATTAGGAAAACGTTACAGAAAGCACCTCCCTTCTTTCTATAATTCTGCTTGCAAAAAATGAGCAAATGAAATATCAAACCCAAATATGTGTTTGAAAAAGCAGAGTTGAAAACATCGCGAACGAGTGTGAAAAGATTTCTAAGCACAGATATAGCAGACACAATGCAAGATGGTTCTCTTACATCCCATCTTGAAGGATTGAACTCTTCTGGTTCCGAGTAGTTTGTTGGATCCATATGAACACCTCTGAGGCAAATTAGGACATTCCACCCTTTTGGTATGAGATATCCTGAGAAGAAAAATTTCTTTCGAATGAGGAATGATCAGTAAACGGAAGGAAAATAAAGGAAATTGTGCAGCCAACCATTGATTGTGGTGTCTTCTCTCGCCTCTCGAAACAACGAGAATCCAATATTAACTCTGCGGAGCATCTCATCGATCGCCTACACCCACGAAGCACATCAATAAATTGCACGATACCTACTTGCAAGGACAATGATCATTTCACTGAACAGAAACAACTTTTTAATTCTCTATCTGGTCCGAATGTTTCTTTTCTTCGTTACATTTTGTATCATAGGTTGAAGGGGAAAAAATGGAGACATACCTTAGCCAGATACTCCATTTGTTTGATCTCCTGGTAAGTTAATCCTTTCTGCGTCGGTTCTCTCCTTTTAAGGATCTGAATTTGCTCCTCCTGGAAATTGAATTCAACTCAAAACCAATTTTCAGAATTTTAAATGAATTTTGGCAATATTCTACGCAACCGATGTAGAATAGCACATGGTGTTTTTCTGATCGAGTGCTGTAGCTGTTATGCGAGAATAAGCAGCTCTGGATTAATATCATGTTATATGCATAGCGACACCAAGAAACTCGGTAATCAAATCTTTGTGGCCATCCTTAAATGTTATGTTACTTGTACAATCATTTAGCAAATTCCTACAGGGTAAGTCAACTAGAAGGTTTATCTTCCTGCTTTACCATGAGAAAACTTGGTGATTGGGTTATTATCGTGCGGACCGTACCTTCGCTTTCTGCAAGGTATCTGGATTCTCGTAAAAGTACTGGACCATCCACATCGTAGCTAATGTGACGCTGTCAAAACCGGCTAAAAGGTACATGTGTAGAATGTCAATGATCCCATCTTTGCTTAATGCTTGACCGTCCTCATCTTCTGCCTCCATGAGTAAATCTAGCATACTTTTGCTCGCTGTGTATGCATCGTTCTTCTTCATTGACTTCCTCGTATCCACGACTTCCTTAAAGATCTTTTCCAGTTCTCTCTTAGCCTAATGAGCAGTAAGTCATTACCATGTCATACGAGTGGCTCATACACGATGAACCAATGTTATTTCCAATGATACTTTGAGAAATATTAATGAACCCCGGTAGTTGATTTCTTATGCGAGACTGACTGAGGTAATCTAGGTTCTTGCTCTTACCTTGATTGCCCAATGAAATTGGAAACCGGGAAGATTTATGGCCAAGGAATTGAACCCCTTGATGATTTTCACCCAACAGATTCATGGTGCTTGAAATGAAGGAATCATTGGTCACCGAACCGAAGAAGATGGGAAGAACCACCTCGAAAGTGGCCTTCTTCATTTCCTCATAGAACTCGATTGGACAGTCCATTTTTGCACATTCCTCCAGTGAACCAATCATTATCTTTTCGATGTGCTTGATGTACATTGACGGTGACTCGTTGCCGTTGATTTTAGCTGCCGTCAAGCGGCGGAAATGTTTATGTGCAGAATTCGACATATTGTGGAATGATTTCTTCCCTACCAGTTCTTGGGTTGTTTTAGGGTAACTAAGTTTGAAATTCTCTTCATCTGCCAATACTCGTCTGCAAGCCTCAGGCCTGGAAACGATGATGCTTGGCTTTCCAAACATTACGGTCCGGTACATCCCCATCCCACCATATCTGTACAACAAAATGCAGGTTTATGTCAAAATCATTCTGTTACTATGAATTCTTCAAGCTGAAATAGACTTTGTTAGTGAAAATTGATAGGCTGATCAAAGCATATCGTCCCTTGTTAAACATTCTCCCAGCTGGGAGTCACAAAGTTCAATAACCTGGCACGTCTGTGTTGCTTTATAAATCAAGATAACATCAAACTTACGTGCTTTAACAAAAACGTAACTGTTCCATCAGATTCAGGCAAATGATTCCATTTTCTTCTAGTTTGCTGAGCTCATGAGTATCGAATTATGTGAAGGGAGAGAGACCTGGTGATGAAGCTTGAGATGAACGAATCGGGATCTCTGAACTTGAAAGCTCTCAAGAATGACAACATTTTCCCAAGAAAAGGCCATCCCATGTCACCTGGAGGAAGAGAATATTGCTTCTGTCCTAATTTTCTCACATACAACCACTCATTGATCTTCCTAAGAAACCCAAAGACAAAAGCATAACCCACCACAAAGCATGTGAAGATCAAGTGCAGCAAGTTCACTTCAATCTCCAATCTCTATTTGGCATTCATCCTCAGGAGTCTACCTCTGTATATATAGCTACTTTGCTGCCGCGCAATGCACAATCTTCAGCTCACTAAATTACAAATTTCTTGTCTAATTGGATAGGATTATTTAGGCTATGTCAACTTCAATGTTAAAAGGATCGAAAGGTACTCGCGTGATACATATAAATGAAAACTTATGAAGATACACGATTAGTCTTTGACGAGGTAAGCATTATTGTTGAATTTGCTAGTATGTGAGAGTGAGAGTAACAGATGGAGATGGACAGAGCTCGGCAAAAACAATAAGCCATGATTATGAGCGGACATTCAGAATAAACGAATACAAGAACACAGATGGCCGCCTCCATTAGGATGCCAGATCACAAGTTAAGCTCAAAGTTGTTGCACATTTGCCGTCACTGAGATGCTTAATGAGCACTGACCTTTCCTTGGCCTTGTACTTACATGTTCCTGTTCTATCTTCCTTGTTTGATCCGATGCCCCCTCCTCTTTGTTTAGATAGCATCGACTTGTATTGGTTACATGTGTGAAACAATGCTAAGCTTCTTCCTTATGTGGATTAACTAAGCTAATACTCTCGAAAATATATGTCAAGTTTGAACCCGTGAAGAAAATCCGATCCAAGCAAGAAATTATGTAAATATTTGCCATGTTGGAGTTGTATCCAGAGTTTGAGTATTTCTTAGTTTGAATCTGTTAAAATGAGTTTCTTATTTTAGATCCAAATATAACATATATAAGAGGTGGGCCAAGTTGGGAATTGCACTCAAATTGCCCATATTTACAAAATGAACTTGAATTTAGAAGAGAGAGAGATCCCTTAACTTATTTGAATTTGCAGGACCCCAACCCACTCATTTCCCTTGCTTGGTCGAATTCTTCTTGTGCAACAACATGTGATGTTCTAAATTAGAAAGTAAATACCTGAGCCAAAGAATTTCAGCAAAATAGAAAATAAGAAAGTGATTTTAGACCAAACTTGGGGAGTAGATCTTTTGGCTGTAACAATCAACTGTACGGCGTGCTGGTGAATTATATCCCAAGTGTTTGAAACCATAAAAATTTTATGCTAAACATTTTGTTGTAATCCCTTAGTGAGATTTTTTTTTGGTTAGAATCCCTTTGTGAGATTGAATAATAGTTTTGCAAGTAACTTTGAGGGCTGAAAAATGTGTGATTTATTGAGTACAATTGGGGGCTATGAAACACTTACAGTGTTCGAGTGACTTAAGTGTGATTATAATTTTCATTGTATCGCTTAATCTATAGTGGAATATTGTGCTGCTCACCCCATGGACTAGGTCCCATCGACCGAACACGTAAATCGGGTGTCCGATTTATTTCATTGTATTGTTTATTTAATTGTTCGATCACTTGTTTTTTGCAACAATTAGTATCAAAGCCAAACTTGATTGACTTGAAGCGGATCGATAGAGACAGAAGAAGGAATAGTGAAGATCGAAATTTTGATAGGAATAATTTTGGTTTTTGGAAAATGCAGATTGAGGATTATTTGTATAAGAGGAATCTCTATAATTACCGCTATTTGGAGAGAAGCTAGAGTCGATAAAGCAAGCTGATTGAGATTTGCTGAATAGACAGATGTTGGTTGTTATTAGGTGAATGTTGGCTCATAGTGTTGCGTTTAATATCGTAAAAGAGAAGACTATTGTGGGACTGATAGATGCACTGTTGAACATGTACCAGAAACCCTCATATTAATAAATTCAAGTTTGCTATTAGTCAGTTGAGTTCGGTTGAGATTAACTTTGATGATGAGGTGAGTGTTTTAATTCTATTGTACTCATTGCCTTATAGTTCGAATACTTTTGTTACTACTGTTAGTAATTCTTTGTATACACATGATCATTATCTTTGATGGGCGAAAAACAGAAGGACAATAAAAGGTTCAGTTTGAAAGAGAGATAACAAGGCACCGGATAATAACATCTTAAGTGACACATGATGCATCATGTGAATTATTTAATGGCTTTTTTGAATCGGACAAAGGCAATGGTCCACAGGCTTCGGTCCTGGCAGGTACACCACTGGGCTATCTGGGTTAAGCCTTTCCATGCTGCACCAAAAAATTAAAGATATAATTGTCATCAATATATCAAACGACACTGAAGGGAATTCTATTTTTTTTTTTTTGGTGATCTAAGTATTAGAATATAGGGAAAAAGAGAAGGTTTTTTAGAGAATAAGGGAAGAACTCACTCGTAGTGAAGGACATAGTGATGGAGAAAAATGGACATTTCAAGCTTTGCCAACTCCATTCCAGGGCACAATTTGCTTCCCGCTCCAAATGGTAGGAAAGTTCCTGCTTTTGCTTTTCCTACCAACACAAACCACAAACCACAAATAACATATATCGTTTCATATATACCTACATGTATATATATACACATACCTAAGCTCAAGTGCAAGCGCGCAGAGAAAGAGTACTTACTTCCCATCTTGACGGGTCGAATTCTTCCGGTTTTGCGTAGTTCTCGGGATCTAAATGAAGTCCCCTTAGATAAGCTATTACTTTCCAACCTTTGGGTACGAGTTAGCCTGTAAATAACCCACGAATTTTGTCATGCATGCCTCTCGAGCGAGTTCCCCTAATCAATTTGAGCATCGGCGTACTGACCATTGAGTTTCACCTCAGTTGTGTCCTCTCAAAAGAGCGCGACCGCGAGATTACTTCTTCGAAGCGTTTCATTAACCACCTGACTAATAGCATTGAGTGCTTCATATGTGTAAGCTCAGTGTAGAAAAGTGCATGTCTGATCGTGTACTTGTAAGAATTTCCTAGAATTTCCTAATGTGGGCTTCATTAATTGAAATTAACTGAATTAGTTTGGTCTAATAAAGGTAAGATATATGGGTTCTTAATAAGTCTAATATGGGACTGGCTGGTGTGGGCCGAGTACGGCCCGGCCCGTAATGAGAGAGCCCGTGGTCGAAGACTCTATAAATAGCGCTCAAGTCCCTCCCCTAACCTGATGATGCACAATTTGACTCACATACGGATTTAGAGAGAACTTTCTTCTCGTGAGTGGCAATCTCATTAGGCCAGTGTTCTAACGAAGGGATAGGGGAGAAGCATTTGAGTTCGTGTTCGGAAACCGTCGCAAATTCCGCGTCAAGTTCGATGGATTCCAAACCAGGTACACGAATCTACAATTTCTCCATTATCGTGTTCCGGTTTCTAATTATGGTGATCCTGGGCGTGCCATTTTCGTGGCCAACATTTGGTATCAGAGCCTGCCATAGATTAGAACTGAAACATACGGATTAGGACCATTTTAGTTTTGTCCGAGAGATTTTTGCCCAGTTTCGAAATTTTTTTTTGTCGGATAAAAGTTAAATTTTATTATATATTTGGAATCTACTCGTCGAGAAGAGAAAAATGTTGGGCGGAACGTCGCCGGAAGATGCCGGACGCGCCGTCACGCGCCTTCACGCGCCCTGGGCGCGGCGGCGCGTGAAGGCCACGCGCGTCGTGCCAACCGGCGCGTCTTTCCGCCGTAAACCGCATGCTGACGTCACATGAAGTCAGCGAGGCGCGGATCCGGCTTGACCCGGGTCCCGACCCGGATCCTGACCCGACCCGCCCGTTGACCCCGATCCGGATCCCGACCCGACCCGACCGTTGACCCGACCGGTCAACCGGTCGGACCGGGACGTTGACCTTTGACCGGTTGGACCGGTCACCCGGTCGGACCGGCTTTACTGACCGGTTTGACCGGTTTCTCACGCGCGCACGCGCCGCGTCTTCCGGCGGCGCGTGAGGGCGCGTCCAATGTCCGTTTTGGACGTTCTTGGTACCGACACGCTCGTATCGAGATTCTCTACACTGTGGTGTATTTATTTTGCATGTTTGAGGTTTTTACAGATGTGAAAATACGTATAGAACCCTATATATGCGTATTTTTAGGGTATTTTTGCATATTTTTTTTGTATTTCTCTATGGTTTCGGAAATACATATGGTAGCTCACATGTATATCACCACATAAGGACTGTGTAGAGTGTAATTCATTGTCTATCAATGAATGGAACAGTATAATTAGCATGGCATGTAATTTCAAAGACATACGCCCCTGTCTTTACGTCTAGCATTACATGCATATAGTAAATGTGATACATAAAGCTCATATCCCTGGTATGAGAGATTTTCAAGGTTTCAGTTGGGTTGTGACCGCCAAAGTGGCACACTTGATTGGGTTTGAGAAATATCGGTCTCATATTGTGGTGGGATGTCTCCTGTTCTATTGCGTGATTATACTCCCAAAGGAGGTGATCTTGTATTGGTTCATGGAGGGGTACATGTATAGCATGTGCTTGAGAAATGACTAATCTTAGTGGTTCACACACCCAAAGGTGGTGATTTCACGAAAAATTAGAATATGTTCTCATGGCCGCTGTCATGTGAAGAGTATACAACTGCATGTCATATTTTCTGCCCAAAGGTGATTATGTGATGATGTATGTAACTCTTTGGATAAGTACTCACATGATGCTGATTGTATTGTTTGTTTGTTTTCCAGTCACCTTTTCTGTAAACGGCAATTCCATTTCCATTGAGGTCCTTACTGGTTTGAACTTTAAGAAATGGAAAGAGGATTTTCTATTTGGAATGGAGCTGGCGGATGTTCACATTGCTCTTACAAAGGATAAGCCGGCAGATATCATGGCCACCAGTACTGAAGCTGAGAAAACGGACTATGCTGCCTGGGAAAAGAGCAATCGGATTTGCTTATTGACAATGAAAAAATCCATTCAAGAACACTTGAAAAGTGGTTTGCCAGCTGACTGTACTGCTAAGGAAATGATGACAGCCTTAGAGGCTAGAAACCGCATTTCATCTAATGCTGAGGTTGGTACACTTCTTCAAAAGCTCTTCAATATGAAGTATGATGGTACTGCTGGGGTTAGAGATTATGTCCTTAGGATGGTAGACCTAAAGACGAAGCTTCAAGCTCTTAATGTTTCCATTCCTGATGCTTGTATTGTGCATCAAGCCTTGAACACCCTTCCATCTGATTTTGGGATTATAAAGACAAATTATAATTCCCAAGATGAGACTTGGTCAGTGAATGACTTGATAGCAAGGGTGGTGGCAGAGGAAGAGAAACTTAAGAAGGAAAAAGGGCATCTAGCCTTATATGTTTCTGGTTTCCACAAAAAGAAGGATAAGAAGTTCAGAAATCGTACTCATAAAGGTACTCATGAAACTACCGGTCAATCTGACAATATGGGTCCAAAGAAAACATCCTTCAAAAGGGATGGTGGCCACTGCTTCTTTTGTAAGAAGAAAGGTCACATAAAGAAGAACTGTGGAAAGTTTAAAGCTTGGTTGTCCAAACGTGAGCCTACAGGTAATGATTCTTTTGCACTTGTTTGTGAATCCAACCTATCAGAAGCACCATCCAGTTCTTGGTGGCTCGATAGCGGTGCAACTAATCATGTTGCGTTTACCATACAGGGATTCATAAACCGGAGAAAGCCAAATCAGGATGAGTCAAGACTCACTGTGGGAAATAACGAGAAAGCTGATGTTGTGTTTGTGGGAGATGTAATCTTGATTCTAGACTCTGGTTTTAGATTAATGTTGAAAGACACTTTTTATGTACCTTCTTTTAGACGGAACTTAGTTTCCGTATCGTGTTTGGACATGTATGGCTACTCTTTTGAAATCAAGAACAATGTTATTTCTTTGTTTCTTAATTCAAATAAGGTTGGGTGCTGTTATATGTCCAACGGATTGTACAGATTGTGTTTGTCTCCCAATGACATATACGTCGCTTATACGGCTGAAAAGGTTGTTTCCAAAAGACCACTACCTAAGGAACAGTCTTATGCATTGTGGCATAAAAGGCTTGGTCATATCTCTAAGGATAGAGTAGAAAGGCTGATAAAGACTAACATCCTGCCTGCTCTTAAAGATGACCTAGAGATATGCGTAGACTGTTGTAGAGGTAAAATGACCAAGATAAGGAAGAAAACTGCAGTCCGAAGTTCTGACCTGTTGGAGGTCATTCACACTGATATAAGTGGACCCTATACGGCAACCTTATGTAGAAATTTTTATTTCATTACATTTATTGATGACTATTCTCGATATGGCTATCTGTACTTGATTAAAGAAAAGTCTGAGTCTCTTGACAAGTTCAAGATTTTTCGGACTGAAGTCGAGAAACAGTTGGGAAAGGTCATAAAGGTTGTTAGATCTGACCGAGGTGGAGAGTATTATGGCAAACATGGCGATGCCGGACAGCTTAAGGGGCCATTTGCCAAATACTTAGAGGATTCTGGGATAGTGGCTCAGTTTACTATGCCTGGAAGTCCTGAGCAAAATGGTGTAGCCGAAAGGCGCAATCGCACCCTTATGGAAATGGTGAGGAGTATGATAAGTAGGACAAATTTACCTGTTTTTCTGTGGGGTGAAGCTTTGAAAACAGCTTTGTACATTCTGAATCGTGTACCTACTAAAGCTGTTCCATTGACTCCTTTTGAGTTATGGACTGGACGTAAGCCTAGCTTAAACCATCTTAAGGTTTGGGGATGTCCTGCAGAAGTGAAGTTATACAATCCAACATTAAGTAAGTTGGACTCGTAACCACTCGGTGTTACTTTGTATCTTACCCGATCATTCGAAGGGATATCGGTTCTATAATCCCAATGGAGGCACAAGAATTGTGGAATCACAGACAGCCAAGTTTCTGGAGTTTGATGTGGCCGAAGAAAGTAGCTGCTCACAGACTATTGAGGATAATAGTATGGTGGGTAATGTTGTATCTTTATCTCCTCCCATACAGATAATTGTGGAGACTCCCACACCACAGACTGAACCTGTTGAGGCTCAGGATCCTGTTGTCGAGACAGCTCCTAATGAAGTTCCTCAAGGCTCTCAGGTACAGGATGAGGCTGTTGTTGTTCCAGTAAGGAGATCCATTAGGGAGAGACGATCAGCTATACCACCAGACTATTTAGTATATATAGGAGAGCAAGACTACGATATTGGTTCTGTAGCTGATCCAGTGACTTATACGGAAGCTGTTTCTTGTCCTCAGTCGGAACTGTGGTTGGATGCAATGAGAGATGAAATGCAGTCTATGAAGCATAATGGAGTTTGGGAACTTGTTGAATTACCTGAAGGTCATAGACCCATTGGCTGCAAATGGGTGTATAAGACTAAAAGGGACTCCAAAGGAAAGATTGAGAAGTTTAAAGCCAGACTAGTAGCCAAGGGTTTCACTCAGAGAGAAGGAGTAGACTATGAAGCAACTTTTTCTCCAGTCTCTTCGAAAGATTCTTTGAGAGTGATCATGGCATTGGTAGCTCATTTCGATATGGAGTTACACCAGATGGATGTTAAAACTGCCTTTCTCAATGGAGACCTTAATGAAGAAGTCTATATGATGCAGCCCGAAGGTTTTGCGGCAGATGATTCAGGTACACTTGTATGTAGACTGAAAAAGTCTATTTATGGTCTCAAGCAAGCTTCTAGACAATGGTACTTGAAGTTTCATAGTGTTGTCGCTTCATTTGGTTTTGTTGAGAACAAAGTAGATCAGTGTATATACTCCAAGGTCAGTGGGAGGAAATTCATTTTCCTTATACTCTATGTTGATGATATTCTGCTTGCAAGCAGTGACCTTGGTTTACTGCATGAGACAAAGCGGATGTTGTCAAAGAACTTTGATATGAAAGACCTTGGTGAGGCGTCTTTTGTCCTTGGCATTGAGATTCGTAGGAATCGTTCTCGCCGACTATTGGGTTTATCTCAGAGGGCATATGTTGATCGTATCTTAGAAAGATTCAACATGCAGCAATGCAAGCCAGGAATTGCTCCTGTCAGTAAGGGTGATAAGTTGAGTCTGTCACAATGTCCTCATTCAGATTTTGAGAAAGCCCAAATGAAGAATGTACCTTATGCTAGTGCACTTGGGAGTATTATGTATGCTCAAGTATGTACTAGACCAGATATTGCTTTTGCAACAGGACTTCTAGGCAGATATCAGTCAAATCCAGGATACGATCATTGGGTTGCTGCCAAGAAGGTTTTGAGGTACTTAAAGAGGACAAAAGACTATATGCTGATTTACAAACATGTTCAGGACCTACAGCTAGTTGGGTATTCGGATTCAGACTTTGCTGGCTGTCAAGATGAAAAGAAGTCGACAACAGGTTACATCTTTAAGTTAGCAGGAGGTGCAGTATCATGGAAAAGTGAGAAACAGAAATCAATGACATCCTCTACCATGCAAGCGGAGTTTGTAGCATGCTTTTCGGCCGCTACTCAGGCAATTTGGCTCCGGAACCTCATTAAGGAGTTGATCGTATTTGATTTTGTGGATAGGCCCATACAGCTGTATTGTGACAATAACTCTGCAGTGTTGTTCATTAACAACAACAGAGGTCTCAAGGGGTCTAAGCATATGGAGGTCAAGTACTTGACTATAAAGGAAAAAGTTCAGGATGGTGACATTGCAGTAGAGCACATTTCAACAGATGATATGATTGCAGATCCGCTAACTAAAGGCCTTCGCCCTTGTGTATTTGATCGACATGTCATTAACATGGGCTTAGGAGTATCATGGGATACTGTTGATTAGTGGGAGCTGTTTAGTTTTATGTTGCTCTTATGAAGTTTGTATCTGATTTTGTTACATTTTGTAATATTTGAATATGTATCAACTCTTTTGCATTCAATGAGGTATTTGTGAATGTAGATTTATCAAGTTGAGTATACATATTTGATGAAAATCTCGAGGCATTGTGTAAACCTTGAGTACAGGCTATGGGGCATTCTTAGTATTAGCCTTAACGATATGTCTTGTTACACATAAAGTACAGTTAACTATCAATGTAAGACATATGAAGGTTCGTTGGAACCATGAAGGATATTCTCTGGTGACATATTAGGTTTTGTGACACTTAAGGAGAGAGAATTTGGACTAACAAAGTGGACAACACATAAAGTATCACTCATTATGAGGTATTGTCCATTTGACACACTACCATATTGAATCCATATCAGTAAAGTTGAAAGCACTCGTGACCATGGAAGGCTCTGCGTGAGTACATGCAGTTACCGCCATGATTCGGTGTTCGAGACTTTATGGGATCGGATTGACTATTAAGAATAATCTCTAGACCAATATAAGGGTGCGCACACAGTTCTGTTTCAATTAATATCGCCCAAGTGGGAGAATGTAAGAATTTCCTAGAATTTCCTAATGTGGGCTTCATTAATTGAAATTAACTGAATTAGTTTGGTCTAATAAAGGTAAGATATATGGGTTCTTAATAAGTCTAATATGGGACTGGCTGGTGTGGGCCGAGTACGGCCCGGCCCGTAATGAGAGGGCCCGTGGTCGAAGACTCTATAAATAGCGCTCAAGTCCCTCCCCTAACCTGATGATGCACAATTTGACTCACATACGGATTTAGAGAGAACTTTCTTCTCGTGAGTGGCAATCTCATTAGGCCAGTGTTCTAACGAAGGGATAGGGGAGAAGCATTTGAGTTCGTGTTCGGAAACCGTCGCAAATTCCGCGTCAAGTTCGATGGATTCCAAACCAGGTACACAAATCTACAATTTCTCCATTATCGTGTTCCGGTTTCTAATTATGGTGATCCTGGGCGTGCCATTTTCGTGGCCAACAGTACTGATTCAAAGTAGCCAATAAGCTATTTTCCTTGAGAAAAGTTCATATTTGATCGGGTACTGATTACTTAGTGACAGCATCCAGTGCTTCATACCTTGGAAAGATATTCCATTTGTTTAATCTCCTGGAGAGTCAATCCCTTCAGGGTAGGTGGTCTCCTCGTAATGGTTTCCTCTTGCTCTTCCTGAAAAAATCTCGCTACTTTAAAAAGCAAACTCCGACGCGACTTTCAACCCCAAAAAATTCACAGTGAAAATGTGAATAGTCATGTATAAGTCAAACTGATGTTCGACACAATTGGTATAATTATAAGAAAAATATTTAGTAAGACATATGGAAATGTCTCCCTCCAAATTACTTTGAAATTATCTAACCTTTAGTTTTCGCAATATCTCAGGATGTTCTTTGAGGTAGATAGCAGCCCACATAGAGCCATGAGCTGTGGTTTCGAGGCCATTAAGCAGGAACATGACAGATACGAATGGCCTCCTCATCCAATTTCACCCCATTCTCATCTTCCACCATCAATAAATCCGACATCACATCCTTTCGCTCCATTGCCTGGTCTTTCTTGTTTCTGTCCATCCTCTTCTTTTCCACACTGTCTTTAAAGATCTTCACCAATTTTCTTCTTGCCTAAGACAACATAAGATGAGTTCTGTGACCTCACGATGTAAAGCGATACAATGAGATTTCAAGTCATTGCTAACATGTAATCCTATTACCCTGAGTGCTCCATGAAAATTAAATCCAGGGAGGTTGATGGGTATGGCCAGAAACCCTTCACCCAAGTCACAAAATAAGCTTTCCATCTCGTCTAAGTCGTAGTCGACGCTCGTGCCGAACAAGATGACCTTGTAAGTCACCTTGTTCATCTCGTTCATGAGCGGAATTGGCCGCCCCAGCTCAGCCCATCTCGCCATGGTGGTGACCAGGATGTCCTCGATCTTGCCGACGAACAGAGAGAGCACCTCCATGCCGTTGATCGGGGCGACCGTCAAATGACGGAGCCGCTTGTGCTCCGGGAGTGAGATGCCGTGGAACGATCTGTTGCCAAATATCTTTTTGGTTGCTTTCCGGTAGCCAGGCACGGAGTGTTGGTCATTTGTCAACACACGCTTGCACATCTCAGGATTGCTTACAATGATGCTTGGACATCCATATAGGAAGGTCCTGTATATGCATGTACGCCCAAATCTGCAGCGAAGCAACTATACAATGGTTAAATTATCATGTTTGTCAAGATTAGACTTAGGTATATGTAATCCTAGTACTGCATTCACCAATTTAAATATTATTGTCTAACATATCTTCTGTCACATCCTATCTCTATGCAAATACCCATTGGTTGGAGTGCTTCCAAAGGATATATTATCTGTTTATATTGTGCTAAACAAGGATGCTTGTATGGCGCATTACGCATGTATCATAGATTCTCATACTGGGTTCCACAAAAAATAAGAATTTCTCATGCAGTTTGCGCATCGTTTATGATTTTTTCTATCTTATCATTCACAAAACAAAACTACGTGCACAGTATCTTTTTCTTTTGAGTTGCTGAAACTAAAACAAACCAAGATAGACCGTGAACAAAGCAATTAAACATGAAAGGCTCATTAGGAGAGACCTGGAGATGAAGCTATCCAAGAAGGAATCAGGACGGCCGTTATTGAAAGCCCTAAAGAAGGTCCACATTCGGTCGATCAAGGGCCAGCCCATGTGACCGGGAGGCAGCAGAGAAGCTCTCTGCCGCCCCAAACTGCTCCCGTACACCCACTCATTCACTCTCTTGAGAAGCGCGAATACGAGGCCGCAGCCGCACACCAAAGCTGCAACCACCACACTCGCTACGTGAATCACCTCCATCGATTTCGACCTCGCTCTGTATGCTTTGAGCCTTGACTCTATAAAGAGACGTATGGTCTCCTATATATAGTGTTTTTTGTTCTTCACTTCATGTCACGATGCATCGTGTGTGCATCAGCTGATCCAAGACTCTCATTTTTTGGGATATTTAGTCAATTAAGCCTCATTTTGTGAGGGTTCGGCAATAATATTTTCAGTCAACGATAGTTTATTGATGACCAATAATATTTTGCAAGGGCTCATCTTAAATTTTATACCCACCACAGCAAAACACTATAATACAACGGCAAAAGAAAAGAAATACCTGATGTCGAATCTCTTCAACGGTGCCGGCGACTTCCCTAATCGTGGTTTCCTGCACATAGGACGACCATAACGAACGCAATTGTCAACTGCCAGTAAAATTGTATTGGGCCACATGAATTCACAGGGAAAATTGTCTAAAAAGTCATAAATTTATTGCATTTTTGCCAATTCAGTTCTAAACCTTTCAATTTTACCAATTGAATCATAAAATTTTTTACTTCTTGCTAATTGAGTCCATTTAGCTAATTTTGGTTTGAAATCGCTGACGTGGACGCCGGCTGGCCTATGTGGATAATTTTTAATAATTTTTTAATATTTTTCAATTTTTTATTTTTCTTTTCTATTCTTTTTCTTTTTTCTCTTTTTCTTTTTTTTCCTCCTCCCCTCCTTCCTCCTCCAGCCGGTCACCAGGCATGAACAACCGGCCAAAGGGGAGGGCCAGCGAGGTCGACCTCGGGCGAGCTTCGCCGTCACTAGGCAAGGCTCCAGCCATGGCGAGGTCGAGCCTTGCACCTCGTCGGCCTCGGGCAAGCCTCGCCATCGCTAGATGAGGCTCTAGCCATGGCGAGGTCGACCTCGCCGTCAGTGGGAGAGGCTCGACCTTGTCGGATCGAGTGAGGCTGAGCCTCACCGTTGCTGGGGCGGGTGAGCCTCGCCATGGCTAGGCAAGGCTCGACCTCGCCGGATTTGGTGAGGCTGATCTTGCCCAGCCATGGCGAGGCCAAGCCTCACCAGGGGCTGGCGGGGCCGAGCCTCGCCCAACCTTGTCGGCCCTCCCCCCTCTAGCCGGTTGTTGATGCCCTGCGATTGGTTGGAGGAGGAAGAAGGGGAGGAGAAAAAAAGGAAAAAAATAAAAAATAAAAAAATTCGAAAAATATTAAAATATTATTAAATATGTCAACGTAAGTATCACACACACGTAGGCTGGCTAGCATCTACGTCAGCACTTTCCGATCAAAATTAGCTAGATAGACTCAATTGGCCAGAAGTGAAAATGTTTATGATTGAATTGGCAAAATTGAAAGGTTTTGGACTAAATTGGCAAAAGTGCAATATGTTTAGGACTTTTTAGACAATTTTCCCAAATTCATATGATGTCTCGATATGCATGAATCTTTCCATGCATGTTCTGAGGGCAAAGGACCAATGTAGCTTGGACATGTTCAGGAGGCCAATGTGTCGATGTCCGACACGCTCCGACATGTTCTGACATGCGGTCATAGGTGTCGGAAATCCGACACGCGATCAACGTGTCGGACACACTGTCGACACGTGATTCTTGACATGCACGGGTCAATTTTATAAATTTTCAAAAAATTAGGTGTCAAAATGTAAATTTATAAAAAAAAATTTAAAAAAAGAAAGAAAAGGGTGAAAGAAAACCCCAATCTTCTGTTCTCATCTTCACAGTGCCTTCACTTGCGCTTTGTACTCGCTCCCCTCTCAATTCACGATTTCTCTTCTTCGCTTGAACCAACGACGTCCGCCGAGGAGGCCTTGAAGAGGAACAATGATTGCGTCTTATTTCCTCACCATTTCTCATCTTCTTCCTTCGAATCTTCCAAGTTCCAAACCCCCAAATCCCCACTCTCAGACCCTAAACCCACCACCACCCTCCTCCGTTTCGTGGACCAAGAACCACTCTAGCAGACGGCTTCTCCTCCTCTCCCTCTCGATGTCCGCCATTATTTTTATTATTATTAATTTTTCCAAGACACGGAGTAAATTCTAGGCTTTTTATTATTATTTTTTATTTATGGATTTAAATCAAATTTAAAAATAATAATTTATCATGTATATATATATATACACACAACATGTCCCAACATGTCGGAATTCTCTATTTTTTGAGAAATGACGTGTCACGTGTCGTGTGTTGATGTCGATGCTACATAGCAGAGGACGAATCAAACAACCATGAAATTGTCAACATGCCTATTAGAGATATTTTGGATTATTTATGATGTTCTAGATATTTATGATATTCTGGATTTTTTTGATTGATTAAAATTAATATTGTAATATTCTGACACCGTAGATAGTTATTCTGTAAAGCCTATAAATAAGCTAATATACTATTTATTAAAGGGTTAATACCACGAAAAACCCCAACTGGTACACCTGTGATAATTTTACCAAAAAATAATTTTTTGATTATTAAAAACCCCAAACTGGTACACCTGTGATAAATTTACCCCAAACTAATTTTTTGACCACCAAAAATCCCGAACTGGTACATTTGTGACAAATTTACTCTCCGTTAATTTTCATTAAATTGAATTAATACCGCAAAAAATCATAAACTGGTACGCCTGTGACAAATGGAGAGCAAAATATAAAATTGGTACATCCTCCATATAATTTGTGTCATTTAACAAAGCAATTTAACAGTAAAATTTAACAGAATAAATCGAGGGTAAATTTGTCACAGGTGAACTAGTTTGGGGTTTTTGGTGGTCAAAAAATTAGGTTTGGATAAAATTATCACAGGTGTACTAGTTTGGGATTTTTCGCAGTAAATGATTGGACAAGCTACACTTTACGGTTATTTCCTAGCTACAACCTTTATACATTGAAAGGTAAAATATCCTCTACAGAAAAAAAGATAAAATAAATTTGTTAGCTTTGGAAACTCTCGCTACATTTGCCAAGAGTACAAGAATTGCTTGATTGGTCTTGATTTGATTGAGAACAATTTTTGTATAAAGAATTCATGATAATGTAGATCCTCTAGATCCCTTAGTGAGAATTTATCTCTCACAAACTTTTGCAAAAAAATTGTATCACTTCCTGTTAGGATCAGGTCATCTACATAAATCAAGAAATAAGTAATGACACCATTATGTCTCTACAAATAGAGCGAGGAATCTCATTTGGATTGGAGGTGAATCCAAACGAGATGACAAAGGAACTAAGTGCTTAGTACCATGCTCGAGGGGCTTGCTTAAGACTGTAACTAGCCTTCTTCAATCGACATATGTGATTCGGATGTGAATGATAGACAAAACCCCATGGTTGATGCATATAGACTTCCTCCATAAGAGTGCCATGCTAGAAGGTATTACTAACATCCAATTATAGAAGGAGCCAACCGTTTGATAAGGCTACACAGAGAACGATCCGTCTTGTGGCGGGTGTAACAACTGGACTAAACGTACGATCATAGTCAAGTCCTGGCCGTTGGTGGAATCCCTTGGCGACAAGTCATGCCTTGTACCGAGCTATGCTACCATCTGGATTTCACTTGACTCGAAATATCCACTAGCAGCCAATAATATTATGATGAGGCTTAGGTGGTACAAGTTGCCATGTACCGTTTCCAAAATTTGTATTAAATTCCTCCAACATAGCAGCGCGCCACTTTGTATCTTTTAAGGCCCGGGAGACACACGTTAGTTCAAGTAAGGGAGGTAAAGGATAATTGGTGGCTGAATGTATATGTTTAGGTTTGTAAATGTATTCTGGGACCGAATGGTTACTGGATGAGAATGTGTGGGCATTGATGGAATTGTGGTGGAGGGGCCGAATGAAGTGTTTGAGTCTGTGGGAGGCATAGATGGAGCTTCAGTGGGTGATGATGGATCCATTGAAAATTAAACGATATGCTTGTGAGCAAAAGGCTATGATACAATAAAGAATTGGACAAGATACACTTTACTATTATTTCTTACATATATGTAAAGTACATTGTAGTTGATGATTTATAGAAATACATCAGCCAGAATAACTGTAATATAATAACTTTCCTAGCTACGACCTTTATACATGGAAAGATAAAATCCTCTATATAGAGAAAGATAAAATGAATTTGTCAGCTTTAGAAATTGCTTGACTGGTGTTGATGTGATTGAGAGCAATTTTTGTTAGTCTTGCAAAACTTTGAAACATATATCAAATTTTCACTAATATCAGGAACACACAAAACATCCGACAATGAATAGGATACAGTGGGCGAGAAAAATTTAGTTGAACTCATGTGCATTATTTGCAAACCCGAGCCATCACCATTAACGATGTTATCTGTACCTTCATAATTATAATGCAGAGAGAGATTTTCCATACTTGAAGTGACATGATGAGACTCTTCAGAGTCCATGAGCCATCCTTTCTCAACTTGGCGAAATAACACTGTGCTATTTGTAGTAGGAGGAAAGGAAAAATATTGGTTGGCCTGATAGCATTGCTTGGCTGAGTGACCTACCCCTTCACATAGAAATATTCTTGCAAAAGTTTGTGAGAACTCTGCGAGTAAATTCTCACTAAAGGATCTGGAGGATCTACACGAAAACACCACACCAGTAAAATACAACTTTATAGATGACGGAACTAGTCAACTGAGCCTGCCAGCAAAGGAAAGCTTACAACACAATTCACCTCACTACAAAAAAACAAGGGATTAGCGACGAATTTTGCGACGAAAAATTTGGCAAAATCCGTCGCAAATCGAATTTGCAACGAATTTAGCGACGGAAAAAATTCCGTCGCTAATAGGTCGTCGCAAAATTTTGCGACGGAAAATTTCAATTTCCGTCGCAAAATTGCGACGGAAAAAAATTCATCGCAAAATTCGTCGCAAATAATTCGTCGCAAATTAGCCACGAACACTATCCGTCGCAAAATTCGTCGTAAATAATTCGTCGCAAAATTCATCGTAAATTAGCCATGAACACTATCCGTCGCAAAATTCGTCGCAA